CCGCCGCCCCCACCACCCCCCGCGGCCCCCGCCCCCGCGGCCCCGCCCCCCGCGGGCGGCCCCCGCCCGCGCCCCCGCCCCCCCCCCCCCCCCCCCCCCCGGCGGTTTATTTTTTCGTAGCCACGAAAGCACCCGCAGTCCGTTGCGGACGCTGTAGTGCTCCTTCTGGGAGTTTGCTGAGGGGCAATTCCAACGCCTTCACACGAGGCGTCGAAAGAGTAACAAATATCGTCAAGTAGAATTGAAGATCGGAGCTGCAGGACTGGGGAGCCGGCAGGGACAGGCTCCCCAGCGAGGCATTTACAGCTCAACGAAGGCCATTTGGCTGATTCTTGACGATATGTAGTGGATATGTAGTAAGTGTATTAAGATGGGGTTCAATAAGTTCAGGAGAGTCCGAAGTAGATCAGTTGCGAGTGCTATGGGAAAGGGAAGAAGAAGAGCAGGTCATTTTTTTCCCCCAAGTGGGAGACACTTGTGATTGGCTGCAGAATACGACCGCCTATTCGTTGGCGCCGCTCACCGACTCTTTCGCGCCAATCAGCGACCGCCGAAAGTTGCAACGGGAAAGTCATGAATTTGATCTCCACCAGGCCATTTACTTAAAATTAGATGGTTGCATTGACATTATATTGGGCATTGGGCCCTATTGCTACTGATGTTGTGCAGTACTGGCATCTCTTCGATCCACTGCTATCTGGGGCCTTGGAGGAACATATCCCGGCAGGTCGAGTCCAAACAAAACAAACCTAACACGTCATTCAACCTCCTCGGCATTCTCCCCGGAAAAATCCCATGGCGAACCATTCTAGTCAACGCAAAATACAAACCCATACAGGTTGACTCGAGTTTCGACTCGGCACTGGCAGAAACGGCATATCAGAATCCTAGTCTGCACGGTCATCAAACTAGAATAGCCACGGTGCAACGATTGACCCGTGCGGTATGGCGTGCATGATGATTCATCCTCGGACCAGGAGACTTTTCATCGATGACACATCTCGCGATGAATCATATTGTTTCGTATTTGGACTTCACGATGACCCGAATTTTCACTGTGAGGCCACGGGCTAATTGGTTCGAACCAGAGATCCGGCCACTTTTACGTTTTGAGTGGCAAAGCGCTCTACTCTTTTCCGACCCGCTTGGCCATTTTGCCCGTCTTCCAAGCCGGGAACCTGCAGGCCTTTTTCTTTTTTTCTTTTCGCCCAAAGGTCTAAATGCCTAACTGGCCTAAAGATGATCAGAGGCGGTAAAAGGACAGCATGGCCGAGGCTGGGCGCGTCTAACATGCATGAGATAGGTCCATTGCTCTCTTATCTTTGTCGGTGAGGGGTCAATTGTATAGCCCATTACAGTTGTAACGTACACAATGCATGTTCTACCATAACATTGCGGATATAAAAGAAGTTTCAGATATTTTATATAGAAAAGTAAAGACCATATTTATGAAAGAGATATATATAGAAACATCAACGTTCTACCACTTGGAGAATACTCAATATTTCATCCTAATATATTAATAGTAAATAAAATAGACCTCCTTTAGACTATATCCCCTACTATATCTTTTGTAAGTATTCCTACAAGTGACAAAATCTCTATTTCATGTTTATGTACCTTTTGTATGGGCATACCATATAAAAGATACCTAAAAAGAGAAATCTCTCGTTTGGTGAGAAACTCTCGTTATGTGGGACAGACCCATACCTGGTACAGGTATGGGGGCGGTAAGACGGCTATCTTGTAATATCGATCGTCTTCGCGACTGCTAAGCCCTTATATTTCTCCGTGAGATATCGCCCGATCAAGTGGTGGTCGAATAATTTCGATTATAACGAAGATAAACTCGGCTAGCCACTAGTACAATGCTCATGAAACCTTTTCTTCTGCTAGAGGCGCTCGTCTTACGGGTGGTCAGCGGGCATCTGATCATGATGTCGCCTGAGCCCTACAGCAACAAAACCCTCAACAACTCTCCTCTTGCCAACAACGGGAGTGATTTTCCCTGCAAATTACGAGATGATGCATTTGCGGCCCCTGCGAAAGAGACTGTTTACGAGGTTCATGGGAAGTGCAATCCACGGGGGCGGATCATGCCAGTTGAGCCTCACTGAAGACCTCGCGCCATCCAAAGAAAGCATATGGAAGGTCATCAAGTCTTATGAAGGCGGCTGTCCTGCAAATGTAGAAGGAGGTCTAAGCGGAGACGCCAATGCTGACAATGGCATTCAACTCGATTTCGCGATACCTGAAGATATCCACTCCGGGAAGTATACTTTGGCCTGGATATGGTTCAATCATATTGGAGATCGTGAGATGTATATGAACTGTGCACTAATTACCGTCGACAGTCCTTCATTGCCTGTGTTCAACCAGAGCATATAGAACCAAGCGCAGGATTATCTACCTATGTTCATCGCCAATATAAATGGCTGTATGACTCCACAAAATTTGGATATCCGATTCCCTCAGCCTGGGAAGAATGTTGAACTCAATGGTCTGGCGCGTAATATTCTTCCTGACGGTCAACTAGTATGCACCGGAACTCCTGAATTTGGTGACTCAGTAGCCATGGACCCGATTGTTCTAGATCTTGAAAAGGGTAATCATTGGAAGGCTATTTTATACTCCCCGCCACTTCTCTAGTTAGCATTCAGCCGTTACCTTGCTCCTGTCGTGCTTCCCGCCGTAATACAAGCCATCAATGATACCTATCTTTGGCATTCGCGGCACAATTAAACTGGACAAGTGGTTTAATATGAAGGTCATTGATTGAGCAAAGCATTGGGGATTGAAATATGCATGAAAATTTGATAAATCATTGAAAAGGTCTTCGCCATACTTTGGAGTTTTAAATTCTCGAGTTCGGTACTGTACTCTGTTGTATTACGACTGCTTTTTGGCAATGGTAATTCATTGATAACAAGTATCATAAAAGGATGCAACAAAATTTGTAGAATAACCCAGCCACAAACGAGTTAATCGCACAGACAATGCCACTCTGCAAAAATTGGGATGAAGATAGAAGAGCCGCCGTACTTACAGTGGATTTCGAAAACAGATTTTCCTCCAGACATACACGTTTAATATCCAGAGACTCACTTTGGCCCCTAGTCCGAGTCGTCCGGGCTCTAGATTGTCCCGTAGCCAATAGTAAGACGTGATTCCCACGGGAAGGGGCTTTATATAGCCAGAATAATCCTAACGCAAGATTTGTAAGGGACTTGGAAAGAAAGCGTGTGTGTCCGGGGGGTAATCTATTTTCGAGATTCTCTGTACATCAATAGGTCAAGATTGGTTTGATATTGATAGCCATTTGCTGACTAGAACAGACGGAATCCGTCAGAATAAAAGTCTAATTTCCGAAGCTTCGAAAGAGTGCCAAATGCTCCTCGAAAGGTTTTGCACGTAAAAGCAACGTGTACAGTACCTGGACTTGAATGTACACGATAACTCGATGATTGGATGAACGTCTGTTATTGAACTTGTCTTGCGACTAATTCTTTATACTTAATTTCCACCAGAGTAACTTCTCAATTGTCGTGGCGTACAATTTACACATTCAGACTCCTGTGTACACTAGGGACGGGACTCAGAGCTGAACTTTGACGTCAATTGTTTGAAATTTGATACCCTCAAGTTTTGAATAGAAACCGAAAATGAACCGGAAAATTTTCTAACATTTGTGTTATGATTGCAATGTAAGCAGCTTGCCGCTAGAGAAATCGAAAGAAAAGTTGTCCAATTACGATAGGCATCGCCATCCTTACTGAGCAACCAGACATGCTGCTCATCTTTTTGTATTCAAAAAGCTGCCTATCATCGACGGGCTGGATGGGTCGCATTGGAGAATGATGTTCTTATATACGATGAGAATGAGTTTCGATTCGGTGATACACGATTTTGTTCGTCAAGTTGATAAGCGATTTCAACTCTTCTGGACTTGGCCTTTGCTGAAAAGGGGTTGTCTGGGACATCAGCCTTGATACATTGAAGAGGAGGGGGCCAATCACCTGCAGGATCTCTCTCAAAGGGCGTTTTCTAAGCTGATCAGGCAGATTTTCAATCTCGACAGGCCACTTATGCGTCGAATGACATTTACCCATCAGCTTGATTACAATATCCGCTAAAGCGTACAGCTTCATTGTCGCAGCATCCATTTCCCAAGCACTTATCTCGCAGCTGTCCTCGATACCCACTGGTGAATGGAACGGTTAGTAAGAAGTCTGAAAACTGGGGTTAATTTGATATGCGTACCTATCTTGACCTTGCCAGACTGAGTGAAAAAGATGGTATTCATTGTCAAAGTGGCCAGCACCCTCCCGCATTCAGCCAGGTGCTGAATTCCTTCGAGTATCTGTTCATAATCAGCGATCGCTCGTATTATGATATAATATGTAACTCTACTTACTGGCTTGACAATTGTAATGATCTCACTCGCCGTGATCACGAGCTTCGTTGCCAGAATCTGGGTGACGGAAACTTCTACATGCTCCTAGGCCAAAAACACCGAATCATCATGATAACAGCATCCAAGTAATGACCGGAAAATGGGGTGAGAGATGCGATTCAGCGTTCGTTGCAATCCAAGGTCGGAGAATGCTTGCAGCTCCAGTTTCTGCACTTGGACAAAGTCTGCCTTTGTCTTCCTTGTATCGAGCCAGCACATACAATTTGATATTTGCAATGGGTTCAAGTATGCTCCATGGATCTTCATGCAAGGCTCCCGAACTCGAGCGATATTTCTCGTTATCAAGCGTTGCCGTCTTCTCTTTGGTTCTCAACGACTTCGGGAAAGCTTGATCCACTGTAGATGTCTCGGAGACTGAATCAGCTTGAAGGGGCGGTGCTTTACTGACCTATATGGTAGGAGGTCTGCGATTATGCTTGCTGGCGCTCATACTTCTAGGCGTGCACTTCCAATAAGATAAACTTAGAACGTCAGGTCATCTGGGTGAATAGAAACTCCTATCGATGAGGGAACTGAGCTTCTTATATACAAGAGCAGGTACAAAGACTTGACGTTAGTCTTCATTTATCAACCCCATCTCCGCCGTAAGTCTTTTGCGTAAAGTTTTTGAGGCAGCATGCGCGATTCAACCTTAACGTCAATTTGACCTCAACACAAAGTTCATTTCAGCAAAGAGCTTTAACATCAACACCTGGACCTAGGTCGCTAGTCATGTCACACTTTTTTTCACTAAAAGTCAGCTTTGCGTAAATAGGTGAGAAGGTTTGTACTGCGTTGACAGCGTGATCTCAACCCGTGGTTCATCGACTCATAAATGACGAATCATATTCTTGGTCGTTCATACTGTATCTTCAATTGTACTTTCACTGTAGCAATCTCAAAGCTCAATTAGTCCTGGCTTTACCCATCCGTACTTCTGCGACCCAATTACAGCAAATCTTCATCAATGAGCGAAAACTGGTAGCAAGAGTAGCAGATATCGAATGCCTTGGGTCCCTGACTGCTGGCGACTGGGCGAACAACTGTGTAAGTCATATTCTCTTGCTTCGCCTTTTCGAAAGCCCCACCTACCTCCTTCTCATAGCAACGATGGGTCTTAAGTAGAAATTACTGGTATGGTTTAAGCACAGTCCAATAAAAATAGTAGATTCGAAAGATGGACATTTTTCGTGTCATTCACTGATCAGGCCAGCGGAATTTGGAGTACAGTGCCACCAGACTTCCCAACACATAGCAAGCCGTCCCTGCGATAGGCATAACTATCCACGGTCGCTTATCCCCAGTTTTGTTCCTAGGAAGTTCATTCATCATGAGGAATGAACTAAGCAGGAAAGCGGGAATTCCCATATGGCTATGTGTGAATAAGACAACTGACTCCTAGGATACGCCTACGTTGCCCTTTCGTGTATCTTTTCGTTGCTACCTTTGCGTCATCAGCCCAATCTTTGGTCAATCTCTGATGACACAGCCTATGCTTTCCACAAGATATAAGGCTCAGCTTTACCCTTGCTTTACGTTCTAACATTTTCACTCACAAGAAAGGCACCTCGTCAATTTGAACATGACAGACCAGAAATCCCGATGGCACGCGCAAATGTCCTCTCTCAGACTACAAATAGCTTTGGGGCATTCGCTCTCCGACTCAGAAGAGAAAACAACGCCAGTATCTGGCCCACCAAAGAAGGGGTTGCTGGCATCCGCTTTGGATCCTGACACATTTATTGAAAATGGAAACACGGGAAGATCTCTTGCACACTCGCCGGATGTAAGTTTCGCCTAATGCAAAGGGCTGTGGATGGGGACTGACAGTATCATGCGATTAGGCTATATCTTTAACCTCCCGTGATTCTCTATCCGGGTGTACAGAAGAGGCTAGAATTGCTGTGGCGCTTACAAATCTTCTGGTTCTTCTACTTTAGCAGTGGCGACGTACTCATTTCAGTAGACGCGTACGGATACTATGGAATTTGCACGGTTTTCAGAAGGGTAGCTTTGGAACTACAAAGGAGAATAATGACGTGGCTTAGTGGTACTTTGTGGTACTTCATATGATTATAGATCGACGGAAGCATTGTATTCCGTCAGGCTGGCTGGGGAAATTGAAGATTTTATTAGTGTGAATAATCAGGCACATTGAACTTCCCTTTCCATTGCCAAGGTTCCATGAGCTCTATCTTCCTCCCACACACTTTTTCTTTCTACAAACCACACTGCAATGCGATCCACTCTTCAGTATCAAAATTTGAGGAGGAGTAGTTGTGGCACTCATCCCATGTCGTGTAAGCATCTTCGTACCCATTATTGTCACAAGTATTAGTGTTGTAAGCGGTGCAGATTGCACCATTAGGACCAGTGATTCGCCACGACAGAGGCTTGGTCAGGGTTCCCTTATCACATGAGGTATTAGAGAAACCCCCATCGGTGTACCATCCGCAAGAAACATCAGTGTCTGACGAAGTTGTGGTTAAGTCGTTAATGACCAAGCACGTGTTCTGGGTGGTGTCTTCGTTGTAACCTGAAACTACATAATAGTCACCACTACAGTCTTTCTCACTGTAAATGGCGATAGACCACGATTCGGTTGGAGTAGGAGCGGCAGTGGTAGTTGATGTCGCTTTTCTCGTGGTAGATGTCGCAAGTCCTGCCCATGATGACCAGCTGGAGAGATAGTCATCCGGATAGTCAGTCTGAACAGGCCAGGAAGTCACAGTTGCTATGGCGGCACTTCCTGCGGCTCCATCCGGGTCAGTACCGAGAGCGCAAGTACCCATAGAGGCGGTCCACGATGCGTCATCCATTGCTGTTTGGTTCAAAATCTCGCCAGTGCCGTTGGCATAATAATCAAAGTAACCGGGGACCAAATATCTTTTAACATCAAGTGGTGGCGGAGGCGCCAGGGGAAGATGTGGATAGATATCGCCAAGCTTGTTTTGGATGAACTTGGCCAAGGCAAATAGAGCCATGCTGTCCGCATTTTGGATCGTCCAATCCGCGAATTGGGTTTGCACACGCGCAAGACCCTTATTCAAGTACGGTGCGTATGCCGTGACCCATTTTGAACCCGTGTCGTAATTGTACTTCATCTTGATATCCGTGACATGAGTATTTGGACCCCAACCGTTTGCTAAGGCAACCCAATCAATGTGTAGAAGCTCATGCATCCACGTGGTAGCCTGATTCCCATTGTAGTTGTTCATATCAGCATAGATCGCCGGTGTGAAACCAGGGTTTGCGCTTTCAAGTACGGTTTTGAGAGTGGGTTGACCGAAGTATGGTGGGCAGAAATTGATAGCAGGGGCAGAAGGCTCGTCTTGATCACTGTTGACTGTGTATGCCACGGTTTGGGTATCACGGCCGCATGAACAAGCCAGGTGGGGATCATCACAGCGAGCCACAATTCTCCAGTCCCATGGCATTCCTATCCACCCAGGCTGAATTGTGGCAAGATTCACGTAGATATTTTTGAATCTTTCCCGCAGGTGCTGGTTCATAGCTGGTGCGCCCAGATACTCGACGGTAGCTGCCTCGTTCCAGTTTATTTTGTCATCATATGCTTCGCTCATCATGTAGTTCATAATCTCCCAGGATTGTTGCCACCCTGAGTAGATTTCCTTCTTCTGAAGTGGGTCACAACCATGCCAGCCAACAAGCTTGGAGGCGAGTAGAGTGAGATTATAGGTCTCAAAGTTAGATGTATTGTATCCGCTTAGGCTCAGAGCAGCCGTAAACGCGTCCTCCGCGGCGGTGATGTTGGAAGTTGCATCGGCTTCAGCAGCAGTTAGGACAAAATTAGTCAAGTCCAATGCCCACTCCACCGTTCCGAGAAACCCATAAGAAGCATAGCGGTTGATGCGAGAGCTCTTAGTGCTATCCTTCACACGTCCGAGCCACAGGTGATACGCCGAGTAGCTGCCAATATTATTGGACGCCATCAAGACCCCTAGGGTCGAGCCGGAGATTAGATACTAAAGGATCTAAGGCCTCAATATGAAATAGATCATATGAAATCACTACATTCTTGACTAAAAAATCAACAGTAGTTAGGTAATATGTCTTTGATAGAAGACACCCGCGGCAGCATACACTCTGACCGAAAATCAAACAACCACCCGTCAAGGAAGGTCAAGAAAAGGGCAATATTTCGGGTTGGCGTAGAAAGTTCCTCCTAGCCTTTCAATCACTAAGCAACGCTCCTCCATGGTACGGGCATTTTGTAGCATTGCTCCACCTTTCTTACTAGCGCCCTCTTTTGTTGTCTTCCAAACCCACGCCCCACCATCCGAAGTCCAACCGACCCGAACATAATTGTTAGACCTTTCATCAAGCATGCCGGACATTCCACTTTCAAGCCATGCTAATTCGGTTGGCCACCAAGTCGGGCTAAGATATCGCACTATTAGGAGTTAGAAATATATAGCGTCCTAATAAAGGTATTGTTTGATGTAACTTACTACGATCGCAATGTGCATTCTCCTTTTGTTGCCAGTTGGGATCGGAATTTGTTGGACGCCTTGTATTGTTGAATGGGTCCAATTCCAGGAACTCTATCTCCACTCGGCTAGAGACATCAAGCGTATAGATTCCGCCTTGGGAGGGCCATCCTTTGACAGTCACGCCAGGACCAGACGAATAATATATCCAGAACTGCGGCTCTCCTAGAAACCGATCCTGAGGGGTAGTCCATTCGCTGCTCACTTCTTGGAGCAGTTCCTGGAGCGCGTCCTGGGGCATTGTGAGTGGAATTTGAGGGGCGGAACCCTCCGGCTTAATTTGATAGCCTAGCCAGCCAGCTGTAACTGATATGAGCAGTGGGATCACAGCCCACCAGTTCAACATTTCCCAGTTTTAGAGAGAGATAAGTCAGAAGGGACAATATCAGGGTTCTGGGATATAGATAGACGTGTGCCCTCATTAAAGAAGAAACATAAAGTTTAGGCAGAGATGATTGCAGCTTCTCAGTGATTCAAGCAGGCAACCGATAAGTCAGCAGGTTTCGCTAAGATAACTCTACCGTTTTGCAGGTCGTTATGTTGAGGAGATGCGGTGTTCAATGAAACGTGCGATACAGAACTCCGTGCGTGCCGGTCTCGTATTTTGTTCATTACTCTTGGCATTGTCCGGTGTTTCAATGTGAAGGACCCTAAGTGGGGGGCGAGGCTGCAGACCTCGAGAGTGAAGTGGCAAAAGATTTCCTCACCAAAAAAAAAAAAAAAAAGGGTCTCGTTACCGGAGACAAGCCATTCTGTCTAAACTCAATATCAAGTAGGGTTTGTCCAGCTCGGTGGTGAATTACGTTATAGATTAACGTGGGGTAGTTAGTACTCCGTCAATAAGTTAGCGAGACACCCTAACATACATACAACATTCACCCTCGAAATGTGTTTGATTGACATAATATGTGACAAAATACCATTTGCAATCACAGAAGCTGAAGCGATCTGCTAGATTATATAAGTCATCGGACCCCCAGCCGCATCACTCATCACCAACAGCACCAGTTCGCATAAAAACACCCATCAGCAATCATAGGCACAAGGCCAAAGCGATACAAAATGACTCGGAACCACTCTATGACTTCCAATAGAGGTAGCAAAGAATACACCAGCGTCTGCACATTTTTTGTGCAGTTCCTCCAGTTTGCGCATAGTCTCCAGGGAACTCTGCTGAACCTCTGAAGGACCGTAACCTTCAAGCCCCAAGGAAGTAAGGCGTGGCAGACAATTTGACTCTATCAAGCGGTCGATTTGATCGACGGCCCACCCGAGTAGCTCGTTGTGGCAGTGGCACAGATACAAAGTCTCAAGGGACGGCGGCAAAATCGCCATGAGTTCTTGCGTGGGCTCAAAGTCCTCATCAAGCTTAGCAAGCATTGATATAGAAATATGTAGATATTTCAACATGTTGAAATCGGCAAACGATCCCATCCATCCCTCATCGTCTTCTGGGGGTTCGTATGATTCGCCACAGAGCCAAAAGCCTTCAAGTGTTGTCTTGTGAAGGGAGATAGATTCTTGAAGGGGAGCCGATACAATCTCAGGCCCATCGGAGATCATTCCTCCGCCAATATTCAAGCGAAACGTCTTGAGAGCCTTGCAAGATTCAATCCAGACACGGAAGCCACACTCAGTGTTGGTCATGTCGAGATCAATATCGGTGACGTCTGAGAAGGGAATAATGCGGGTTTCTTCCTCTTCGCGAGCGTTGTCGACGATAGCGTGTCCTCCAACCCTGCGCATGGCGGGGAATTTGAAGAACGGATCCATGAGGCTTGCATGGATGGAATTTTCCGTATCATACCATTCCCCGAAAGCTTCAACGAGGCGAGAAAATGCCGTGGTATCCTCTCGTGCAGCCTTCACGAACATCCCCGTAACATATTCTGACATATCCGGGTAGCATATGCTGATTCGTCTCAAGCCTTTCAGCTGGGGAAGGAGCAAAGCCAACCAAGCGTCGGTGTTTCCGAGACGCAGTTGTTCATGCGGTTGCTTAGACCAACAGGTACCAGCGACAAATCCGTCAAGGAGTTCCCTATCATATTCATAATCAACGTCGACTTCTTCATTGGCGTCCTCAGTGTCCCAGTACCCTAGCCGTATAGATCGTACTGCATTTGCCAGCTGCGGACGTCGCGCAATTGCATTGACAAGTCGACTGGCTTGGCCAATAGTATGATGGGTACAATTACCAAGAATAACCCGAGAGTAGAGCGCTGGTAGCAGAACTGTGTACAGTCGACGACATGATCGAATCAGGGAACAGCGGTCACCCTGGAAAGGCAGTTCTTCCGCAATGAGGCAAAGAGCCTCCTCTGGGAGGTCGAGAAGCATGACCATGATGTAAGTAGAAGGTTTCTTGAGAAAGAAAAGAGATGGTAGTTGGGTTCAGGTTCGGCGAGGAGGTTGCTGTGTAGAATCACGAGGTGGGGGCGATAATTGTCTACAGCACTTGGTAGGAGACCCAACCATGGCCATAGTACTCCGCATATATACTCGGTATTAAGAGAATATGAGTGTTGGTGTGGTCACCAACACAGTGAGCGCTAAGAAAGGTGATGCGGGATGTTTGACAGAAGAGGCAACAAGTGGAGACTGCCAAGAGCAACTATCAAAAGAAAGCGCTTAGCTGAGCGGTTCAGTGCATGAAATGCGAGGCGTATACTCAGTGAGACCGAATGATATTGATTAAATTAAAATAATAACAAATCAACGGAATAACCCGCGAGGAGGTCTCATTTAGCAATCCCTGGATTTTGGGTCGCCCACTCAAATCCAAGATTCCTTGGTTGGTGGGATCAACAACCATGGTTCCGATCAACACTAACCTTAGCCCCAGAGTTGGACAAAGCTCACAAAAGGGGAGATCAAGTGCCGGGATAAGGAGTAACATTACTAGGCATACGCTCTGTTTTGGCCCGACCAAACATAGACAGACGTGATTTCGACCGGGTTGGAACTGCTGGCCGCGTACTTTGTTGAGTATCTTGTTGGGTTTCGCTCTCTACTTCCGCGGGAACAGCGAATTCGACAGGAGCGGCGCGGGCCTCCTCTACCTTTATCACGCCTTTGCGTATCTCATCGGACGAAGCGCCCGGTGGTGCGGTCGTCGTCAACGTCTCAGTAGGGCGGATTAGACCCTCGGAAGTATCTTGGTTGAGCTTGATGATCTCTTCCTCCGTCACCAGACGCTCATTCTCCAAACGGACCTCGCGCCCGCGTTTATGGCAGTACCACAGCACAAAGAGGAGGACTGGAGAATGTTAGTCAGCCAAAATACTATTGCACTTGGTGTGATGCTTCACTTACTGAACAATGCTAAAGACCAGAGCACATTCATGCCCATAACCGCCGGGAACCGAGCTCGCAGAAACGCCATGATGGATCGCAGCATGCCTACGAGAGCAGCGGGTTTCGACACAAGTTCTTTTAGACTTGGCACTCCCATTTTTTCTGCAACCGCAGCAGCCTTGCCCACGTTCTCCACATTGATTCCACTCTTAACGGCACGGTCGGCAGCAACCGCCAGCATCTCTGGAGCCAAGGTTTCAGTCCAACGCTCAGGAAGTTTCTCGATCAATTTTTGCATGGGACTAGGCAGCTTCGTATAGGTGTCTTGTAGTTGGCGATTGCCGTTCGTCAGCAGCATCTCCAAGTCGTGATAGGCAGTTGGGACTCCATTGATCAGATCCTTGAAGATGAGCTTGAACTTGCGTAAAAGCTCCTGTGTCTCCTCACTGATCGAAAACACACGGTTGTTATCCGCTGCCAGATTCAATCGCTCCAAAATATCCGTCACGTCGTCGGCGTCGTTACCTTTATCTGCGTTCTTCCCGTTTGTTGACTTATCCGATGTGGTCGGAGGAGTCCCCGCTTCGGTCTGTGATTTGTTCGCATCGTCGGCGTCTTTGTCCTATTTGCGCAAACTCAGATGTTAGTACACACTCAAGCCAGATGCAAGGATGCGAAAATGAACACGATTAAATAAATGACCAACCTTCTCTGTGCTTTTCTTCCAAAACATGGCACTCCATCGTTTCTTCTTAGGTGGAGGCTTCGAGACTTCCGATTTCGGTGTCTCCGTTCTTGTCAATGTTTGCTGGGAACTCTTCCGTTCTTGCCTACCCTCCTCGCCAAGCTCCTTTGCAAACTCCTCCCCAGGCGAGGTAGGTAGAGGGATGTTTTCGGCTGGTTCGCTTATCGCAGGTTGGAGGGACGCCCCAGTAGGACTTTCGGTTGGTGTTTGTTTATTCTGCTCTGTTGGAGGGGTAACAGATTCAGGCTCGGCGGTGACTTCGCGTAGGTAGGCTTCATCTTCAGGCGTCAGGACAGGCTTGGGCGCGGTGATCATCTGTGACGAACGCCGTCGGTGTTTTATTTGGTTGAAATACTGCATAGCCATAATGGAGGGTGTCAAGATACCAAGGACGGCAGTACGAGCTTTTATTTCCTGTTCCTCGATGAGAGGTGCGATAGAAAAACAAAGCAAGCTGAAACGAGGCGGGCGCGTGCTGAATGTAAGGGGAAGCGCGCGCTGTAGATTGTAGTGATAGATCAACTTTCCCAAGTGGCTACATGATATGTCAGATGAAATAATATGATGATCAGGAGATGTTGCACCTAGCCAAGTTGTATGCTAACACCAAGCTTTTATTTGTGCATTCGAGCCTGTTCATCGCGATGATATCACTGGTGGCTTCCCCGCATGTGCCACCGCATCACTAACACCGCCACACGTGCTCCATTTACGGACTCGGCTCGAATATCCTTAAAAGAGCTCTTTTCTTCCACTCTGAGAATTAATTTGCTAGCGTTCTTTATCTATGTGTATTTTGAGTGGAAGGTTGTGAGTTTATTTATTCAGGTGCACCTCGCTATTGTACTTTAGATGGAGCTATTCATTTTTATGTGCTCGTGCTTAGAAAAATCCACGTCTTCATTTGACATTCTAGGTGTTGAAGTCAAGATGAAAATGACGGATCTGCCGCCGCAAAAAATCGCATCACGGCCATTGTGATTACTGGGTACCCCATGATCATATCATGCAATCCAGTTTTCAAGATTTCCTCGCGAATAACCCCGTTCTCTGTTTTCCATTCCATCATAGACCCGGCAGCTCCCAGATCTGCTTTCGAATCAAGTTTCTTTTGCTCAAGGTCGTCATAACTGATCTCCGCTGGCATCGCAGCATTCACCGCATGCCAAAACAAAAGTTGGGAATGGTGCCACGGAATGTCATAGTCATCCTCGGCGTGGATTATCGTTATTCGGTATTTCTCTCCGTTTATCTCGTTCGCCCGGATATATTGCGCAATAGAATCCTTGCTCGGCCATTTGTCTCGAACGAATCGCTGAAGATATTTGAAGAGGAAGGGGAACCTCGCAACTGGCGACAAGATTGGCACGGTACCCGCGACTCGATAGGTCGAGACCAATGTCGCGACATCCACAAATGGCGCAACGAGCACCGTGCCTGAGAATACTATTGGTGGATCCTGCACAGCAAGATGTTTGGACACAGCGATGCTCACGGCCGTACCCATCGATTGAGCAAAGATCAAAATTCGAGATGGAGGGATGCCTGCAACATTCATTGCCCAATCCACCACGGCGAGGGCATCGGTGATGAGCCCGGTTTCAAATGGTGACCCGGTACTCTTGCCAAATCCTCGGTAATCAAACGTCAGAACATGGATTTTCCCGGGACTGCCCGCTGACAGCGCACGATAATTTGGGACGCGGTAACCCGAGGCGACGGTTCCCCCAGCGCCGTGCATATGAAGAACCAAACGAGCCTCAGGGTCATCCCGCAATAATTGAAATCCTAGCCGAGACTTGATGTCGGACACAAAGCCTACTGGCTCTTCGACAAGAGGTATTTGGTGCTTGCGATATAATTCCACAGGAAGAATATGCCAAGCGTATAGCCATTCACCATCCGCCGTTCTGATGGAGAACGGAGTGACCTGGTTCTTCAGGAATCCAAAACTTTCAGGGACATTGAGGTCTTTGAACCATGTCATTTGAATTGCGTGGAGATAAACGACATGTGATTGAAAGGTTGATGTGGTGAGTAACCCTAGGAGGACGAGGTACAACCCAACCGCGACGCCGACCGGTATCGACGCATATTTAAAGAAAGAACCAGCTATCTCCATAGCTGTCATGATGGGCAAATGAAGATTGGAATGAGAATATCGCATAGAAGTAAGGAAATGGGAGGATAATATTTGAAAGCTGACGGTTGACCTGGTGCAGCACACTAACAGAGTGGGGCAGGCTAACTTGTCTGGTATCTACATACTGCCCCCGCTATGCCACTTTTTGATGAAAAGCCATCTTCAGTCTAATAATATGCTCCCTCGTGAGCCTATTAGGACGAGAGTGTGTTCCAATGGCTTCTAGACGCCCGACTCGGGTTGGCTTGGCTGTTGGGCCACGTCGCCGTGCAATTAAATGAGATATGTGATATGTGGAGCCTAGCCCAGCGGCTACAGTAGTGAGTTGATTGGATATAAGGGATGAGCACACACGCCTTCCAAGGTTAGGACTCGGCGCGTACGGAGTGCATCTCTCCATTATGTGACCTGTCCCCGCTGCTAATCACAATCTAAAAAAAGAAAAGAAAAACACCCTAAAAGAAAACTCTGGGTTGATTCTAGAACGCCGAAACATAGTGTAAATAAATTCATAACCCGCTCACAAAAATAACAGTCCGTGGGAGATCGTATGTAACCCAAAGGTCTCACAAAAATGGCAACCAGTAAACTGTGTACTCGTAAGTATCGTAAATACCGGGGTCTGTTGCTCTTAGCGCCGCAAATACCTCTGCCATCATCCCAATGCGACTAAGAAGATAAAACACCGGAGAGGAGAGACTGAAAAGTGTCAAGATGCCGTCCCACCGGAGGACGACCTTTTCAAAGTGCATGAATATAAGCATCGACACGATTGAAATAAATGCAGATACACGCCAGAGCCACAACTCAACAATCGTTGGAAACATGGTATTCCAAGATACGAGATGAAGGGCGCCGAAAGAAACCCCGAGCAGACATGTCAAAGGCCAGATCCTTGACCTATATAAGTCGGGATCCCAATGAGAAACGACGATATCCTTGCAGGGCTCATATTGATGTTCGATATCTCGGATCTCTCTTTCGTTGATTGTGACTTCGCATGGTTGTTCGGTGGTCGGATTTTTATTTGAGCTCTTCAGAGCTTTGGTTCGAGCCTCCTGTATAAGTCTGTCCTCTTCTACCTTCTCAAATACCCGTGGGGTAAGGTACCATATATTCCAATATGACGTTTGATCTTTCATTCCCTCGTTGTCAAACTTATTACTGACAGCCATCGACTCGAAACCGTGCAACTGCTCCGGGCTCATTTCCGGAAGCACAACAAGAGATGGCGATCTGATATCTTTGGGCTTGTTCCACCAGAAGAAGTATGTCACGATGAACAATGGGATATAGCCAAGAGTCATCGACTCCAACTGCGAGAGTGGCAGATGATAAGAGGTGCGCAGTATGCATTGTGCCGAAAACCATGTCACTTGGATCAAAGCCAGTAGCTTTGCAGCATTATCTGATTTGCTTTTGTCGCAGATGGCATCAAGAGACAGGCCCCAATTTGGATGGTCTTCCCACCGAATGAGGTCTTGCTGTAGGAGCCAGGTGTATTGATTCGGCCAAATGACACGATCGCCATTCGGGGTTTGATATCTCAATGCGAGCATGCTGATGTAGAAGGCATGCACCATTTTGAATTGGCCTGCTGTATAATCGCCACATTCTCTTTGCATCCTACGGCACTGTGCCCATTCCTGAAGTCCTTCCACTGCAATAAACTCGGGTGCAACTATGGTCTTGAACAAAAGGGCGAATTTATGGAGGTTCGCAAAAGATTCGCGTTTGTAGACTCGGGGATGGATCACGACCCAGGTGCAGAGAAATATCGTGCCCAGGCATGTTGTGATCAAACTTATTGTACCACGACCGGGGTTGTCCCAGACCCATCCGACTAATTCTTTATTGCTTGACGAGCCGACGCTGCAATTTGAGCATGATTGGTTGTTCATTGAGGCGTTTGGTAGATTGAAAGCAGGTGCGTGCTGCTGGCGATTCGATTTGAGTCGGAGAACTGCTCGAAAAGGTAAGTTGATTGCAGGAGAAAGATTTAACAGTTGCATTCTTAGAATATTGTGTCGACATATATATCTCATAATCTAAATACCCGCTGGATGTTGCTGTATGACTAGGGACATCAACGTGTTCATGTTACAGAAATTCCCGAGTAAGGTAAGGATAATACCCAGGGCTTGCAGACACAAACCCGATTTAGACATAGATTAATCGAGCAGCAGATTTCTAATTGGCGAGTCAGTGATTGCAGTGGATATAAGAGGGGAATAAAGAACTGAGTGCTATCCGCACTAATAAGAACCCTCCTATAGCCGCCACTATATTGGGGCGGTTTATTTTTGCAGGGATCCTACCCACCATTGACGCTATGGGCATCATCCTGCTGTCAATTTACAAAATCACAATCCTCTCGAATATAGTCAGATATACCAAAGCCCTAGAAATTAATAGAAACAAATTCAAAGTGTCGGCAACAAGCTCTAGTAGTCCTAGAAGTTGGTCATTAGATACAAAAAATCGAGATATATGCGCTAAGGATAATCATGTTGCGATTCACTTATACCTATAAAACACAAAATGTATCAGAATCATGCAGCTAATCGGTTTTGTGCTAGTGGTTACAACCCTCAAACTTGCTGGCCTGACCTATCGCCCTAAGAGCTACGTAGCCAATGCAGTCTCTAATACTTAGGCCCGAATTTATGTATGTATGGCAGCCGGAACGAAAAAAAAGTGGGTTGTTGCGCGACATTCGAGATAAGGATGAAAGTGACAAGCTCGGGAATTGCAAAGGTAGAAACTGCGCCATCGCTCTAATATGTCACGGTTATCACGTGTACCGGCTTAAGAAAGTAAGAAGGTCCCATCGGGCATGAGGATGGAATTAAAGTGAAGAATAGCTCTTAAAAGAAACGTTGAGTCGAAAGCATTCCGACAGGATGCAACTTCGGGACCGAAGGCCTGTCTGCGGTGAAAGAGCACGACATGAAGTATGGCCAGAAATAGTGTCTTCTCCGTGGAAAGAGGTTTGAACTGTTGAAAGTCCAGTTGCGAAAAGGGGAAAGAGAGTTACCAGCAACCTCCTATAACACATACTATACCTCTTTCGACCAAACGGGGAATAATGCAGCCACCTTTCCCAAATAGGATCAGACTGGGACCGTTCCAATGTTCTAAAGTTCCAAGGCTGAGCCAAGCCCTGCGGGTTCCTGTCCAGGTGATGCTCTGATATTTGTGAATCTGCGATTGGCTATTTCAACTCCGTCGCCCGACGATCCTTCTTGGCTCGTCTACTGTACATAGACCTGTATGTACATTATAATTCCAGATGTACAATATCTCCCACAAAATTCACCTTAACCGCCAAATTAGAAATTGCCAGAAAAAGAACCAGAAAAGTACCGCCGAATCTGTTCTCCAATTCCTCCTACTTTCATTAGGGATGAGGTGGAGAGACCACGAAACTAGATGCCACGAGGTGGGGGCTCAATATCTCATGCACCCCACACCGACCCTGTCCCATGTGACGCATCCGGGGTACGTCGGTGCCTGAAGAAGATTGGAACCGAGGCAGTGGTTCTGCACTACGGCATGGATTCCGTCCTCGTTGATCTAGGATCACCAACCTTATAATTTGATGATTCTCTGTAGGTTTTCTGGCTCTTAGGCACATATGTTGGAATCGAATATATCCATCCTAACTCCAGCAAGCGTGCATCCCTTTACACTAGGAATAAAATTGGCGAAGGTATACCGCAATCAGCACCAAGAAGTGACTACCTCGGGATTAAACCTCGTACAGAACTTCACTTCTGCATTGATGCTGCATATTTCAATTTATTTGACATTTCGCATCTTCTAATTTGGCTAAAACCCCGCAATGCCAACCATATAGGTCCCCACTCCCGAACCCTAAACTACTCCACACTTTGATACAGCGGTCTAGTACCTAGTGCACCAATTTGGATATACATACCCACAGCATAGTTTGCAATATGAGTTATTTTATAAATCGAAATACACCAATACCACTTCACTATGCATAATGAGTTCCTGGCTCCGTGCTCTGGATTTCCTATTTGGGACTATCCCCGATGCAACCCACCTGGCGCAATTCCAACTCCTCCTCGGCATAACTATAGTGTGAGAATATAGTGACAGCGAGTACGGGGAAAGGTTTGAGGGGTAGCTGAAGCATTATTTAAAGAGCAACCAAGGCAGTTTTTCTTTTTTTCTTTCATCCAAAACAGCGCTCCAGCAGCCTTGCTAAATATTTCAACAACGTTCCACAAAATACTTATATATTGTTCCAACATGTTGTTCAACAGCCAATCCTTGCTTGTAGGGATACCCTTGATCTCTCAAGCTCTTTCTGCACCTCTTTTGGAGTCGAGGGCAACTGCTGGTGTGTCAATCCACCAGCCCATCTCTGTTAGCTAGGCAGCTCTAACATCATCTCAAGCCAGCGCTGCTTTCCCTGATTTGCACCGTGCAGCACAGCTTTCTTCCGCTGCTTACACTGGTTGTATCGGAAAAGCCTTCGATGTCACTATTACCAAGAGGATTTATGACCTCCTGACCGACACCAATGTAGGCGTGGTATTTGCTTTTTACACTAGCAAATGACTAATTTCAATAGGGATTCGTTGGATACTCCACGGAGAAGAAGAAGATATCGGTTATCATGAGGGGCTCGACTACCAGTATGGACAAATTATTGATTTTAATACTAGGTCACCTTGCTAATTAATCCAGTCGCCGACATCTTGAATGACATTGATATTACCCTTGTCACTCCCTCGCTCTCGGGCGTGACCTTCCCTTCCGACGTGAAGATCATGAGAGGTATTAACAGACCTTGGTCAGCTGTACACGACACAGTGATTGCCGAAGTCAAATCACTCATCGCGAAGTACCCGGATTACTCTTTGGAGGCAGTCGGACATTCCTTGGGTGGTTCCCTCACATACATTGCCCACGTTGCACTGGCTCAGAACTTCCCGGGGAAGGCACTCACCAGCAACGCACTTGCTGCTTTTCCCATCGGCAACGAAGCGTGGGCCAACTTTGCTAGTTCGCAGCCCGGTACTTTGAACCGTGGAAATAACATTCTTGATGGTGTTCCAGTAAGACATGGTTGAACTTTAGATGATGCAATGAAGTGGCTAACCGTAGCAGAACATGTACGTGAGCGGGCTTATCAACTTCAAGCACTATGGAACCGTGAGTGATCCTATCGAGGGCTTTTCATACTAATATTCAATCGCTTACCGACCGTGACCATACATAGGAATACTACAGCGCTGGCTCGGGGGCCACCTGCGTAAAGTGCGCAGGGGAACGAGACCTGGCCTGCTCTGCTGGCAATGGCATGTACGCTGTCACTATCGGTCACTTCTCGAGCTTTGGCATTACGATGCTTACTGCTGGTTGTGGCCTGTTTTGAGTACCAGAAGTGGACACAACTGGGCAATATATGATATAGATCGCTTATTTTGGGGACAAAGCGATTTTGGATGATTACTTCCTCGCTGGCGAGGGATGACAGAAATATGTCAAATAACCTAACATGACCAGTCTCAATATATATATCATTTGACGTCAATCACACTCTACTATGGCTTGTTAAAACAGAGGTAAGTCATAACGGCGCTCTTAACAAAGATACCACGTATATTTTCATTGGTTCAGATCTAGCGCATGACGTGAGATTTCAACACCAATATGCACAGCCCTGGAGGGTTCTCAAAGAACCAGCCACACAGAATCTCACTTCAGCCTAAGCCTCAATAACAGGTGACTTCGTCCCTAGTCACATTTGATATCACCTGACCCCCGCATTAAAACCCCCTCTTCCCATTTTCCTTCCTTGTTTTTTCTCTTTCCTCCCACGCCTGCCGGAGTCGATAACTTTTCGCTAAGAGAGTCATTCCAGATTCTCGAATGCAAAGCCATCCTAGAACTGTGTATTCCTCGTCTTTTAATTAAGGCACGGGGGGACCGTTTCTGAGGGGAGCTTCCAAGACTCACATGCTTCGTGTGCATGACTAGCAGCGTCAATCTGTATTTCTTTCGACCAACTCGTATCACTCCTTCTGATAATTACAAGATTATTTCGTCATTCCTGACCGTCTTCTATGGGCATATATCGGCAATAGGATTACTTTGCGCCGTCATGTTCAAGCGCTCTTTCGTATCTAAGGACCGGGCGGGTAAAACCGTCAAGGTCGCCAAGAAGAAGTACGACGAGCTGGTTAAGGAGAAGATGAAGCAGAAAGTGGAAAGTCCCTCAATGGGAAGGTGTGTTTCCTTTTTATATATAAATGCGGACCTACGCTCTCCATAAATATCGACATTTATTTCATGTGCTGATAAATGTATCCCTATAGCCCCCTTACCAGCCCTATCATTACTATGATTGTTGGCCGGGACCAGCGTCTCTTCGCTGCCCATGAAGATGTCCTATCCGTGTCGCCGTTCTTTAGTACTGCTTTGAAGGAGCAGTTTCTCGAAGACGGTGCCAAGCAACTGAGTTTGCCTGACGAGTGAGACAATCCTGCCTATTCGATTGAGCAAAAACTTACACTTGAGATAGAGAACCTGAGATTCTGTCGTGTGTTCTCGAGTTTTTGTACAAGGGCGACTACTTCCCGCGTTTGTTGCGTGGAAAGCAAAGACACTCTTGGTCACTCGAGAACGCCCAGGATATCAATCAGACTGGTGGCCGTGGATCGAGCGAGCCGACAATGTTCCACTCCGGAGTGGGAGATCTCGTTCTCCGAGACACAGCAGTGTACTGTGCTGCCGAGAAGTACGGCTTGGAAGAACTCAAGCGCCTTGCCCTCCGAAAGCAAGGTCTTCAGAGTGGTATTCCAGCCGACGTGATCTTGCGATCCGCTCGATATGCATATGACAACACACCCGAGTCTGATTCCCGGCTGCGCGCTCATTACCTGGCTCTCATCATCCGCAGTCGCAAGACTTTTAAGAGCAGCGGAACCTTGCAGATGGAGATGGAGGAAGGAGGCAAGTTATTCTTCGACCTGTTTGTAGCGATGTGCAACCACATGGATGACCTGTCAGAGCTGCGGTACGATTCAATTTCTCCTTCTTCTCCTTCTCCTTCTCCCTGACCATATCCCTCCGTTACTGCTGACTGCTTTTTCTATCCCGAGCCCTGAGTGCTTACATTCGTGTCTACCAGCACCAAGCGATCGCCGAGGTTTTTCTAGACGGTTGTAACATTTCCTATGTACTGGATCGAGCGACTCGGATTTTGAAATTGAACAAGAAAGGCATGCATCTTTTGCACCAGAATGACAGCGACCTTGCACTAGCCTGCGTTTTTGCTTTGACGGCAACTTGAGCTTCGCTTCTCTCGAGGTTGGCCGCCCTTTTGGTTTGAAGAACCGATCTTATTCGCTTTTAATCGGACCCACGACGTATGTTGACTTGCGTTCGACCACTCTACACTCCTTGAGATTGAGTTTTTTCGACACATTCTTTGATGATTTGCACTTATTCCACTGCTCTTGTTTGCGACAGTGATTATGCCTTTGTCCCTAATCAGGCGATGCGTTCGTTTATCGCCTAATTTACTCTTGGGCAAGGCGCCTACTTAGTGATGAGAAACAGAAATGAAGAAATTTGGCCACCTCAAACAAACAAATTGTAGAAACATTTGCCCTATGCATGCTAATGTTGTATCCCATCCCCAACCATTTTTGGTCTTCAGATTATTGCAAGCGTTTGCCCATTGATGCACTGAATCGTGGATTGATTTTAGGTTTTGAAGCAGAAATTCACTACGCCCTCTTCATTTCAAGGAAGGGAATTGGTGTTGTGAATAAATGTCTGCTAATTTCGATAGTTTTATTTTCCACCGGAGTCGCTTTCAGACATTTCGCACAACCATTCTCGGACCTTTATACAAAATCTCGACCCCAAACTTCTTCGAAGTCCTCTGGGCACATTTCGTCAAGCGTTTTTATGACCGATAGTGTTCATCCAAGGTTATTTAATGTTGCGGGAACAGACAAGTTTATTCCTATGCAATAAAAGCCTGTCTGTAGCACATCAGAACTGCAGGCTAGGTCAGTATTCTCTCGTATATCAATTGAAAGCTCATAGGCAGCTTTTAAGTCCCTGATTACAGTCATTACTTGCCAATAAGATTGGCTTCGAGTTTCTTAGGTGAGTCTCGGAACCCTAAAACAACCTAGGCAATATCCAGGATTTGGGGTCTCTTCTTCACAACGACATGATTTCTTAACTCTGATATACAACCTCAGTAAAGAAAACCTCGGGGTTATCGCCAAGATGATATTTATAAAGTATTGATTCAATTGCAGTCAAGAAAACGTTTATTTTCTACGACAAGAAGCTCTCGCCCGTCGCTTACACCGACGCATTATTAAACCGCGGGCTTTGCGTTGTTCTCAACGTTGATGGGCATCTCAATATCACTTCTTCTCTTTCATAGTCCATATAGCCTCTACCTGTGCTAGCAAAGACAGTACCATGTGAGTTATCTAGCCCTCATTGCAAGCTGATTCCGGCGACGCGAACTACATCTGCGAGATTTCCGACCATTCAGTCTGCGCTCAGAAGCCTGTTTCCTCTTCTTTTAAAGGTCATTAATGATATCTAGTACCAGCTGCAATTCTTTCAACAATTTCACAACAGGAGTCTAGCTTCCCATCATTATACTCTTGGTTCTATCCCCGGCAACTCAATATCGTCTTTCGGATTGATCGCTTACAAGATCAATCATAGCTTCACTTCCTTCTGTACTTCAAAGATTTTGACTTGCATAAAACAATCTTCCACTGATACTAACGACCACTGCCAGCTCCCGGTGACAAAGACCAACAATCATCTTCTCAGAAGAGCAACGAATTCTTAAATCATCCATGCACAACCTCACAACCAAGATGGGACCTAGAACTTATTTGACCACTGACTTGAGGCACCTAGGCAAGCCACGCCCGCTGGAGGCTGGTGAGACCTATGTTGTCCGGTTCAAAAACTCCCTCCGTCAGTACAAAGCTGATGTTTGGATTGGCGTCGTGCTGCCGGAGAAATTCGGACCAAGCAGACATGTCAATCGCCGCCCTGTTGGTGCCCAGCCAGTTGAGGGTGTCTGGATGACACACCTTAAAGACCGGGTTTACTCAATCTATCTTCCGGGACGGAATATGTAGTAAGTTTGATCTCCTTTTTAACACCCAAAAAGACACCCAACGCGGTGTGTTTATTGATGTATATATGTGTCCGTTGGCTTTCCTGCACGTTTTTTCATCTATATGTCACTATTTCTGATTGCACATATGCTTGTTTGTCTATACAGATTGGAAGCTAACATGCATAAAGCAGATGGGTCGGGCTGCAGGATCTCTTTGTTCTAAATGAGAAAACCGTCAATGTCCTCCGGCGTGCGCAGAGAGAACAAGATGCTAAGATCTGGGATGATCTGGTGGAAATCATTCGAACTGAGCCCGGACTAGAATTCTGGAAGAACATGGCTCTCCAGGAGCAAGGTGCTAAGGGCAAACGAGGCAAGGAACTGCGTCTCATCTTACCGAGTGGCCACGAAGGCCTTGTCTCCTGTGGAGAAAGCGATGAGGAATCTGAGTCCGAGGAGGAAGATAAAGAGGCTGACGAAGAGGAACATAAAGAGGCTATATTAGATCACGCCGAGCCTGTTACTGATGTTGCACCCAACGCATCTAATGGGCAATCAACCATGAGATCATTTTCTGACTCGCGTGCTGCACAGGGCATTCAGTTCAGGCAGGAATTGGGGGTTTTCTCAGATCCTACCCCCGCTACAATTGCATCTGATTCCATCCCCTTTGCAGACAGAGAGAACTCTACCTTAGGGATGACGAAGAAATTCCAGCCTTTCATCCCTCTGATACCTCATCCCCCTTCTTCTCGCCCAACATCATCACCATTCATTACGCTGGCGACCACCATGACTCTGAACGTGATGCCCAAGGTTGAAAATGATACTAGGTTTGCCAAATTCTAATGTCCATTCTCCACGCACATTCACTGACCAATATGTTTTAAATCTACAGTGATACTGCTAGTGCTGTTGCCGATGTGGCATCCGAGAAACCCGCTCCAGAGGTCTCGATCTTCGACCTGACCCTCAATCAGGCTCTGAAGCACGTCTTCCTGAACCAGCATGAAGCCGCCAAGATCATCGATGTTTTCATAGGTGCCGTGGCTCTTGAGAGACAGCCCGAACAGCTGCAGATTTGCGAGTACCTGGCCAATGGAGAATTCACTCCTCGCCTGATTACACTCAAGAACTCTGGCTTCTCCCACCCCACTCCATTCCCAGCCTTTGATTCCAACGGCGCCACTATCTACCGCCTGGTTGGTGACCAAATGGGCATTGGTCAGAACTTCAAGTTGAACGGTGTGGGCAACAGCCTCGATCTGGAAAACGCCATCATCGTCCTTGGAAGAGTGTACCTCCAAGCCCGTCGTTTTGGCCTAATGGATTTGGTTTACCGAATTGCATTCAAGCTCCAAGTCGCCTGGAACTGTTACCCGGAGCTCTACCAATGCAAGCCCCTGCTTGAGGTCGCTTCTCTTGCTTTCACCGGTAACACCGAGTTCGAGGAGCCCAATTGCGATTACCTCCAGTCGTGGTTGATTCATTTCATTGCCGAGGCCTCCGATTTGCTCACCTACAATGCTAGCGAGCAGTTCTGGTCGTTGTTGCGTGCCCATCCAAAGCTCCAGGACAAGGTTCTCCACCTGCGCACGCTGGCTCACGTCAATAACCCGGAGTTGTATGGAAATACCCGTGCGCTCCTCGACAGTCGTGGTCTTGGAAACCTGTGATGTGCATTCTGATCGAGCGGGGATAACACAGTGAACTGTGACCCCCTTGTCTCCCAGGTGCATATCAAGCAGATTGGATTTCTCAACTCTGCTTGCTTGGTTCATATTTCGCTTTCTACTGGTTTCGACCTTGGATCATTTGTATTCTTGATCATTTTGCTTTTTTGCGTGCTTTTTCCTTGCATTTGCTGATTATGAGCTCCGGTCATTTCGATCTTACACAACAGAAGGAGTCACATCTCAATGGTTTTATCTTCTTTTGTTTCCGTTGCTGTGAGGTGGAAATAGTGAGGCCGTGCAAGCCCATAGTTAGCTTTTATGCTTTTATCAGGGAATTATTCTTATTCAACAGATTTCGTCTTTGATACTCGCAGTGATAGATAGATAGGCCTTCAAGCGTACTATGTATTTCAAAGGCCACACGCAGCTTGAATCTCGCAAGCCATAGCGACAAGAGTAGATCCTAGTATCCGCCCAGCAACCTTGATGTACAAACCACCTTGCTATTGAATACCTACTGCTGGGACTATTTTTTTTAAAAAAATTGAATTCGTTATGTCAACTCGTAGGCTAATCAATGGTGAGAACGATCCCAAAGTGCATACAAATATGGCGGTGCACCTGTGCAAACCAGCCATCGCTAAAGGGAAATCGAACCTCACGCCTAGAGGAAGAAAAAGAAAGAACAAACAATGGAAAGAACAAACAATGGAAAGAACTGAAAGAAAAGCAGAAAATCAAGATTCGTTAAAAAAACTACCCGAGAGAAAAGAAATACCAGTTACAACATAAAAGGCGGAAGACAAGAAGGAGGTGGTATTTCTTTTCATAATTGGCATGACTGCCAATTCATCCACACGAAGTGGGAAGCTCGACACGAAGGGAAAGACACCTCAGTAGTCATCGTTAGTCTTCTCAGCCTTGACTGGCTTCAGAGGAGACTCAGACTCAAGGGGCATCTCAACGTCCTCAGCCTTGATTGGCTTGAGGGGAGACTCGAGGGGCATCTCAATGGCGCCCTCGGCGGGCTTCTCGGCGTCGATGACAATAGGCTCATCGGAAATTTCGGGGGAAGCAATCCTAATCTCGGGAGCAGCCTCGGTCTTCACGATGGTGCGCTCAATACTGACAGATGTCTCAGGGGAGGCCTCGGAAGACTCCTCAACAGCCTGGTCAGCGGGCTTAGCGGCGACCTTCACGGCAGCTGGCCTGCGACCTCTCTTGGGCTTCTCGGTGGTTTCAGCAACGTCGTCGGTGGACGCCTGCTTAGCCTTGTTGGCTGCAGGCTTGCGGCCGCGAGTTGCCTTGGGCTTGTTCTCGGGGGTGCTGTTGTTGTCCTTGGTCTTGCTGGTGGCACTGCGAGTGCGGGACTTCTCGGTCAACTCCTCGGCTTGGCTATCCTTGGAAGCATCGGATTCGCTGGTCTTGGCTTCCTTGGTAGCCTTAGTAGCCTTTGAGCCGTTGGTCTTTGCGCTAACAGCCTTGGCACGGGGGACAGACTTCTTGGTCTTGCCGTTGGTAGGGCTAGTCTCGTTGTCGGTAGAGGAGACTTCTTTGTTGGGAGAAACATCGTTCTTGGGATCCTTCTTGGCGCGAGTTGCACGCTTCTTAGGCTCGGCGGCAATGGCGGTCTCGCTGTCGGCAGATGAGATATCCTTGTCGACGGGGGAAACATCTTTGTCGAGATCTTTCTTGGCACTGGAACGAGTGGAACGAGTGGTACGAGTCACAGTCACCTCCTTGGTTGGCTGATCCTCTTCGGCAGGCTCAACTTCGTCGGACTTCTCGGTGTCGGTAGTCTCAGAGGGAGAGACTTTCTTGCTGGGAGTCGCACGCTTGGTGGACACCTCCTTAGGCTCAATATCGGGAGAGGCACTGATCTTCTTGCCACGAGTATCATGATCATGCTTCTTGGGTTCAGCGGACTCGGTGGTGAGCTTAGTGTCAGCATCGGCACCTTCGTCAGAAACTCTCTTGGCGGGACGGCCACGCTTCTTGGGCTCGGCCTTGACCTCGTTGTCGGCATCAGGACTAGCCTTCTTTGCAGGACGGCCACGCTTCTTGGGCTCGACCTTGACATCGGTCTCAGCAGGAGCAACTTGCTCCTCGGCAGCCTTCTTGGCGGGACGACCACGCTTCTTGGGCTCCTTGGGCTCAGCCTCAATGACAGTGGCCTCAGAGATAGCATCATCCTCGTCAGCTTTCTTAGCACGAGTTTGCTTCTTCTTGGCGGGCCCCTCGGCAGCATCCTCAGAATCAGTCAGGCCATGCTTCTTGGCAGGAGAGGACTGCTCATCATCGTCCTTCGGCTGTTAATGAAGTTAGTATGTCATATATCATGAGGATAGAACATGGAATTCACCTCATCGGCCTTGCCCTTACCAGCCCTGACACGCATGCGAGATTGTCCAGGGCGGTTGCATTCAATATCCTATGAAGGATTAGTCAGCTGATCTACAGTCTTTGAGCATCAAGACAGGTGAACTTACGCCCTTCCACTCGTCGTCTTCGACGTGGCCCACTTCGATGGCCTTGCGAATCTTGGCCTGTAGTTCCTTGCTCATCTCATCAAAGCCATCAATGCGAGAGAAATCAGGATCCTCGCTGTTCTCAGTGAGCGCCTTCTTGACGTTCATAATTTGCTTGGGGGTGAAGCAGCCCCTGCATGGATGTCAGTACTCAGGGCTATCATAGACCTTATGTTTTAACAAGGCTAGACTCACCAGTGGCGCCAGGACCAGCTCTGGAAGGTCGAGCCGTCAACCCAGCTGCCGACTCGCAATTCACCCTTGGCGATCTTTGTCTTCTCCTTGGCACATTCAGAGCCTTTGCAGCCAGCACGGCCTTGAGCAGCGACCTCTGATCATGAAGTTAGCTGTGATGTCTTGAAGTCTGTCATGGTGCCTTGGATTTGGGAGAGGTAGGTGTTTTTGCCAGAAATGCCATAGGTTAGGGCACAACATGACAATATCAGTTGTGAAACCAGGCATTTTCACTTGATACAACAGATATACATCCATCGACCATGAGCACAGCAGTAGGAAGACATAGAGATATGAGATGAAGCTACTTACCGAAACGGTAGGGCATTTTGACTAGTGGTAGTCAAAAGTAGGGAAAAAAAGATGTGTGAGAGAAGTTAACGATGGTTGTGAAGTGAAGTAGGTACATATAGTTTTCTACTAGCAGGTCGCTGGCGAACAAGGGAAAGTGAACAAAGAAAGCGAGAATCGTTTGCACAATAAACGCAGTCCGAAAACAGGCAAGTTCGAAATTGAAGTTATTGTCAGAGTCAAATGAATAGAATGTTACACATGCATGAGCGTCAATTGACTTTGAACCGAGTATTGACTCACGTTCTTTCATTGTTCTCAGTCGACCGTGAGTACTCGTGAGATATGAAGTGGCTGGGACAAAGAACGTGTCATACCCCTTTCGGACAGCTGTGTTTTCTGGCCAATCAGAGTTCTTCTCGGCGCATAATCACATTGTACTTTTTGTCAGGATTTCTTTCTGAATTATAATTAATACATTCGACTAGTGTGTATAGATCCGACCTACTAGACCTAAAAGGGGCTGGTATTAAGTGCTGGTAAGAAGATGAAATCTATTGTTCAAGTGGTAGTCCAAGTATTGTTAACTCCAATAGATAGCTCAAAATAGACAATAGTTATCCGCGGCAAAGTTGGAGTCATAGAAATGAGGGTATCATAGCATCTTGTAGCATAATGAATGCAAAATTTAACGATGTGACGAGAAGCGTTCGCCCACGTTCAGAATATGTTGGTGGGAGTCGATCGTACCTGTCATGATATATTTTTAGTCAATTTTGTAGACTTTCCCATTCTATAGGCATACGTTGTATAAACATCCGTCATGGGAATCTGACAGAACGTAATGCTAAGAGAATAAGAGTTTCACATTAGCATCATTGTCTACAAGCTGTCCTGAAACTTCCACCATGCGTCCAGGACATCGTTGTAGCCCATTTTTTCCAGACGCTGTGCGACCTGGCGGCGCTAATCTTTTTTAGAATATTCATTCCCATAATTAAAATCCATTCCTGCGGAGATTCGGAATTTTGTTCTGACCCATTCGATAGGGACATAGCCAGCAAGCTCCCAGTCGATGATATCTAGCGAGCCTGTCGAGATATCGACAAGAATGTTTGTAGGACCAAGATCGCAATGATAAAAGACAAGTCTAGAGACATCCATAGACATCTCGGTACAATTCTTTAGGAGCTGGAGGGGCTTGGAATTCGGAAGAGGCTTGGAATTCGGAAGAGGCTTGGGTGCAGCTGAGAGAGCGAAATGCCCCCCCATTGCCGTCGCTCCAGCATGCTTGGTCGGGTGGAATATTGTCCGGGAGGGGGGACGAATAATGAGTAAGAAGAAGCGTATTTGAGATCAGCCAAGAACTTTTGTCAACTTCTTGTATCGAGTCATTGAGGTGCGGCTGAGGCAGGTTAATCGCTGACATGTCGATTGATGTTGAGGTTCGAATAAACACAAATATTGCTGTAGCCGTTTTACCTATGGCTCCCCGCTCACCGTGTCAGTGTATACTACAGTATCTAGAAGATAGCCGATTATCAACAAGCTAAATAGCATAGAAGTAAGTATCTCGAACTAACAATCGTTAGTTAACTATACAAAAGAAAATCTTCAGAAAGGGTATGCCGCTAACCGAAGGCGGTTAGAGTATGTCGACGTTAAAGGTTCAAGGTTCTACATCTTGAGCTTGTTACTACTTACTACTCGCCTTTCTCGCTGCTTTGAATAAACCAAAATCTACACAGCACACAGTGGAAATCTCCCAGAAACTGAAGGCCAGGCTCTTCCACCACCAATTTAAAGCCGAAGACGCGAATCCCTCTCACTCGCGCAAACCCCACGATTCCACGCGGTCGCATCACCTCTCCTCAACCCAACATCCACACAATGTCCGAGCCAGGCCCAGAGTCGATCCCCACAAGCGCGGATCCCCGCAGCAAGCGGCCAACAAAACGGCGCGCCGTGACACCGCATTCCGAGGTCGCCAACCAGATCGAGACACTCTTCAAAGACCCGAGCAAAGACCTGCAACTACCGGATGTCCTGAAGCCGCGCACCGTCGCGTCCCTGTCGGCGCCGCCAGAGATCGTCACCAATGTGCAGGGATCGTCGGCCGGTGCGGGCTCGGGCGAATTCCACGTGTACAAGGCCAGTCGGCGACGGGAGTATGAACGACTGCGGATGATGCAGTCCGAGGTGGATAACGAGAAGAATAATGAGACTTGGGAGAAAGAGCGGGAGGAGAAGAAGCGCAAAGATGACGAGAAGACGGAGAAGAATCGGAAAAGGAGGGAGAAGAAGAAGAATGCGCGTGGGAAGAAGGGCGGTGGCGATCATAAGGATATTGCTCCTGTGGAGAGCTCGGCTGCCCCGGGCTCGATGGTCACTATGGAAGACCAAAATGGGGGCGATGTGGATGGCCAGGTGGCCCAGCAGGAAGTTCCTGGTGTCATTTTCCACGATGAGGACTAGGGGCAGATTTAAATGCTGGCTGTGTACGATACGAAGATACCCATCTGGATTTGGTTTTTTTTTGAATCTAGGATATTCATACAGAAGGAAGACAGCCATGAGGCAAATCGTGTAACATTATGTACGGACCTCGAGTCCAAGTATCATTTTTCTTTTTCGTCTATCAATCATTCGTCGCCGCCACCACCGCCGCCGCTGACCTGCTGGGCGGACTTTGCGCTGCAGATGTCGTCGACACGGAGAAGGAGACATGCGGACTAGAAAGAGAAATATGTTAGTGAAATGTAGTGTGTAGGAAACAGTAAAAGCTTACCTCGACCGCAGTCTTGATGCTCTGAAGCTTGACGGCTTCGGGCTCCCAAACACCGTACTCCCGCATATCAACCAACTCTCCAGACTCGCCGTTTAGACCCCAGGTGTTGTGGCCCTCGACATGCTTGGCACGGAGACTGGTAAGCACACGGATAGGGCTAGCACCAGCGTTCTGGGCCAATGTCCGGGGAATGACCTCCATAGCGTCGGCAATGGCCTTGTATGGCCACTGCTGGACACCCTCAACGGAGCGGGCAAGCTGGCTGAGCTTTACGGAGACAGCCATCTCAGTAGCACCACCTCCGGGAGACAGACGAGGGTGGAAGATAACGTTGCGAGCAACGGACATGGCATCCTGCAAGTTGCGCTCAATCTCGTTCAGAATATCCTTGGAGGGGCCGCGCAGCAGGATTGTGCAGGCCTTCGGGGTCTTGCACTTGCGAATGAATGTGAAGTACTCATCGCCAATCTTTTCAATCTCGAACAGTCCGCACCCGGTACCAATATCAGACTCCTGAATGTCATCGACGCGGTTGACGATGGTAGCACCGGTTGCACGGGCAATACGGTTGTTGTCGGTCTTTCGCACACGGCGGAGGGCTGTGATGTTGGCCTTCACCAGGAAGTGCTGTGCAAGATCTAGTAAATCTCGGTGGTTAGAACATGCAATCAATCATTCTTAACCAGGTCGCCTGCTTACCGGAAACACCCTTCTCAGTAATAACAACGTCAGGCTTGAAGGCCAGAACAGCCTCGCACATGTGCTTGACCTGCTCCTCCTCAATCTGGAGAATACGGTTCCAGTCATCCTCCTTGGAAATCTCAATGTTGGTTTGAGACTCGCCCTTCTTGTACTCCAGGGGGCAATCCAGGAGAAGAATACGGGGGTTCTCGATTCTGCGACGCATCTTGGGATGCGTGATATCTTTGTTGACCATCACACCATCAATCACCTCAGAGTCCTCAATTTGACCACCGGGGACCTTCTCAATACGGGCATAGCGTTTGATGTCGACTTCCTGCTTTCCACTACCGACATCGAAGGAAACGGTTCGCACAGCCTTCAATGCAAGACCGCACATGAGCTCTGACCAACGGGACACGAACTTGGTTCCGATGGAGGACTGGATAAGACTGTACATGGCCTTATCATCATGAATGTCGACGGGTGTCGAGACATCCTCCACGATCTGAAGGGCATCGGCGAGGGCGCGCTTGAAAGCCTGGATAATGACGACGGGGTGGATGTTGCGTTCGAGCTGGGGGACGGCCTGGGCGAGCATTTCACCGGCTACAGAATATCAGCATTGACTATCGAGTCCTCCGAAATCAATATTGCCATACCTAGGATGATGACTGTCGTGGTACCATCTCCGACCTCCTCGTCCTGGGTACGGCTGAGCTCGATCATGCTCTTGGCCGCGGGGTGCGACACTTCGATCTCTCGCAGAATAGCGTGGCCATCGTTGGTCAACACAATACCACCCATAGGGTCCAGCAGCATCTTCAACATCGCCTTGGGTCCGAGACATGACCGAATGATATCCGCAACACTGGTGTTTATTGAATTAGCATCGAGCGGGGGAGAAAAGCGGAGGATTGAGGGATAGCGTACGTCTTGGCCGCGGTAATGTTAGACATCTGTGCTCTCCGACCAACCTGGCGCTCGCCAGAATTGGTGTCTGGATGATTTGTTAGCACTTAAAAGGGGAGCAACTTGATGGGGGGGTAACCTACTCATCACCACCACCGGAGCCTGCATATTGGCGGTGATTTATTGTAGTTGAGTGGGAAATGGATACAAAAGGGTCTTGATCACTTGTGAATATCAAAAAAAATATTGCACGAAGATGATGATCCAAGAGTTCGGACGTCAACGCTGTTCGCCCGCGTTCTATTAAATTTCCAGGCGAAGTGGGAGCTCCCTCGGGCTAGTCCATATACGGCTAGCGTGGGGCCCTGACAAACTAGGCAAACATCTCCAACTTCGTTATCTAGAAGTCTATAAAGCTGTAGTTCAATATATAGTCTCACTACTTTTCTCATTGGGTATTTCTATAAATGTTCAAATAGCACTGCAAAAATAAAAGTAGTCTAGGAAAACCGCCATATCCGACCTCAGCATGCCAAGCGACTACCATACCAATATGTGTCTTCACTTGGATCACCCAACTTGAAGGACATGACGAACACCCTGGGCAAAATTGTTAGCTTATTATCTACGGCACCAATGATAATAGAAATTCCAATCAGCCAAACCAATATGAAGGATAACTCCGCTGTTTCGTAAAGGGAATATCTGGATGCAAAATCACACAAAACGAGCAAGGATAAGTACGGGCTAACGCAAGCTATGAAAGTAGTGTACAAGAGGTGGAGTTTTGTTCAAAATTCCCGGCTCTCGCCAATATCACACACATCGAAAACACCAGTTTCAGCAAGATCATGTTTTTTCAACGCCTCCTTGAGCTTCTTGGGAGGCTCAAGCACATCCTCCTCAGTAAGCACCCAAGTGCCCCAGTGCATGCCCAATGCATTTTTGCACTTGGTATCTTTGAAAATGTGAACAGCATCATGAGGGTCAGAATGTGCGGCACTGAAAATATGACGAGGTGCGTAGGCCCCAATGGGGATCAAGCCGAGATCAAATGGTCCCCGGAACTCACCTATCTGCTTGAAGGCAGGGCAAATAGGGAAATTGTATTTGGGGTCCCAATCATCCTCCCCTTCCGGTAGCTCGTCCACTGCCCTGTAGCCGGAATCACTAGATTGAGGTCAGCAAAGCAACATTCTGATAGCGTAGATGGTTTGGGAAAGATCATACCCAGCAAAATACACCTTGCTACCGCCAGATTCAATGGCCCAGGAAGCCCATAGTGTCTTGTACTTATCGAAAGGACTGCGGGCAGTGATATGCTGACAAGGCAGACAACTGATGCGTGCCTTGATATCTGCTGTGGCGGAAGCTTCGCCTACTTGTTCAACCTGGGGATTCTTTTTCTCCTCGGGTGACATTGCAATATCACGCTCATCCCACCAATCCAACTCGGTTACATTTTGGATGCCCGAGCTGTGGAACCAAGACTTGTTGCCAAGTGGTGCAAAGAAATGGCAATTGGGGTGCCTTTTCGCGATTTCCGAGATAGTTGGGTATGACAGATGGTCGTAGTGGTTGTGGGAGATGACCACAGCATCGATGACAGGGATATCCTTGATCTGGCATGGAGGCTCAGTGTAGCGCTTCGGACCTAGGTGATATGGTCCGCAGCATGGCCCACATCGCGCTTCGAATACTGGGTCAAACAGTACTCGGAGACCGCTCGGGAACTCCACATAATAGCATGCATGGCCAAGCCACGTTGAACGCAGCTTGGGGGTATCTCGGCTGGGGAGAAATTCGGGCTTGCGAACGGTGACAGTTGGAGGGGTGGTATCGGGATTATTTCCTTTGCCGTTGAATCGACGAGTACTATAGTTCCATGTGTTAGAGACTGGCTTCCTGCGATAATCGATCGGTATACCTACATCATCATTTGCATGATATCTCTTGAAGTCAGATCGCGAAAAGATCTGTCATACGGAGTTGCTGGTTAGTCTATACGAATGATTGCAGTCACGGAGCGTCACTTACTCCCACGGGTTCCTGAATCCATTCTGTGCATGGTGACTTTTCTTCAAAACATCTTCCGGGCTAGGTCTGGCCGGGGAGTTCGCCACAGTCAGCGCATATAGCACTGCAGTAGTGGGTGTTGTGCTCATGTTGCGGATTGCCGGTTGAACAGTTCGTCGATACCAAGCCCGCCAAAGGAGCGGATAACGGAGAAGAGGTCGCATCGAAGGCCAAGGCGTTAGAAAATAACGCCACACAGAATACGCTGGCGCCTTAAGGACAGGAATGCGAGAAGCAGGAAGTTACTTTAATACCGATAACTCCGACATGGGGCCTTCGCGCGTTGGGAACGCCGATACCACCGGAGTTCCAGCACATCCGTCCCCATCTTGATTGCTTGTAGACCACTCAAGGTACATTCAAACCTAGGAAGGTTGTAGTTCACTTTCTCATCGTCGGTCTCCCATGGATTGCCCTGTGAAACGCCCGTGGGTACCTCAAATGCTCGGCCCGTTGTAACTCCGATATCTGTGCTTATCGATCTTCTCAACATTCGCGATCTTCACGACACTGTTGATTTGGTATGGAGCCAAATGCGGTCCCTAGCGCTGCGCCGTCTGCGGGCGATCTGATTCTGCAGCAGAAAACACAGGCGCTACAGTCGGCCCAAAACGGCGACGGAAGTCTCCTCTCGCAGCTAACGAGCAATCCCTTGTTTACCGCGGTATGAGCCGTGCCAGTGTTTCGATCCCAGATGATGTGCTAATATGGTTCTCTGCTAGGGATTTGGCCTTGCAGGTCTCGGAGCAGGATTGACACTAGCACAGAAAGGTGTTCGACATGGCGCCGCTCTTCTCCGCCGGCGGATGCTGGTGGACGTCGAGATCAGCATCAAAGATGACTCGTATCCGTGGTTCCTACACTGGATGACTCTGTACCAACAATCACAACTCAATGCAAGCAAAGCCGCTGCGAATACCTCTACCTACATGGACCGATTCCTCCAAAAACTCACGCCCGGCATGCGCCATCTCTCCATCCAAACGCAGAAAGTCGAACATTCGAACGGAGCAATTGATACACGCTTTTCGCTGATTCCGGGTCCTGGAAAACACGTTTTACGGTACAAGAATGCGTTTGTCTTTGTTAATCGTATGCGCGAGTCGAAATCCCGCGACATTCAGACCGGAAAGCCATGGGAGACAATCACCCTCACCACTCTCTATTCTCAACGTCACATATTCGAGGACCTCTTCACCGAAGCTCATGCATACGCCGCGAGGGGCCACGAAGGCAAGACGACAATATATAACAGTTGGGGTACCGAGTGGAAACCATTTGGAAATCCGCGCCGGAAGCGTCCACTGGAGTCGGTTGTTCTCCACGAGGGAGTCAAGGAACGGATTGTGGCAGATGTGGAAGACTTCATTTCAAGTTCATCATGGTACAACGACCGTGGTATTCCATACCGACGAGGATATCTCTTATACGGACCTCCGGGCACCGGCAAGAGCTCTTTTATCCAGGCGCTAGCGGGCGAGTTGGATTACGACATTGCCATTCTGAACCTGAGCGAGCGCGGCTTGACCGATGATCGGTTAAACCACCTGCTCACAATTGTTCCCAATCGAACGCTGGTTCTGTTGGAAGATGTGGATGCGGCGTTCTCGAACCGACGCGAGCAAAGCGACGCAGATGGTTACCGCGGGGCCAATGTGACTTTCTCGGGACTGCTCAATGCACTTGATGGAGTCGCTAGTGCCGAGGAGCGCATCATCTTCCTTACTACCAACCACGTCGAACGACTCGATGAGGCGTTGGTCCGTCCTGGGCGTGTGGATATGACTGTCCGTTTGGGCGAAGTGACTCGTTACCAGGTCGGCTCCCTGTGGGATCGATTCTATGAAGACATCGATACCGACGGGGTTTATCGGAAACTTTTCTTGGATCGGCTCCAGGAGCTTGGCTTGATTGAAGATGAATCAGGCAACAAGGCTGATCGGTCTATTAACACCAGCGCGGCTGCTCTCCAGGGCTTATTCTTATATAACAAGGGTAACATGGAAGGTGCGATTGCCATGGCGGAGGGTCTGACCCATAATGTGCACGCTGAGACATTAGGTCAAGACTAAGGGAAGAACGAATAATTGTACACTATCATGTAAATAAATCATCAAAATATAGACATCCTTGTGGGCTGCGTCCTTTAGCTCATGCCCCATTCTCGGCGTTTCCTTCTATATGTCTACACTGTTAGGCTGATGGCAGTGCATCTGCGCGGTTCTCCGTCCACTCGTTCTTAACAGGGAATAAATAACCAACAAGGATGAGATGCGATGCCACTGATACGATCGACCCTTAGAACAAGCCAAGCTTTATGACCTGAAGATTATCACTATCAGCACATGTGAAGTATTCCTGCACCATAGAAAATACTTCTCAAATCCAGGGCGAGCAATTCCCATTTAATCGCGCAATTTCATCTATCAGTATTATAATTCGGCCTTTCAGATACCGGTCGCCATGAAATAGTTGTTCTTTCTCTCGCCGATGACTGAACTGACTGTCTTAGCCATCACCCTCATTACCCCTCTACAATTCACATCCGTTCCTCACCGCCCCCCGCTCTCCGTTTTTCGTCCGTATGTGATAGCAAGATCAGTTAGGCGCTTTTGAAGAGTTTAATATATGGTGTGACCCGTGTGTTGATGTCAATCCTGTTTCTTGAAATTATCCATTTAACAATATCCGGAGCCGATAAGATGCAGATACTAGGGTCAACAGGGTCAGCAGGGTCAAACTCCCCGACTTCTTCAACGCAAAAATAACCAGCCAATATAATCTCCGGATTCTGATAAATATAGATTCCTCATGAGCCAAGCACCAATCACCACGCTGTATCGAAGCGCCGCTACTGCAGCTGAGATGTGCCCATCCCAGGATGGAGGCCAATCACATCCCTAAACGGTTAAGCGCCCACTCGTATAGGCAGGGTTGTCACACATCTCGACAAACCATATACTCTGCTTGGTCTGTCGGGCTGATGCGCACATTCGGTGAGAATGGGTTATATCTCACCCGAGACCCCCTGCTTTCGCGTTCTGTCTTTGTTTATAGCATTCATTCGCGAAGATGGGTGACAAGATGAATCAATTTCAATTATTTCCTGCTCCATCACCCGAGGTCAATAGGTCCAACAACCCATTTCGCAAAGTCGGGAGAAAGCCAGTAGCCACATCTGAGCCGGCTTCTTCGATCCCTCTTCAGGAAATCAAGGACCCTGGTAAGACTGAATCCTTGCTGCTTCAGATTATCGAAGACACCCAGGGTATTCCACCTCCGCCAAAGGAGAATGGTTCGAAATCTAAGTCCCCACCTTCTATGGTGGGAGCATCTGATTCAAAATCTCCTCAGTCCATGCACAGTCAGAATCGTGAAGCCAAGAGAGTGAACCATCAGGCCTTGCCTTCACAGGGCAGTCAAAGCAGCAGCAGTAGCAGCCACCACACTACGCCGTCAACTGTCTCTCCGCAGTCATCACAATCGTCTGCTTCCTCAGTTCCGATGAAATCAATGTTCCCGCAGTTCAATCCAAAACTGCCTCTCAACCAGCAGGTATATCACCCACGGCTTCCAAATGTGCCAAGTCCAGCCAAGTCTTCTCGAAAGCCTCCTAAGCTTACGCTTTCGACAAATACTGAGATTGACCATGTTCTCGGGCCAAAGACTGTGCCTGCAAGTGTGCTCAACTTCCCAACTGGTGCATTGGAGTCCGAGGAGGTTACATACTCCTCTGTGGAGGAACTGAAGATGTTATGGGAAACGGCCAATGGCCAGAGAACACGAGATCTTGTTGGGTCATTGAACCTGCGCATGACAAAGTAAGACTTCTTGCCTTATAGATGTATAATACTAACATCTCACAGAACGGGACCAGCTACATTTACGCTCGGAAACTCCCAGAACCCGTTTTACACACTACAAACATATTCAACCAATGAACTCGCTCTAAGCAGGTGCGACCCTTCCAGACCAAACCACGATGTACCAATCATGATGATGAGCCTCGAAGACCGCATACGTCGCGAGCATCCCAACGACGGACTCGTGACCCTACTCTTCCCCCGACTAGCAGCCATGTTAGCTATAGACCAGGCCGACGAGATCAGCAAGCAACACCACCTCACGCCCGCCGAGACGGCGGAAGTAGAAACCGACGCACTCAAACGGGCAGCAGCACAAGAGTCCTGCCGGCTCTCCTGGAACCGCCATCAACGACTATACGAGCTACGGCACCCATATTTCTCAAGAAATAACCCACCTGCTCTTGTCGGCGCCGCCGGAATCCCACTCTCACCCGTGCGATCCCAGTCATCAGGAATGGTGCACATCACAGTCGATGCCTCTCCTCGCCAGCCGCCAACAATCATCGTAACTGGCCCGGTCTCTCCAACGGCACTGGAAGCCGGTCTGCAAGCTGCTAATGCACGCACATCCGTGCTTCCCGTCACGGACCTCGACGAGCCGCTCGCGTCCTTGGACTTCGCTACGAAGACATTTTCGATTTCGCCGGCTGCTGTGGTCGCTACTATTCCCTCCCTGTATGCCATTGATTCTCTCATTGCTGCAATGTTAGCAGTCGCCGTCTCAGATGAAGCCACGAACCCCATCCTTGCAGACATGCTTCTCGGATCGCCGAAGTCGTCTAGACCTCCGACCTCCCACAATCCCGGGCCTTACTCTATGCCTGTGTTCCAGGGTAAACTAGTTACGACTGTTGCTGAGCGCCAAGATACAGCAGAGAGCATGGATTTGGCATCGCAGATTAAATCTGCGCAGAAAAAGTCCAAAGAGTCGGGGAAGAAAAGTAATCTCAAATTATGGAGTAGATTCTCTTCCAAGACGAAGGAAAATTCGAAGAAGAGCAAATCTCAGCAGGTTGTGGTTGAGGAGTTTGACCTGGAGAAGTATGGTCGATATGGCAATAGTTCGTCGCGAGAGGGGAAGAAGTTGCCTGGAATTACTCGCACCATCTTGCGTATACTGTTCTTTGGCTTGGATATAGTTGTGAAGGGATTGACGCTCATTGTGAAGATCTTGGCTTGGTTATTGGTCAATTCGACGCGGTGTGTGACTAGTGAGAAGTTCTGAGCTGGGCTTGAATCTTCTTATTCTCGATGTTGGTTACTATTGGGTTTTCCTTTATATGGAACTGTTCGGAAGCAATAGGGTGAGTTGTTGGACCATGTCTTAGTTATACTGTTATACCCAATTTGATAGTTCTTCGCGTTATCTTTAGACTCTAAGAATTGCCCATTATGTTATTCCCACACAGTACTCAATGTCCATATATATACACGGGAAAATTACATTTGGTATCGCCAACTGATTGATTGATAGCATCTTAAGCTATAGCCTATACCTATCGCCGGCAGATCCATACTTCGAGGTGACATATTTCGACTCCTTGGATATTACATCTAAGCACTACATATCATAGCACTAAGGTGGTATCGACTTCGATCACACTTAGAGAATTTGGTTTCCTCTGAATTGAACGGTTACCAGCCATCTTGAATAAGATCCATGAAACAGAAAAATGAGACTGTCCCTTGATCCTTCAATCCAACATTCTTCGGAGTATAGGACCTAGGGATAAGCCAGGAACGTCACAGGGAGATGACAACTGGTAGATTCTTCCATCAGTCCAGTACATACAAACGATAAACAGGAGACCAAGCGTACGTGGGGCTGGAAAATGCCACCTGAAGCTTCACTCTTAGGATAAGCACCGTCCCGGAATTCCTAGACGTCATAAACGCCATAACACCGCGATTAAGGGATAAAGGGATATGGATGTGATGTCAAAGCATTTATTTCCTCGGGAAATAACTGATAGGAGAATCCAATTGTAAATAAAGCACCGAGTATTCCACGAACCAGCCGTTCCCTCCATAGCTTCGTTCCGTTATATGCTAGACTCCCCATCCTAGTACAACTACCTCCAAGCTCGCAAACCACTTCTCCAAAAACCACACAATATCCAAAATGCGTTCCTTCATCACTGCCTCAGTCCTCATCGCCGGCGCCCTAGCCCAATCAACCGAAGACTACCTCAAGTGCGCCGTAAGAACTCCAACCCAATAAACCAAGTACCCAAACAAACCTAACAACCCACCCAGAGCGCCGCCTTCAGCAACATCAACACCTCAAACTTCACCTCCTGCAGCACCAAAACCTCCCAAGAATGCTTCTGCGCCAACAAATCCCTAATCAAAGCCCTAACCACATCCACTGCCCCAGCCTGCGCCGGCCTCGACCTAACATCCCTCACAACCTCCCTCTGCAGCAACACAACAGATGCCGCACCCGCACGACACGCAAGCAGACCCATGCAGCTCGCCGACAAGAAGCGGGCCTTCGCACCTGCGCCCGCACCTGAGCGCGAAGCCGAAGCTGCTGTTCCGCACGTCGTCTACGTGACTGAGACACGCACTGATTGCAGCTGCAAGAGCACTCCGGTTGCCGAAAGACCGATGCATGTCTCGCAGATTCCGGTTGATGTTCCCGCTAGCAGTGCCGCTTCTATGGCGGTGGAGGCATCTTCGACGCCGGCTAGTCGGCTGCATGGCTTGATGGGTGGTGCGGCTTCGTCGTCTGTGATCTTTGGTCCGCAAGCTACGTCTTCGGCTGTGCCTTCTGGTGTTGATCCGACTCGCTTCTCGCCTTTCAAGGGGGCGGCTGCGGCGGGCGCTTCCGTGCATGGTGGTGTTGCGGTGCTTGGGGTTGCGGCTGCTATGGCTGTTGTTGTTGCATTGTAGGTTGTTTGAAAGGGTGCTTCTCGTTTATTTTTGACTTGGTTAGCAGTTAGTTTATATTTGGGGTTTTGAGATTGATGTTCAGATGGGTTCGGACTTGGTAATGATGCATGAAATGTGTTTTGGCAGTGTTATTAGTCGTATATTATCTTCAATTAGATTAACGTTCACCGATTTTTGCTGATAATTCATACATGGCGAAAAAGCGGATAGACATTCCACCTATAGACGTAAGAGTAAAACTCCAAGACCCCTGCTGCAACTTTGTCTGGAGAGCTCAAGCGTGGACTGCCTGCTGGACTCTAGGGTAAATCTCCACCAGCTTGTAATAAATATCCGGGTGGTCATTAATCATGACCTGAGGATCCCAAGCCATCGCCACGAAGATGGTCTCAACGCCACTACCAATGGGAGTCATGAAGACCTGGCAGACCTGAAGACCAATCAAGAAAGCGAAAGCCATGATGACCGCGGTGAAGTTACCATCCCTGTTGTACGCGGGGTTGGTGAACTGCAGATAGAGATAGGACAACAGCGCACAGACATAGGCGACGAAAGTCGAACCCATAGTCAACACCGGACCCATCAGGCAGTCTTGCACGAGAGCATCAATTCCTCGATCGCGCATCATAGACCAAGTATCCTTGGCTGCGGGGATATATGCCTTTCCGTACAATGCGATGTGACAGAACGCGTAGCGATTGAAAAGCGTAACGAGCCAGTCCAACAGCGAGATGATAGATCCCAAAATCCAAACGAAAATACTGCCGACCAAGTTACCCTGTCCAGCCTCTTGTCGCTGCGCGACCGAGCACGCCTGCCGCAACATGTTGATGAACGCGATGATCAGACTGCCGAAACTGATACTGCCAAAGGAGTACGTAGTCGCGCGACGGAAGGCGCCCCGGGTGGAGCCCTTGGGCATGCCGCCGGCGGACTTGCTGAAGAAATACCACGAACCGTAGACACCGGCGACGGTGGTGTGCACCGTGTTCTTGATCCACTCACTGACCCAGTACATGGCGAAGGTCACGTAGACGACGAGGCCGATGACTTTTGCTCTGCTGCAGCCGCCGTTCGTGCAGGATGGGTTGTTGCCAGTGGAATCGGGCTCGTAGGCGACGTAGATCGAGACCATCGTGACGGAGAACCAGGCGGCGAAAGCGACCGTTACGATTCCGCCCAGCGCGCTGACTACGAAGATGTGCCCGTACCCTCGGGCCACGTCCATGGCGGTCTGCAGCATAAAGGCAGTGAATGGGATTCGCGGGATCCAGCTAATGAAACAGACGATTGCGAAGACGCCGAAGATGAGGAACACGATACCACCTCCATATTGCTTGCGCGCGATGTAATAGATTCCTGTTGCCAAGGCGAAGACAATGTTGAGAATGCCGGTCGCCCAGATGAAGGTCTTGGTGAAGTATCTTGCGCCCATGAAATAGAGCCAAGAGAAGACTAGGGCGACGACAAGGACGAAGATAAACAAGACGAGGGTGTTGGTGTCCAGCGAGAAATCATTGCTCGAGTCGTAAATGCCACCTCCGTTGAAGCCTTTGTTGGTGGCATACTTGTGGATGGTAAGTCCGGACACGGCGGCATACCCGAGGAAGACTGCGATCAACTGTGTAATAGGTTAGCTAAAGGAGGTTATCAACTCGACACGGCCACACTCACCAAAAGACCTGCCCACAGGTCGTTCCACTTTGGCTTCTCGATCTTGAACGCCTGGTCAAAAGTGTATCCAGACTCTGGGACATTTTGGTGGTACTGCGGTGGTTTGGGCTCAGATGGAGGTTGCTGATAGGCTGGTTGCTGGTATGGCGCATTATTTGGCGGTTGATAGTTCCCATGTTGCTGTTCATAACCAGAGTTGGGCGGATACTGAGGTTGGCCCTGAGGGAAGCCCTCATTATTGTAATAGCTAGCAGCCTGTCCACTCATATCTGCGACACTGGGAGAAGGGGGAAAACAAACGAAAGAAGGAAAAAGAAACAAAAGGGGCAGCAAGGGTTTTTTAGGTTTGGCTGGATTTGACTGGTGACGACATGAAAAGAATCGCAAACCTCGATTGGCAACGAACTCAGCCCTAGCGATCGCCGATCTGCGCTAAATCGACCCGTGGACCCTTTTCTTAGATCGTTGAAGATTTCCGATCGCCTCGTCATAGTTTGATTTGACGGAGCTTTGATTTCATCTGAAGAGTTTCCATGGCTCGTGAGAAATCCACAATGTAATTTGGACATCCGGAAATTGGAGAGCAGGACCTACAACAGAGGTACAACGAGAATTATAGTTTGCCCAGCTTTGTTTCTGTCATGTCCTGTTATTACAGCCCTATAAGGAGTAGTGGTTAATTAACTAAGGACATCTACCAATTGGTAACTGGATTGCCTAAAACTTGAGAAATGCCAAGTCGGTTGCCTGCTTGGCATAGGACTTCGTTACGCCAGCAGGAATTTGAAGCGACTTGATATTGCCCCTTAACATATGCTCGCGTTAACCTTGGAAAACAAGGTGGATTGGGTAATCACCTTTGATGCAGCCCTGGCAACATTGGCAGTGTGAACAATTCAACGAGTATATTTGACATCAACAAAACGCGGACTGGCTGTCATTTTCTTGATCACAAGATTCATTCATTGCTACTCTCGAGCTCTCTAGTAGGGCACCTCCATAGACCAACTTTTCCACAATGCCTCACTGGTCATGCGAATGGGAAAGTTGTAAGAAACCAGCTGCGCAGAGAGCAGGAGATTGCTTGCTATGCGATAGGCACTTCTGTCGCACGCACCGCCGAGAGCCGTGGCACAAATGCCCAAAGCCAGAGGTTTGTGGTATAGCCATAATACAAATGCTCATGCTCATCTAATAGGAAAACTGGGAATCATACTCTGCTCAATATACAGCTACAGAGGCTCCTCACATAGACGAGCTATGCCTTCGAATAGACTGATATTGTTGGCACTCTCTTTGACGTCCCACTAGGCGACCAATTCTTTCTTAAGCACCCGGATGATAAGGGCGACCATATTCTAGTTAAGGAATGTTACAATATTGTGGGTATCATCGACTAGGAATGGACGCAAACTGTCTCCAAGGCGGAGGCATTCTGTTCCCGTCTATGATGTGGCTGGCAGCTAAGTTCTACACCGGCTCTCATGAGCTACCCGCGGACGAATTGCAGCTAGCTGCTATCTTTCGCGAAAAGGGCCGCGAGGATCTTGCCGTCTGTGTCGTCGAGGGCAGGAAGGCTCAAAGACTTTTCTTCGCTCTTGGTCCTGAGAGCTCTTTTCTAGATAGACACTTTCACATATTTTCGCAGGACTCCAGCGGGCCTTCAAATTTAAAGATGAGGAGTGGGAAGCATGGAAGAGCAAGGCTTCAAAGAAATAGAAAGATGATGACCTACTTCTTGGCTTGTTAGAAGAAGAAAAAAAGGAGGAAGGGGCGGGGCGAGGTGAGAGCTTTGAAACAGAATAGATTTTGCAAATCCATTTGTCCAACAGCAAAAGAATTACTGTGTGAAGGTTGGTTTCAATAAACAACTAAACAGCCTTAGCAGCTAGGGAAATGAATCTATAGCATGCTCTCGAATGTTTACTTGGATATCATTCATACGAAAGCTTCAATTCTATGGCTAGCTTGCTGTCATCATATTCTGAAGCTCTACCATCACGAATTTGGCAGATTTCCAGTTGTCCTTGAGAGAATCCAGGGATCAAACCTCACACGAACCTAGTAGTAGTATTCTTCCCTAATGTGTGGCACATAATTGTCTAGAGTCGCTTGACATAAATCGTATGTAAAATCGGGCACCGACTTCATGAGTTCGGCATCAATCACAGGAGTGCGCCCTGTTCGAAGACGCGGTAGGTTGGCAACTATCATTTGAATCGCCAATTGCCTCAGCTTCTGGTAGTTGGCTTGTGTCGAATAAAGTTCTTGGATCATTTCTGCAAAGGAGTCTCTTTCGAGACAATCCATGAATGATGCACGAAAGTGTCCCTCCGCTTTGCTTTTCAGATCGCCGATCATGAAGTAATCCGCCACGCCATACATGCGCACATGGAAGTAACATGGATGACACTCAGCCAATGTATCGGCCACAAGCTCTACGGTGTCCCGTTGCTCGGATAGGGTTTCGTCATTTGGAGCTGATTCATCCATGGCCAGTTCCGTTGGCAGGGGAGACTCTATCATTGGCTCGTCTGCGTGAGCTTCATCGTCAACAGTCTCTGGGGATTTAGGCGTGCGGGATCGGAAGGTGTAGTTTCCCGTGTATAGGAATTCCAGCATCTTCTCGATTAGGATCGGGTCTTGTTCGTCCAGATCAATCGGGTTGTAGGTTTCCTAAAAGTCATCACCGCTTGTCAGTTGTGGTACGAAGAATCGTCCACAGGATTAACTTTTACTACCTTGAACCCGCTAGAACAAGCCCGACGAAAATACTCTGATCTAGAGCAGACGAGGAGCTTATGAGCCGAGAAGACCGCATCCTTGCAAATGATAGTCAAATCGCTATAGTCCGAGTTGAGGTGGAGGCTACTTTAGCGTTAGTTCATCGAACCGAATGTCATCCTGAATTGGTGATTTCTCACCTAGCAATAAGGCCAAGAATAATCTCCTGGTCTCTATATACCGAAGGGTCTAGATCACTCATTGTGGATGATGGTGAAGCCTTATATTTCTTCTTTTTCGCAGCCATACGGAAAATGAAGGTATGGATATCTTGGTGGGTTTGGCAGATTGTAAAGTTGGATGACCAAGATATTATTCTAGCGACTGATATTGTTTGCTACAAGCGCAAATACTGATGCACCGCTGCCTAACCCCGCTTCCTTTCATTGAAATGCTATGTTGGTTTGGGCGGCAACTATCCCTGCCACAGTTGTACCCTAGGCGGCGAAGCCTGCGACTCCTGCTGAGGTGCATGACTCTAGGATCCGCTGGTTTTAACTTGGTGAAGGACATATAAAACAACGGTCACAGCAATCTCTCACCTCGATAACCAACAGCTCTCGTTTCCTTTTCAACCTGACAACACAATCATCACAATGGCAACCAAAAATCTCCAGTCCAGTGACCATCGCGACCTACTTGATATTATCGACAAACTCAGATTGCAAGGGATTACCCGTTGGGTCGACCTTCCAGAGATCATCGTTTGCGGCGATCAGTCTTCCGGGAAGAGCTCAGTACTCGAGGCCATCTCAGGCATGTCCTTTCCGACGAAGGACAATCTGTGTACCCGGTTTGCTACCGAGCTGGTCCTTCGACGGGGAGACCGGACAAGCATCGACGTCTCTCTCATTCCGGACCCGACTCGCCCTGAAGCGGAACAGGTGCGACTCCGCTCCCAAAAATTCCACCTCGAAGAGCCTCTCAATCTTGGAATGGTGGTGAATACTGCCGAAAGTGTGATGGGGCTGGATGGCGCGAACAAGGGCTTCAGCACCGACATCCTTCGCATCGAGCTGTGCGGCCCGACCCAACCACATCTGACGTTGGTGGACCTGCCGGGTCTGTTCCGGGCTGGGAACAAAGAACAGTCTGACCAAGACGCGGAATTGGTGGAAGAGCTGGTGATGGGCTATATGAAGCGCCCAAGAAGCATCATTATGGCTGTGGTCTCCGCTAAGAGCGACTTCGCTTTACAGTCGGTCACCAAGCTTGCTCGACAACTGGATACCCATGGCGACCGCACCTTGGGCCTGATAACCAAGCCGGACACACTGGATGTTGGGTCAGACAGCGAGCGCGCCTATGTGGAACTAGCCAAGAACAATGACGTGAGATTCGGACTTGGGTGGCATGTTCTGAAGAATCGGGATTATGCCATGCGCGATGCCAGCTCTGCTGAGAGAGATAAAGCCGAGGAAGAATTCCTGTCCAGTGGTGTCTGGACAGAACTGGAGTCAAATCAACTTGGTGCGAAAACTTTGGGACCACGACTAAGTAACGTCCTCATTGACCATATCATTCTCTATCTTTCTGCTATCCAGTGCGACGTTGAATCAGGCATACTTGGCTGCAATACCATCCTTGACAAGCTTGGGGCCTCGCGGGCCACCTTGTCTGATCAGAGAAGATACCTTGGCAAGGTTGGACAAGACTTTTCGATGCTCATGCAAGCTGCCGTCAACGGCGAATATTCGTATTATTCGTTCTTCGGAGACAGCCGCTCTGATGAGAGTTACCACAGGCGTCTTCGTGCCGTTGTCCAGACTACTTTGACCTCCTTCGAGGGGCAGATGCGCAAAGAAGGCAAGGCGCGAGTCATTTTCGATGAAGAATCAGATGATAATGAGTCGGACGAGCCAGAAAGACAAGAGAATTTGTGTATGATCTCACGATCTGACTACGTGGAAGAAGTCAAGAGTCTGATGAGACGCAACCGCGGTCGTGAACTGCCTGGCACCTGGAACCCCATGATTATTGCGGAGTTGTTCAGAGATCAATGTCAGCCATGGAAGAATATAGTCGGTGGATGCATCGCTGGGATCATTCGAGCTGTTCATCAAGTCATCAACGACATCCTCGAGCAGGTTTCTGTCGGCAAGACCACGGAACGCATACGTCGAGATATCATCAACCCGAAGATGGAAATGCTGGTGCAGAATCTCCAAGAGAAGGTTACCGAGATCCTCAATCCGCATTACTCAGGGCACCCTATCACCTACAATCATTACTTGACGACTACTGTCCAGGAAGTGCAAAAGCAGCGATATCTCAAATCAGTCGAGGCAGCTTTAAGGACCTCCGATGCTATTCGAAAGGAGAACCGTCATATCAGCAAGATTAATTATAGTTCTCTGGCTAGGTCCGTGGCTCAATACACCGAGCAAGATATGGAGCGAGTTGCCAGCTTGCAAGCCGTCGACTACATGGAGGCATATTACAAGGTGACTTTATTTTTCTTTTCCTCTCTGACTATAATATATCCGTCTCGCTCCTTTCGTGATTTTAGTATATGCCTACGCATACTCTCAAACCGCCAAGGACTGTTGTTAATAATTCTTGGATACCTAGGTTGCCCTGAAGAACGTGATCGACAACGTTGGAGCTCTGGTCGTGGAAGCATGCCTGATCCAGAAATTACCGACTCTTTTCATGGCGGACACGGTCTACGACATGCAAGACACCGACGTTCAAGGCCTCGCCAGCGAGGGTAAGGAAGTAGTCGAGGAGAGGACAAGAGCGATGCAGAAGCTTGAAAGACTTCAAACCTGCCTCCGGGACCTGAAACGGTTCGATAAGCACGGCTCTGCTCATTCACGGTAGGCCAGCAGCTTTCCAGACTGTCTCTACGGTCAGAAGGAAAGTGAAATGAAGCGTTAAAATGCTAAGTCAGCAACAATAGTTTGAGAAGGGTGCTGTAAAGAAGACCTCGAACGACTCTTCTGCTGAATGTATTGAGAGTGATCGGGTTCTTTTTTTCTTTTCTTTTTGAACTTCAAGGTACCTTTTTGGTCTTCGGACAATTGATGAGTTAAGCCAATGGCGAGACCACTGCTCTTCTTATTTTCAGTCATGGCGGACACAGCAATGCGATGTAATTGTATACCAAAACAGCTAATGCCCTTTTTGCTTGTGGAACATAGGAAGTCGAAGACCGATCACGTCAGGGGGGAATTATGAGTAAGCGGATGGATTCTCCCATCGGGTTGACCCTTTAGTTTATTTTTTTCAAGAATACAAACACGCACTTGCGGATTTTTCCTTTCTATCAGAAGCAAGTAGATCAGCATCTTCAGACCTAGTAGCCGAGGAGATGGGAATTAGTCTGCGTCTTCAAGTCCTTGTAGTCCCCTACACATTTCCGATATAATTCATGCATCTGAATGAAAATTACACTTCATAAAAAGTGCTACCAGCCCCAAGGTACATATATTAGAAAGAATTGATATTAGACAAGCAGACCGGGACCAGACCGACTCAAGTCATTTCAATGGATGATAGTATAGATACCAGGCAATAAATCCAGGCATACGACCTTGAGCGCTATACAGCGTCGTACTGAGAAGTGTTTGAAATTTTGTACATATGCAAGAAAATGAATGCCGTAAATGCTCGATTCCCCCATTTCGCCTTTCGAAACCAAGACGCCTATAATGCAGGCAAATAACTGCCCTCGCTAAACCTCGTCAACTTCGCAATTATGAATACAGGCCATTGTCTAAGAAAGACACCCAACAGACATGGACGCCGAGATGGCCATTCGCTTATCGAAATGCATGTTGTTTCAAGTGACGCCAGGAACCGACAACCCGGTGCTCGATGCCTGGGGTTGGTGTGTTGCTTCGGCCGGCGAAATCATCCGTCCCAGAATGAAGCTGACCTTTGCTAAAAGCTACTGATCGTCGTAACTTCTCTTGGCGGACAGCCGTACGGCGTTGAGCTCGGAGTTCTTCGATACGACCTTGTCCGACGCGGTGCTTACGTACGAAACATTCATCCATCAACGTGTTGGCATCCAACAGTTTTTTGGGGATGGTTTGGACGATCTGGAATGCCTCCATGGGGTCTGTGACGGCGAGTATGTCCTTTTCGCATGCTTTAAAGATTGCCAAAGACACACGGAAGAAGGTCTTGGAGCCCTCATAGAAGAAGACATCCCAAACTCGGAGAGTAGTTTCAAGAGGTAAACTTCCGATGAAAACCGACATAAGCCAGTTGGTCAGTCCCAGGGTTATGTCCGGCAGCCGAGAATTCACTGTCAATGGAGGCATTTTGCCCCGTCCGGACGGGGTTCCACCCATGGAAGCGATCTTGGAATAGATGCCCGGCATGGTGTCCCTGAGCAGGACCATGAGAATCCAGAGGTCAATGTTCGCGCCTTCCAGACTAATTTCATGGGTTCCAGGCAAGTAGTCTGCGGCGATAATATGCAACATCCAGAATGCTTTTTCCTCAGGGAGGAAGAGAAGGAGCATTCCGGTGATGAAATTCAGAGATTGAGTATATCCGATTTTCGGGTTGTGCAGCGCATAAGCATACAGAACCCGACGTAGAGACTGAATCATCTGCGTTTCTGTAGTGACATTAGAATAACTCGGATTGCTGCTCCCGGACTGTTCTGCTTCCTGGGTCACCTCCGGTTTGAAATGGAGGTTGTCGGGGAATGTGCGGTGGAGATCACGCTCGATGTGCTCCTTGTCGTCGTTACTCGGTGAGGTCATGGCCTTCGCAACGAGTTCATCATACTGGCCAAAGTTCCGGTTCAAATGCTCGTACCCGCCGGCGTAATAGAACCAAGCCGCACCTCGGAACTCTGGAGGAATTCCTTTGCGAACAAATCGCTTGACTTTCGAAGACTGCGGCGGAAATATTGTGGGCTCTGATATGGGAAGCCCATGTTCCTTGAGCAATTCACACCATTTGGCTCTCCGTTGCGTCACATGGCTGGAGTAGGATCCTTTCCAGGTCTCGTATTCATCCAGGGTCACATATTGGGTAGCTTTGCGAAATCCGTAACCGTCTCGAGGGCCATCTCCAGAGCAAAGTTGCGGCGGCACTAATCCCGGAATAAAAACTTTTGTCGAGGGCTGTCGTTGGTGTGTATGATGCACATCAGCTGCCGGCGATGTTGGGGGGGTGCTATCGGAGGGAGCGATATCGGAGGGGGTGAGATCGCGCGGAGAGTCTGGCGGAACAGGGTCCGACGGGTCGGGTTCAGGTGGATGTTCTGGGAGTGCAGGTTCTAATGGTGTGAACTCTGGAGGCGATTCTGGAAGTATGGGCGGTATGGGGTTGGGTTCGGAATAAGCCATGTTTGGCAAAAACAATGAGTCTGGCCTTGCATCTTGAGAACTGGGAAAATGTGGCATCGAGGATGCCGGAGGAACGTCGCTCAGCGACGGATATTCTAGCGGTTGTAATTCATGTAGGTTCGAATCGCGTGACGGCGGGGGCGTTGCTGATGGCGCTTTACTCCCCGCGTGGGATTTCGGCGAGCCAGGCTCTTCGGTCACGTCGCTGAAGCCATCAAGATACATGGAAATCGCGTCTTCGACACTCATCCCATTGTCGTCTCCATAAGGCGTATCAGGGGTATCCGGTGAAAGATCGGTGATCGAGCTGCTCTTGGTTAGGACACTGCTGCGCTCTGTTCCGCTTGCTTGTTCGGCGCTCGAGCGCCAGGTTTCCGAATTGACACTTGGTCGGGACTGATTCTCTTCGGTAGGCCCGTTTGTTGGGAAGCCTGTCATGGAAATTTCCTGGGGGCTCATGTCCTGAAAGCGGCGCTCCATAGATTCCTGCGTCCTTGGGCGCCTATTATTCAACCTAGAAGTTGACATGGATATACGGAGACCCCCTCGGGCTGGCATAGCTTTCCGATGCACTGCCCGTTCGAGGTCATCTCGCTCGGGCCAGTTCGGGGAATAGGTTTCAGGTGGTGTGGCGTAAGCTCGAGTGCGACCGGCAGTTCTAGGGGTTTTCCATTCGCCCCTCGTCCCGTGAGAGGGGCCATAGTGAGGCGGAGTGAGTGGCCACGGGTTGTCATGATAATTGTGAGGCCGCCGCTGAGGCGAACGCGATCTATGGCGAATTGCAGAGCGGGGGGAGTGAGGTGAGGATCTCGGAGCGGGATTTGCGGTTCGCGGGCGTGGGTCGACTAAAGACTCCAATTGAAGAGGGTGAGGAACTCTGCGCCGGCCGGGAAGGTCGAAATCAGCCGAGGGAGGCGGATAGCGAGGGTTTACGTTTCCTGTGACCATGGCCACGATGTCGCACCCAGTTCCCGCTGGACATTTGTTATCGCTGAAGGAGAGCTATCGATCGATAACCAGAAAGCATTCGGACCGGAAAAAGGGAGATTCTCAACAAAAGGGAGTGCGAAAGCGCTAGAGAATGAATGAGGAATTTGGAGAAACGAAAGACACGAAGTGAGAGGCCAAATTCGGGAGACACAGCCTGCCAGAGGACTGTGGATAAAAGAAGAGAGAAAAGGCGCAGTTGAAACAAAATCAACAAAGCCTTGATCAGGTTTAGGGTCAGGTGACGTAATATGGACAAAGGGGCATATTGACTACAAAGCACAAAGTATGGAGGATATAGAGTGGATTGACCGTTAGATATGTACTCTAGAATGGTATTTGATTATTCTACAACATTCGCATTGTTGGAATCTTTGTATAAAACTCGATAGGTCAGAAATCCATGTGTCGATCAGGAACTCTGGGCTTTAATAGTCGCATGTTGTATATTTTATACAGCACTTGACGCCTTACGCCAGCTATATGCTTCTTATTTCTTAGCTCAAACACCATTAAGGGGGGAAGATCCGAGAAGGTATCTAAATAGACCTAAGAACTACCAAAAAAGACACAAAACTGCATACGGAGTCAGCTGAACTCTTGTTCTATTTTCCTACGGAGTACTTAGCCCCTGAATTCCAGACCAATCAAATATCGCAAATTAATATTTCGACTCCTCTTTTGACAACTCCTAATTCATCTGCGTATGGCCGTGGAATGTTAGGCCGCTCGAACCCTTCCGTCTTCGGATAGCGGATGTCAACTGTCAACTATTTCAAATTGAGCTCACATTGACGTTTCCGTATTAATTTCAAGAGTCTATTTCTCGCAATGTCTCCCCGGAAGAAGGCATGATTTGCGAACCGCACTTATGTATATGTGCCAGGGGAGCTGCAGCTGCATTATACTATTGACCAGTACCAGCAATGAACCCGTTTGCCCAATATGGCTATTGTCGACAAGCAATCAGCGTCTTACATCCGTCCGAGTAGCTGGGCAGATGTAAGTATTATTAAAATCCCCACTGTGGAACTGTCATTGACTAACATGCTTTTATAGGGTCTGCGAGGAATTGCCGCAGTTTTTGTGGTCGCGAGCCATACCTGTCTATCCTTTGCGACATATCTGATCCCGCCATCTTTCGCGGAAACAGGAAAGTCTATTTTGTTTCAGCGGCCGTTCTTTAGACTAGTCATACAGGGCCAGGCTTGGGTAGCTATCTTCATGGTGCTACTCGGGTTCGTGAATGCCTTAAAACCGCTTCAGCTAGCTCGACGGGGAGCTACAAGCGATGCTCTTGCTACACTCTCGACAGGCGCCTTCCGGCGCAAGTGGAGACTGGTCTTCCCCGCTGCTCTGATGACAATTCTAGCTTGGCTGTTGTGTCAGTTTGGTGTCTACCAATTGGGTAGAAGGGTAGATGCATACTGGCTCAGAGCGACAAGCCCCCAACAAAGTCCATCTTTGAAAACTGCCGTCGTGGATCTGATGCGAGAGATAGTGGGGACTTGGATGTACGGAGAAAATGCCTACGACCAACCCCAATGGGCACTACTACCCCTTTTCCGTGGCTCCCTATATGTATTCATGACCCTGTTGGCTCTGGTAAACACTACACCACTGTTCCGCCTCTGTGCGCAAATGGTCCTATACACCTATAGTTGGGCAACTCTGGATGGTATGTTTGGGAATAATATCGCGGTACTGAATACCCCGCTAATCATTTCTTACAGGTACTGTTGGTACAAATATTTTCGCTGGCATGATACTAGCGGAACTATCATTATACAACCTGATGGCCCTCCGGCCACGTCTGCTCTTCAAATTACTACCCTACGGGCTAGTCACCCTAGGCCTGTACATCTGCTCGTACCCAGATCAATACGCCGATCAAACCAGATGGTCTTCCCAGCTTGCATCGCTTGCCGAAATCATCTTCCCACAAGATGCCAACGTCAGCCGCTACTACGCCAGCCTTGGGGCGCAGATGATATGTCTTGGCGTGATGCTTTCTTCCTCCATGCGCCGGATGCTCTCCCATCCCGTGCTGATGTGGCTTGGGTCGATCAGCTTCCCGCTATATCTTATCCACGGACCGTTAATGCGATCTGTTCTGGTTTACCTGCTGTATCTTCCCATGGCAATTGGCTTTGAGCCGGCTTTAAGGGCAGATGGAACACCAGATCCGGAGTCTTATATTCCAACGCCGAGCCCATTCCGACTTGGGTTTATTCTGGTTATATTTTTTATGTTCTTACTCTATGTTGTTCAGCAGTGGTCGAAGCATATAGAGCCGAAGATGGGTGCACTTACAGCTGCGCTTGAGAGATTCTCCCGTTCATGGGGTAAGAGTGCGGCGTGGACTTCGAAAGAGAAGGGAGAGACCTTGCCTATTGCGTCTGTACGGGAGTTAAATGTATAGAATTTTTATTGGGATAATTATTGTGCCTTGGCGTTTGGGGTCGCTGACATTTGGACTTACTAAAGCAATATATGAATTGAACCTTTCTAAACGAGACGTTCGAGATTTACAACGTTTGCAAAGTGGTTAGCAGCTATATAATAAGGCTGCTTCCCACTCTTGAACTTGCATTCTCGCAAATATTTTATCACTGGCGCAGTTTATAACGACAGTAAAGAGTAAGAATTTCTGGACAATCGTTAAGCAGACCAAACCCAGAGCAAATTTCGGCAAAGGGCCGAGAATACCCGACGGTCTAAACCTGCGCGTTCTGTTCTGCGGCGCGGATATCGGAATCCTTCCCCCGGTGCTCGTCATTTCTTATGACAATCTGGGGAGACCTTATCGATTCAGGGAGTAAAAATCCCCCTTTAACAATTGCTTATTGAGATATATCGGATTTGGGATCGACGAGCTTGGTACAGATCACTTGGAAATTCTGGAATACAACCGCCCAGCTCGACTCATCTGTCGGCCGTCCAAGACAGAGGACAGATCCTGACAACCCATCTGCAGGACTGAACAGTTCCTTCGTTTTCCATAAAAGTGACGTACTCTGTGAATACGTAGTGCGGTCACATAGGTACTGGGTACCTATAACCGTTGCGTTTCTAATCACATTAGGGTCAACGGGTTCTTCAAGAAGAAGCTACCTCTTAACGACTGTATTCATTCGAATTAGGTAGACATCAGACCCAGCGAGAGCAGCGGAGTATAACGCCTATTCCGACACAGCGGGATAGCCAGGCGGGCTGATAAGTTGAGGTGAATCATCGTCCATAATGAGGCTAAGGTCATGCCGATAGCCAGCGGGAATGGTTTGGATCGTCATATGTATAGGACAAAGTACCAATATATATGAATAAGTCGGAGCCCTTAGCAGTAAGCACGGGAAAAAGGAAGCCACTTACTCTCTTCTTCTCCGTTGCAAGCCAAACCTCTTTCCCGTACTTGTGAATCCGTTCCTGTTGTGCGTTAGCAACTCAGGTCTAAAATCAGCCTCAGGTCTAAAATCAGCATGATAGAAAAGTGAAATTCATCTCACTTGGTAGAAGCCTGGGAGATAATGTCTGAGAATGGGGGGAGGAGGTATCGAGGTCGGTTTCTGGGATAGGGCAGGCGATTGTACCGTCTGGGGCGTTTCGCTGACGACGGGGTACTATGACCCACAATTGCCTAGACCCCACCGTCGTCTTGACCCGATTCGGCAGTCCAGGACCTGTACAGTATTCTAGCAATTGCGGAGCGAAGCAAATCAAAGCAATTAAATCAGAAGCCTCGAGTATGTATCACGTGAGGGGTCTTTTCGCATGGACAAAATCGTAACAAGGTGATCGGTGAGATTTGGCAGAGAATGAATACGAACTAGGCCTAATCTAGTTAACTATAGGGAGACCCCTCCGCCTGATTCTGCTTGATTCCGCCTTACACAGAAGGCATCAATTATTTCTGCCAGACTTAATAGAGCAGTTCTTGAATTAGTTGCTCAAGGATGGTCTATATGATAAAAGTGACTAAATTTTGTTAACGGTCTCTATACAAATTGTAGGTATCTACCGTCTTGCTGAGTTCAACACCAAGGCGGTGTGGAGGGCGGTAATCTGAATCCCGAAAAATCAGACGGTGGGTTGGGGGTCGCATTAGCCAAAGGGGGTCCACTAACTATACTCCGTAACCCTTCGCGTACTAGTTACTTACCTTAGGCACTTTGAATATGTCTAGAAAAGGACGCGGTCTACAAGCTAGGTCTATTGTTCTCAGTAAAAAACCCGAGCTTGCCGTATTTATTTCGCTTTCCCACTTCATCAAAAGACATCCTGCATTCCCTACATTTACGCAATGTCTACTATTTCCGCCTTGAAGCATATAGTTCGTCGCCTTATTGAACACAAGATTGACATCAAAGACTTGGAAACAATCCTGGACAATCCTATGCCGCTCGTAGTAGACTCGTTGACCCTGCAAGATTTCCAGAAGATCCTTAGTCTCACCATGGTTGTGGATAATGAGTTCGACTTTATTGCGCCTGTCCCCATCCCGCCAGATCTCAGTATGTTAGCCTGGATAGTACAAAGAAATCAGCTAACCTCCACTAGAACTTTGGCTGGAAAAATTCGACCGCGCTCATGGCACCAGTCGCGATGAAGCCCTCATCCGCTGCAAGCTAAACCTCCTCCTTGTCTGTGCTCACGATCTAGTATTGTCGTCTTTTGAGCAAATCCGCTCGACCCATTAACATATAGATGGAACGGATATGGGCGTATAGCCCTGTGAAATGGAAGGGGAAGACATGGGTACTGTCGGGGCGGCCAGACTACGGCATTTGGTACGGAGAGGAGGAAGACATCGACTTAAACGTTGTCATCATGGAGGCCAAGAAACTGGCCAGTGGTACCGTAGGGATTCCGCAGGCGCTGGCATATATGGGTAAGTACATCATGGTATCGTCGGCATAATGCACTCTTGGGCTGACCTGTCAAAAGGGTGCGTCCACAAGCAGCGCAAAGAACTTGGCAAGGCAGACACCACTGTCTACGGAATTTCCACCGATACCATTACTTTCACGTTCATGAAGCTCGACAATGAGTCTCGGGTAAGTGTATCTAAATCGTGTCAGTAACCCTGATTTTAATGTTTACCAGTGGTCATTCAAAATGGTCGGTGTCGTTGGAAATGGGTTCGAACAAGTGCTTGGTCTGCTAGTCTACCTGATGGAGAAAGCAGCTTCGATATCACCTGCCGCCTCTGAACACACGTCTCGCCGGACACAAGAAGAATCATGGGAGTCTGACCTGATCTTCGACTATGACCCTGAGATGGATGTTGAGACAGATGTCGAGACAGATGAATGGTTTGGTCCCGCATTCGTCCTCTAACCTTCTTTTGCGTCTTCCTGCTCTTCTTTGCTGGTCGTTCTTCCGTCTTGATATCCTTCTTCGTTAGTTGACTACCTAGTTCCCGCGGACCTACTTGGGGAACTATATAAGTAGGCCACTCCCCCGAGTCAGACAATCTTTCATATATATTTCAGGATATCGCGAAATGTCCTGACTTGTAAAAATGTCTCGCAAAAAGGTCTAATTAACTGCTTTCGCCTCTTTGAATCAGGAATGGAGAGACCCATCCGATTCTCAATTCAGCGTTTGAAGCAAGATACCCCGGCTACTATTGATGATGGGCAGTACAAGGTCCTCAGGCCAAGGGTGGTTTTGAATTCGGCAACAAACAACCAGGGACAAGAGTTTGGTACTTCGTCGGGTGTCCTTGTTCAAGACACAGGTGGTTATAGGTACATGGCAGCTGCCTCACATGGATTCTCTGTAGAGGGGAAGGTTTATCTCCCTAGTGCCTCTGGTCTTAAAAGAGAACGTATCATTGAACTTACGCATACCGATATTGCGCTCACGACAGGGTGCAGTTTGTGAATGAACCATTGGCCCTAGTTAAATATATAGATGCTGTTCTTACATACAAGAGCGCAAATATCCAAAATGTTGATTGATGTTGAATCCTTGATTACTTACTGCTCTTGCCACAGTGCATGGGTCGGGGGCATTATGCCTTTAATAATTGGCACTAGACTATTCATCCGTATGGGTTTGGTGAGGAACAAATCCATACCAGACCCAGTCGCGTCGCGTTGCGTGTCGGCTTGTGCAACGCCAGTCAAGGCAGCAATCGTGACACGGGGTTTGGTTTCCAGTGTTTTCTCATACTCCCGGATTCGCCTAGTAGATTCCAGGCCATCCATGACTGGCATGGAGATATCTGTGAAGATTATTAGATTGACAATGCCCGCGTTAATGTTTAAAAGGCCTACCCATAAAAATCATTCCAACGGCAGAGGAATTCGCCTTGAAAACCTCGAGGGCTTCTTCTCCGTTTTGCGCAATGACATAATCGCAATTCAGCTTCTTCATGAAGGCAATAAGAATTCTGAGATTGATCTCATTATCATCCACAAGAAGAACGGTTGTTGGAGTGGTTGATATGGGGCTATTTTCTTTTTTGATGGGTGTATCGTGGCTCGTGGTGGCGACTTCTTCGGATGGAAAAAGATAGTCGTCAACATTCTCCCGACAGAGTCTCAAAGATTCGAGCTTTGCTGTGTTGGCCCGGGTATGTGTTTTTGGATCTGCTATCACTTGGGTCGTGGATTGGTCACTACCATGACCGTTTGACGACGGGCTAAGAAGCGAGTCCATCTCAGGCTCATCGGTGCTGATGTCGGCTCCGAAGCTCCCTGAGCCACCCGGTCTGCATTCTTCGCCTCGGAGAGAATCAAACCGCACCTGCTGGCGGTTGATACACGATTGTAATGCTTTTGCCAACTTGCGCGGACCGCATGGCTGGCTAATGAACTCGAGCACATTTGTATCGCCACGATTTCGAGCTCCGACTGACATCGAGTGCGCGACCCTCGGGGACGGGCATATTACGATGACCGGCGAAGGGATTTTAACACCTGGACTAGGTGCAATAGCCCTGATCTCCTGATTCCCTATATCCAGATATTCGTGAGAAGATATGTATAAGTCACAGTGGGCGAATTGTGTTTGTGAAGCCCCAACTAAAAGAACTTCCATGGAGAAGCAATCTGCACACAGCCTTTGTAACGATGTGCATAGAGCTGTGTCTAATTCAGAAGTCCCGAAGCCTAATATTCCAATGGTCTTCCCGCATGCAAGAGATTTCGCTGTGGTGATGAGAGACTGATTGTTCAACTTGTCAAGATTGTCCAAAGCAGACGCTTGATTAAGAATCACAGTTGCCACGACTTCAGTGCCAACATTCTTCTTGGAGTTGACCTGGATGTCACCGCCAAGGGATGCGAGTAATCGTTGTGTGATGCTTAATCCAAGACCATTGCCGGTTGTCATGCTATCTTCCTGTGAGAAAGCAGTGAATAGTCCATTTTTCAAAAATTCCGGGTCAATCCCAGATCCAGTGTCCTTGACAGTCACGGTGACTGTTGAGCTTGTGGCGTCGCCGCTTTTTCCAAAATTCACTGGAGAGGCCTTCATGGAGATGTAGATATACCCCTTGTGAGTGAATTTCAAGGCATTCCCGAAGATGTTGGTGAGGATAACATTCCAGGCCCCAGCTTGTGTCAAAAATTTCCAACTGTGGGTGCGGTCAATATCCAAGATCACCTGGACTCCACCCCGTGTATCGGAATGTTTGCTACCGAAGATAGAAGCGCCGGCAATACCCCGAAGGGGAGATCTTGAACAGCTGAAGAAGGAATAACCAGCGAAGACCGTTTCAACTGCGTCTTCTAAGATAGCATCAAGTTCGACACAGGTGTCGACATCATTTGTTGAATGCAAAGGAGGGCGGGCTGCGGTAATTTTCGGGTTGACAGAAATTTTAGGAAAACGACCACCGGGGAGTTTGGCGACAGAGTTTGGTCGAACATCATTGATACTAGCATGCTCGAGGAGTTGATTGATGGAGCCTAGTAGTGTGTATGCACAAGAGGAGATTGTATGAACAAATCCTCGTTGTAGCGCGTCCATGGCGGTGTCATTTAATAGTTCTGCCGTTCCGAAAATCCCATGCAGAGGCGACCGAAGTTCATGACTCAGTCCGGAGAGCAAGTCTGATGTTGCTCGATCGGCGAAATGAGCGCCGAGTCGATGCACCTCCGCCATGACGCTAGTTCCAAATGTCAAGAGGAATGCTAGCTCATCATTCGAAGTGAAGACACGGTGGTGTTCTTTTGTCCACGCCAGAGCCCCCGAGTACCATCTATCCTTGTGCGAATCCCATAAAGGTGAGAATATGATGCTTCGGGATTCTGGGGCAATTCGAAGCAAGCTCTGGGCATCCTGGCGCACGAGTGACTTTCGTGTTCTTTTGTACCTATTGCCCCCGAGACGTCGCAAAAATCGGTTGACCACTCCATCACTGGTATCATCAGACGATATTGTCCCATCTTCACTAAAATTGAAGATCTTCCCTTGGGGATATCGGTGCAAAAGGCCCCCGAGGAATGACTCCGACAATGCGATTTTGTTATCGTCCAACGACTGACCATTGATGCTAGAGACATCCGAATTGGCAAATCCGAGTATTTCGCACGGGTTCAAAGTAGTTTTGCCTGAGTTTTCCGCTTGTTCTGGATCAGAAAAGATCTGATCTTCGAATGAAGGTTGCGGGGAGCTTCGGAATGTGGCCTCATCACCCGAAGAACAGCTCTCAAACCCACTGCCTTCAGTATCAGACTCTGCATTGTCCACTAAAGCTTCCTGGGAGCGGAAATTGGCGTTGAAAAAGACAACTGCCTCAACTTCGATACTCTCGCGGACGAGATTGGCTGCACGTCCAAATGTTTCATTCACTTTAGCAGTATAATCATCCTTCAGTGATGTCTGGCTTTGATCACTGCCAGTTGTCATAGCCGCTTGGGAAGTTTCTTCGAGTTTTGGTAGAGCCTTGTCATCTCTCTTGGTAGTCGAGTTGAATGAATGATATTTCTCCCTATACCCTTGCGGGGTCTTTTTTCTAGGGAAATGAAGATTGTATGGACGGGAAGACAGGTGGCTTGGCATGCCATTCTGAGCCACGGTCTGAGTGACATCATTCAAGACCTGCTTTTCTTGCTGTTCACGATTGACATGCCCTTCTGCATGGTCCATTCCATCAAACATGGGGTGAGAGGCGTCAGCGTCGAGAACCCATGACTTGCGCAGACTACCCTTTCCCTCCAAAAAACTTCCAAGGCCAACCATCATGCGCTCACTGCGGAAACGTTGGGCTTTGGAGTGACTAGTTCCCAGATAGTCCATGACGGTAGCTGCGATATCGACCAGGAATTGGAGTGTCTCACCGCCCAGGGGCTCGGGCTCGTGAGGTTGATCGTCTAAGATCGTATAGGCTCCAATCACCACACCTTTCGGACTGATGATAGGACTCGATGCGAGGAACCGAATGTTTGGAAATGAAGTCACATCTGGATGATCCTTGAATGCATTATCTTTGGTAAGATCGGGCACAACCAAGACTCCGTCCCTGGCATTTGACGGATTTGGCGTAGAATGCATAACCGATTTACACAGGCTGCGGTCATAAGACATAGTACAACACCCGACCCAAAGCTCGTCTCGCGCATTATGCTCGCCATCATTCTGCAAGCTCAGGGTTCGAGTGGCTTCGGTGAGAACGTGTTGCTCGTTTCGGCCGAAAAGCGAGATCAACGCACGCTGCGCATCTAGTCGCAAGGTGCCCAATTGGGCGAATGCCGTCAGGACAGGGTCATCTGAGGATCGAGCAACATGTTCTTTTGATAGTGTAGCAGGCCCGACGTGTTGGAGGGCGTGTGGTTTGAGATGGTAGGGCGGTAAATACCTAGGAAACAAGGTGTATGGTTAGCCTACAGGGTCTTCGGTCGAGTGTTATATAGATCACAAGACCGATGTATGAGTACAATGTTGCGTTTACAAACAAAGGTGGTATATTACTTATAGAATTCTCGCTCTCTGGATGTGCCAAACTTGACCTGATACTTCTGAGCGTGTGGTGATGTGATTGGACGTGACATTGCGCCGGCGGCAGTTCTGATATATTGAATGCAATAATGCTAAAAAGACAGAATGTATGCTTCGCCCTTGGAATAGCTTGGCGGATCATCAAGAAGGCTGCACCGGGCTCTCGGACTTCAGAAAATGAGTAGAAAAAGAAAGAAAGTGAGCGGGGCGGCCAGACGAGCTTGCAGCCCGCAAGCTTCCAATCTTAGACGGCTGAGACTTTCGGGGTTCCGAGATTGGGCTCGGCCTAGCCAATAGATTAGATAAGCGGTGACATGGGACGGGAATGTTTGGCAGAAGACAGCCAATCAGAGGTGAACCCGACATTTAAGTCTATCTCGGCTATGCTCTGTCATTGGTCCAATCGGGATTGCAAGATACGTCCACGGGTTACAAGCCAGTAGATGAGATCATGAAGCAAAATATGATATGTAGAAGGAGAGTAGACCAAGACTGTAAGAGTCTACTATTACGAGATGGAATTACAGCCCCCAGGGTCCTTGAGTTCTGCTTCTAAAGGCGCTTCCAAGGTTCTTTATTTAGCATGGCGAAATTACCAAAGAGAAGCGTGGCAAAATTAGAACATAACTAGCGATTAGTTATGTCTTCAACGCTTATATAATAATGCATGCAGCTGTTTAACTAGTTAGTTACCATGCTAACCGCTGGATGAGGTACTAACTTGATCTTAACTTCGATTGAGGGCTGCAAAAGAAAGTTGAAGCTGTGCAATTCTAGAACATAAATTCAAAAAAAGAAAGATTTATTGACTTGACATGAAAGTTGTTCCTATCTGCTATAACAATCGGCAATGCTTCAGGTAGGGGGTTGCCAATCTTATCCCGAAGATAGCTGTCGATAACAGCCAGGAAAATGCAAGGGGGAGACTCCTTCATATGATGCGCTCGAGTATCGCGCATAGAAATATCATACATGCCGACATCCCGGGCGAGAACCTTGAGGGCTTGGACCAAAAATAACCTCGGCTAGATTTACAGTCTAATTACGATACTAACAGATATAACGCACACCATTATAATTCACACCTCGTTTAAAGGCTCTGATATTCAATTGCTAGCTAAAAGACAGCCGTCAAGGTCAGGCCAACCCATGCTATTTGACATCAAACACCGAAGATCAGACCAAACAAACATACCCACTGCCAATTCCAGCGGAGCCCTTATCTCCATACATCTCTCACAGTCGAACATTCTAGCTATCGCAAGACGAAACACGGAAGCTACCCATGTTCCTGCTCAAAGTGTGGTCATTCCAGTCATCAGATGCAATTCCAATCTGGTTGCTGCAAGACTTGTCGCTGTAGACACGAAGAACACAATCGGACCACAAGTTGTTCTCCCAGTCAATAGTGTCACCGCTTTTGCAGGAGGACTTAGTGCAGCCCTTGTTGTCTTCGCTGTCCCACTGCCCGCTGCAGGTGGTGAAGATCCAGGCGTTGGCCATAGGAAGGATGGCGGCGATGGCGGCGATGGTGGTGGTGGTGAACTTCATTTTGTTTCGAAGTTGATGGTCGGGTTTGAGTGGTTGAAATACTTAAGTAGGGAGTTGAAAATAGATGTGGATTGAATCTTTGGTATCAGAATTGAGATGGAGATTTGATTGTATCTGAGGGGATGTCAGGAGCGTAGAAGCAAGGGCAAGTGGTTATTTATATAGCTTTCTAGGTGGTATCGAGTCTTCTATTGATAAATTGAAATATGTAACTTCATCGATGCAATACGAGTGCTAGGCACAATACGAGCATTTGCCAGTGAAGCCGAAATAGAAAACACGAGAGATCAGCATCGTCAACGGGGCCATGATTCCAATCTCCAGGGTCAAATACGATAACTATTACCATCTTCAGTGGATGATACAGGTGATTGGTAGGTACCTAGGGAGTCCACTGTCTATAGGGCGGAGGTGGTGAGGTAGCGATGTCGATCAGAAGTGAACATCGCTCTATTTAGGGCTAGAAAAATGACCGGGGAATAGATCATCTATAGCTTCTCGTATTCTCATTTTGAAACTCATCTACTCAAAGCAGAAGATATTATTTTTGGATGACCTTTATACCATGCTGCCACTCGCCCAATACAGACCTGCAATTGATAGGAGGACTAGGTTAACATATTATGTCTAGGAAAAATCGTTATCGTGAAGATATTTTTCTTCAAGCTCAAGTATGATCCAGGGTCTATTTATGGATGTGGTGCTAACCCCCGCATAAATGATCGACAGGGTCCAAGGCCCAATATGCCCGGACAATCCATGTCATATATTTTAAGCCAAGACTCGGGTTCAGCCTGCTTCTCTTGGCATCTCGTGTTCGTGGAGCTACAGGAATACGAAACGTAACACAACTTAAGAAATACCTAGTATGACGCACTTGGCATGTCTGTCACTAAAAATAAAAAGAATAAGCAGCAACAGGGACAGCAGATCTTCCTGCTGAATCTTTACAACAAAAGAGTGCATTCAAACGAGATTATTAAGTACGGGGAGAGAAAGAAAAAAGAAGGGAAGAGGACCGGGGCTGTAAGGTTATTGTGTGTCCCTTTTGCAAACCATGCAAATCCTTAATGCGCTCGCTTTGTTCCATACGAGGAAGGAACCAACAATCCTTCAGATCGTAACAAGCCGGAAGTCCTTAATAGTCTATGCCAAATTCAACGTCGCTTTACCTCTCATGGATTTACCGAACCAGTAAAATATCACGGGCATTGGGATCATAGCCAGAGTAACAAAGCCCAGTAAAGAATTTCCCCACCCATAACCCAGCGCCTGGTACATGTAGGGACCAGCCAGGGGTAGCAACGCGCCGAACAAAGAGCGACTCACGGTAATGGCTGCGACTGCAGATGCTGCATATCGTGGGTATGAATCAATGACGTAGGTCTGCAAAGTCCCAAAAATACCCACCATCCCAAATGCGAATGGGAAAAGCCCAATTATAGGAACAATCCAATGCGTGTGCGCTTGAACCGACCATCCGTACCAAAAAAATGATATTGGAATGAAAAAGGTGAAGAATATCGATAAGGGGAGACGCATTTCTGGTTCAAAACTGCCATTGTTGCGGCTCTTAAGTCGCAGAATGATTTTATCACTCAGCAGAGCAAAGAGACATTGCCCACAGAAAAAGCCGAGACCAAGCCCAATGTATGACAGTCCACTGATTTGAATACTCCAGCCATAGGTATTCTGGAAAACATTGGTCACTGTGGTGAAGAGAAGGTAGAGGCAGCCGTAAACCGTGGCGATATACAAAGCAATGATCGACACGATAGGGGAGCGGAAAAGAAGCTGAAGAGGGGGTTTTAACCCATTTCTGAGGCGATCCATTTGCTTTCTTTGAGGACCCCCCTTTTTTTCATAACAACTGTAAAGATCAGGTCGTTGAAGCTCTGATCGCAATGAGTCTGTCTTGCGCTGCATGATGATAATTGGGTTTGTTTCGCGATTGAAAATCGCTACAAGAGTTGCCACTGTGCCACCCACAATTAAAAGAACCCAGAAGACCTATTTTGGTTAATTTCCATCTTTTGAGTAGTCAAGGAAGTCTACTAACCCATCGCCATCCGGCGCCGTGGGCAATGAACCCACCACAAATTGGACCAAGCACTGGCCCGAACAATGGCCCAAAGGAAAATATTGACATTGCGAGTCCTCGCTGCTCTGCTGCGAATAAATCCGAGACAACACCACCGCCAATGGTCAAGCATGCAGAACCGCCAATACCGGTGAGGAGACGGAAGACAATCAATGCAGACAGATTCGGGGCAAGGGCACAGCCAATTTGGAAAACCACGAAGAAACAATTTGCGACGCTGAGTACAATTCTCCGTCCGTAAATCTCGCTTAGCGGGGAAAAAAGCAAAGGTCCGCTCTGCGCTCTTTGTTAGGTCAATGTCATCCAGAGAGCGCCCAGGACCGTAATATACTTACTCCATATCCAAATAGATAGCCTGTCACGGCCAATGACTCACGAAGCGAAGACTTATTGCCGAACTCTTTACTTGCGTCTGCAACGGCTGGAGCGAAAACAGATGATGCAAATGGGCTTCGAGGTAGGTGGTCAGGATAATGGACGTATAATTAAAGTTGGAAGAATATTGCATACCTAATCAATGTAATGATGCTGACGAGTGAGAGAAGGAACCACTTTCGTGTAGCAGGGTAATTTCTGTATGACCAATTAGATCTTAACAGCTGTGGGATAACGTAAATTGGACGTACCTTGGGTTGAGAGGGTCATCTTGGCTATCCCACCCAACTATGCCGGTTTCAAGATTTGTTAGGGGGAACTGCTCCCGCTTGATAGTCGGATTCACCTGATTCAAACCAGCCAATCAGTAAAATCAACGAGAAAATTGCATAGAGCAGATAAAATCACTTTAGCGTTCTCCATACTGATTACTATCAGTTGTCGATTGCGATTTTGTGGACTCACAACTGTCGAGATACAGGATTTCACAAATCTTCCGTAGACAAAAGGAGTATCTGAATAGGTGACATATATATAAGATAAAAATTTACCATTTCAAACAATATACCATTTTCGGAAAACAAATGGAATCGGACTTAAAATACGGGCTAACCTAAAAAGCGGACTCCGGGGAAGTCTTGGGCCGATTGAAGAATGCATGGGCTTTGCCACTACCAACGTGCCGCCTCAGCCGAGTGCGACAGAGTGCACGATGACCATGGATCGCTATATTTCTAATTCCCGGCTAATTTGTCTTTTGAGTATAGTTCCTGTGCGTGCCTACCACGACTAGTTCCAGACTTGTCGAGATATCTAGACCATTATGATTTGGACGAAGCTATTATTCGGAAAAGAACGTGGAACTAGCATCGACTTTCTCCAGTGATACTGAATGCTGTGCTGATTAGCCATGAGCGGTATTTATAAGTACATCGGTTTCGTTAACTACCTCTCGTCTATTCTAATTTGACATTGGCAATATAACCTATATATTCATCGCAGATACAACTTGAGTAACTAGCAACATGGTTTAATCAAATGAAGACGAAGAGTTACAATGGAAAAACCACCCTCCCGTTTCCTCCAGCACAAAATCTGATCAGATGCGAGGTCTTATGATTCGAGAATGGTGACGAGGTACAGAAGTCCATCACAGATGCACATTGAAGAAATCGGCAATTTGTTCATACCTGGCGAAGTTATTAACGATAAATTGCGCGCGTTAGAATCATCTTGCTTACCCCCTTGTGAACTCCTTGGAATTCTGCTCATTTTCCATGTTCGCACGAGATCCCATCCACCCATGGAACATTGTTTCGTATAGTTCAAATTCAACATCAACATTAGCGCGCATGGCTTGCTCATATTCTTTCAAAACATCGGCTTGCTCTTCCGGGGACGATAGGCAGATGTGGGGGATGTTGGTGGCTTTAGCGTCCGCAATATCAAGAAGGCTGAAGCAGAACATATCAATACTGAAGACCAAACCAGACCACAAGAGACTCACGATGGGTGGGCTTGGCCAGAAACCTTAAAATAACTCCGACCACCAGAAGCCAAAGCAGCAAGCTGTCCAATACATCAGTAAATTTTTATCGTCGTGGGATAGGTTTTATCCATAACCTACCTTTCCTCCCCAGCACAGTCCAAGAACACCCCAACTCTTGACTTGGGGGTACAAATCCTCGCTTTGCTTCATGATATCCAGAAGAGTAGATAGGTTTTTTTCCGGGCTAGCATTCTCCCCAAAGAAGGTCATCATGTTGTTTCGCTTCTCCTCGGTGTCCATGGCGACCCAATCCATGCTAGCTGCCTTGCCTCTAAAGAAATCCGGAATTATCACGAGACATTCCAGCTTTTGTGCGAGGATAGAGGCCCCTTGTATAGTCTGCGGGTAAAGACCGAAAATGTCATACACGAGCATCACTCCACGTTCAGATGAACGGTCACCCACGATATCTGCCAATTTGGTTTCCCGAATTAGCTACCCATATGATTTCTTTGCTTCCTTCATATTGGACTCACGCAAACGGACTTCCGCAGCTACATCAGTGCCTTGCTCGGTAGATATGACCGGCTTTCCAATGGCGGGTGTTGAACAGCATGATTTGGAGGACATTTTGGGTCTTTGTAACTCAGCTTCCTGTCTGGCTAACGAACCGGACAAATCGAGCATTCAGTGTTGGGACTCTATCGTGGGAGGCACTAGGAGGTTTATATAAGTGTCACAGCAAGTATCCATTTGAACCGCTTCGTCATTTGTCCGTGCGCAAAGTCTCGGTATTACCGGACTTAAAGGGAATCGAAAGTCTGCCGGACTCTACAAAGCATTCGTTTTGTAACTACATTTAGTTCAAGAGCTATGTGTAGTCGACATGTCCCTTGCTCAATACCAGACCGTGCATCACTTTGATGGGGGTCTCTCACCTTCTCATCACCCAAGAATGCATCCTGAATAGTGGGATAGATATTTTTCTATTTTGGAGCATCGATTTCAGACGATTGTCTTTCAAACATGACCCTTGAGGAAACTCTATTGACGCCAAGAATTGAGCTCGGACCGCCATGAAACGGCGCTAACCCAAAAACCGGACTTAGATAGCACGTCGGGATTTTGAGTCTCGGACGCACTTGCAAATTACACCGTGAATTAGCGCTATCCCAAAAAGAAACTGGGCAAGACATTGACTGTGAATAGGCGATAATATTCCCATCGCTTAATAGGCCAAGTAAGTAGTAATACGAATGGTGAAAAAGAGTATTTGTTGAAATATCAGAAAACCTATGCTACTTGTATTCTTAAAGGCTCATAATCAATCCAGGAAGAGGTTTCAGTATTGTGGCATTCTTCAAAAGCCCGTGCCCTGAAATGCGGCCGCTTATTGCCGAGTCCGTCGCATGTCTGAGATGAACAGCTTTGTGTATAAGACTTGATCCGGATCCTCGCGATAGAAGAGCATTGCCATTTTATCTCTTCTGGCCAGCCCTTCCATTCATCTGATCCACCTGATCTGACTTGTTCGCACTTTCAGGGACAATCAAGCCGAAACATAATGCAAAATGTTCTTTTTTTCTTCATTGAAGTCGCATTCTGTATGGTGACCATCGTGTCAGCTCAGATCCCAGAGTCGGACACCGTTTTACAAGTGCAGTACGGGAGTGTCACGTTTAAGACCGGAGAGAAGCTGAGGTTGAGTGGTATGGAATAGTAACAAGGCAGAAGAAAGACCAGACGAAGCTGATAGAGCCGATCTTATTCCAGACATTACATCAGCCCCCAGTATTGGTCTCTCAGCACCTGCCCTGACAGGCACGTATATTGTCATCATGGTACCGCCTTCCTGTCCCTATTATACCAATCCACTTCCTCGACTTAACTCAACTCAGATCGATCCCGACGCACCTGACCCCACACTTCCCATCTTCACTCAGGTTCTTCACTGGGTACAGCAGGACCTTATCTTCTCGCCAATGGCCGGAAAATACAATACATTCGTTCCCCTTATTACTCCGTCACCCGCACCCGCTGCCGCTCCGTACCTACCGCCTATGCCACCACCACTCTTAGCTCCACATAGGTACATCCAAACCCTATTCAGACAACCTGCTGAGTTCTCAATAAATGACCTCGATCTCTACCTGACCGACTCTATCTTGAGATTTGGATTTAACTTATCCAGATTTGCCCAGGAAAATATGTTGGGGGAGCCTATTGCATCAAATTTCTTCTTAGCGGGAGACGAGACTATCCAAATCAGGTGATAGACTTGCTGAAATAATTCAAACTGCGAGTTTCCCATATTTGCCTTGTTTATCGGTCCTTGGGTTGGTCCCCGGTCTGAATAGCCCCTTACTTAAGCGTCAATGGAACCGGAATCATTTACACATGCCGTAGGCACCCTAGGCAATTCTCAATTAGATTAGGAGGAATATTAACGCCAGTAAATCCGCAATATCCGCTATAAAGATGGGTTTTCCAAACCCAACTGACGATTAATAACCAAAACATGATAACCAAGTCCAATTCGATTCGCGACAGTCTCGTAAAACTGGAGTGGGTCTATACATCGGCCACGCTAACCCAAAATACGGGGTTTACTTACTCCAAGGGTGAAGAACTTGGCGGCTGTTTTCCTAAAGCCGCATGCTTAACTCCGGGAGGCAGTTTCCTGATCTGGTGCAGATTAAGGTCTAGTCTATGTCGTTCGGATTAGACCTCGTATGTAGGCCTTGCTGAGATGGAATTATCCCCCCGGTATCAGATCGAAATGAGTCGTTTCCTTACACAGAGTTTAAGGCTTCCGTAGACGTAAATGAAGTGTGCATAAGAAAAGGGATGCAACGGATGTGCCGTGCTTGCCATATTCCGTTTGTCACGTGATAGTATCTGAGATAATGACGCCTTGGGGTGGCAGGAGGTGGCCTTTTCAGCTTCATGAATGCTCAGTACGATTACCAGCCATCGCATAGTCGGCCCTTTTCCCCCTGAAATTATGGCTACCCACAGCTTTCAACTGCGTGGAAATTTCGGCCTTGGTGGACCGTCTCTGTCAAGCAACTCTTCCGAGAACACCCACCAACAGAAGCAGTCTCGGCCTGGAGGATACGAGGCTAACACATCTCCCGCAAATCCTGATATCCAGCACATGTCAGTCCAAACAACCAGTAAAAAGGTCTCTTGTACCTCCTGCCGACAACGTAAAATCAAGTGTGACAAAGAAAATCCATGCAGCCAATGCACATCCTCATTTTACGGTAGGACGCAATTTCCATACCAAAACAAAAAATTGCATTGCACTGGGAAAACACTGATACTGAAACTTTGAAGATTGCATATACCCCGAATCTTCACGTAAACGACGGCGGAAACTCCCTTTGGAGCGAATAGAGTCACTTGAATCCAGACTGAAAGCGATAGAATCATCGATCTCAACGAACGCGGAAAGTTCCCCCATGATTCCTAGTTCCATGACATCGGAAATTGGGAATATTACGAATAAGACTCCTCTGGCTACACCAAACGAACATACCGCGCCCGCAGAGCTTGGGAATCGTGATAAAGTATACCACGCCGTTGAACAGGATGAAATCGAGTTTCAAGGGTATTCTGCGGATCGATCTTTTATTCAGTGTCTAAATGCGAAGCTAGGTGACTGGCGTGGCGGTGATATGACTTGGCAACAGCTCCCCTCTCGTATATCAGCGCCAGCATTCTTTGAAGTCGAGGGTCGAACTCCCGCTCGAGTCACTTTACCTGAAAGAGATATCGCAGCCAGGCTGGTCGACGCAGCTTTGGATGCACAGATACTACTCTGCCTTGTACACCGACCAAGCTTTGAGGTTTCTTTCAACTTGGTCTATTCGCTTGAAGAAGCCAACTACAGTGCCAAAGAGCAGAAATTTCTACCGCTTCTCTATGCCATATTTGCGTATGGGTGCCTGGTCATAGACCCCGGCTCGTACGGTCCCGATTGTGATAAAAAGGTGTCTCAGGGGTATTGATTTCCAAAGTTTTCCCGTATTCTTGCTCAGGCTCTTACATAAAGCAGGTTGGAATTCTACGCAAAGAGTCGACAACTCCAGAATCTTGCCGAGTGCAGAGATTTAACATCTCTCCAAGCCATCATGTTTTTGAACCTCTTTCTTCTTTCGTCCAACCGAATATCGACGTGCTATACATATCTCAGTGCCTCATTATCGATTGCGCTACGCATGGGTCTCCACCGGTCTCTCAAAACGGGTCAGGATTTAATTTCCGAGGAAATGAGCAAGAGGATATTTTGGACGCTGAGGCTTCTTGTCAATGACGTTGCCACCGCAAGCGGTATGCCTGTTCTTCTGAGCGATGATGAAATTGACCAAGAGCTTCCAAAAGAGACAAATGACATAAATATTGAAAAGATGAGGATTTCTCCACAGCCGCGCGGTGAGATATGCTATATATCCGGTGCGAATTCATACAAGCGACTACAAATGGTTAGGGACAAGGTGACCCACTGTGTCTACTCTCTCAAAGGCCAGACCACGTCTGATATGAATGGTTTACCAATTCATGGTGTGAGCTTGGCATTGATACACGGAATACAGGGTGACCTTGACAATTGGGTGGATGATATACCTATGGGTTATCGTCTTGGGACCTGTTACACCGAAGCCAGATTGATAAGGTAGGAAATTTGGACATCATCCTTCACTTGCGAGAGAGCTTGCTGATGACTCCCAGGGCCCAATTTATTCTAGCTATGTCATATGCTCATGTTCAGCTCTATCTCTATCGGCCCTTCTTGCATTATGCTGTGAGATCTCTCAACGAGCAGGTTGGTATGTCAACTTATGCGACTGCATCGGTTCGGGCTAGTGAAAATATTATCGCCCTGTGTGAAGGGATGTATGGACAAGATCTCCTCAAGGGTGATTTGTGGCCTGTGACGCACATGTTGACAAGCTCTATTCTGACAATTTTGTATTTTGTTGTGGTTTCTCGAGCCTCGCCTAAAACAGACATGCTTCTTGGGAGCTTGATAGCTGGGCGAAGAGTTCTAAATCACCTTGCTGAACATAGTCTTTTCGCCAATCGAGGTAAAGTCATGCTGACGGTGAGCATTAATCAGCCTGTGGCTCCTTTTGTCGCTGTTCACTAACATGTACAATAAAGATCATGATCTCCACCCTCCCGGGAACTCTTCGACATATCCAAGAAAAGCTTCTTCGCTCGGATACCCAAGAACTCCCCGGGCTTCAAAATGAGAGGCTTGCGAGCTATTCAGGTCCTTTTGATAATGCACTCAATTCCCGGCTGGCGTCTGAAACCTTCTCGCTGTCTCCAAAACAAAGTCCTGTCGGCTCATTGCCAGCCTCTACCGCCGCTGAGTGGGGAGCAAACCCTAGTAAATCCCTCAATTCATCAACTGTGCTCAGTGATAGCCAATGGAATCCCAGGGTTTCAAATGCACAACATTCGACAATCGGTACTTTCCAGCAAGACTTGGCTGGAACATCGGAATTTTGCAAAGCTCATGATTCCTCGAATGAATCAAATAGCCATCCGATTATTGGGGAAGACCAGACCTATCCTCGAAGTCAGAACTTGGAAGAGATGGGAGTTATAGACGAATTCCTTCAAGCTCAGCCGTTGAATCTTCAACAAGACTGTATTGATGAGACTTGGTTCAGCGCTTTGAAGATGGCTGGCTTGGATTGTTCAGATGACTTTCAGAGTTCTATTTCACGCTTGGAATGTTTAGAGCAGACTTTCGATTTCGATGGCTGATTATGGCGCAATAGCATTATCCCCAGAGTTAGGGGACGAGCAATTGGGCATTCTTTTCTCCGGCGGATAAGAGGGGAGTCGAATTACGGCGAAGTCTTTGGCGATGGTTTTGGGGTTGGGGCTTCGCAATTGTCCCTTCATATGCCTCGGGGCTTAATGGGATCAGCTTGTGTAGTAGATTCCCACGGATTACCACACCAAAGATCCAGAATTAGGGATTACACATTGTTACTCAACTCACGGCGCCTTGCCGGCAGTTGGAATATTGGCTTGATTATCCACATGTATGGGCGACGGATCGGACCACTACGACAAAACTAATTTTTGGCTCACCGCTCTAATCACCGCCTGTATGATTATGGTCTTGGGCCTGTATATAATATTGCAACCTCCATCAATTAACATTGTACCTTTTGAAGAGTAGATTACCTCTCTCTATAATGGCAGCACTATATCTGAGAGAGGGGAGTGTACTATGTGAAGAATGCGTATGCTCTGGAAAATATCAATTTGCGTAGGGAGAAGATGGTGGTATGTATGTATGTATCTGGTCGACAATTAATAAGAAAACCAAGTTAAGAATAACTACACAGAATGTATTAATTTGTATAATACAAAGGCGGAAACTCCAGCGGTGAAAATAATATATGTATTACTAAGCATATTCCAGTTTGGCCCATTTCGGCTGCCCTAGAAATTCTTGACACGAAGATTCCGAACATAATCTACGTTACTTAGCGTGATCGCTGGAATCGTGACTACGTTTACTGGATCCTCGTTTGAACCTCCCGACCTCGCAATCCTTGGTAATATTATATGGAGACACTTTAGAGTACGTAGCGACTTCCGTACATCAAGCCAATTCATGTCGCACGTTGCTTGAAAGTGTGGTAGCAGCTTCTTCGTGCAATTCCGCAATACCATTATTGGGTACCTCTTGAATTAGCCCCCCGTGCACTTGATCAGTAACAGTGCTATGGCCATACAAATGATCGGCAGGGTCTGACTGTGACCCCCCGGTGTATCCCTTTTTTCCGGGCTCATCCTTTCGGACGGCATCATAAGTCTGATCTTTCCATTTGCGGAAGCCCCAGGAGATAGCGCCAATAATGAGTGCGGCGCCACCGACACTGCCAACAACTGCACTCGCGATTACTCCGTCAGAAATTTTATCACTGTCACCGCCACCGGTAGACGTGTCATTGGCTTTGGAAGCAGCGCCACTGTCGTTTTCTGTGTTATTTGCAACACTACCGGAAGTCTGTGAAATTATCAGATTGGACACCAGGATATTCACGACGTTCAATGTGTTCCCGAAGCTGGGGGCGTAGTCATAAACAGAAGAGGTCCAGTCTGAGCCGCATACAGTATGATTGCTTGTCCCGCCGCATTGCTGTGCTAGCGTGATGGCTGTGCGGCGTAGTTTAGCATTGATCCTGTTGGCGACCTCTGGCATCAAATTTGATACACTCGAAAGCCATAAGGCTAAAAACCCTTTACCTGCCTCTGTTGAATATCGGGCCTGGTTCACCGCACCAAGTCCATCAACCAGATCCCCTACTTCCACTATCATGTTCCGGGTGAAAAATGATGTTAAGGTGTTGTCCAATAGGCCTTCGACTCTTGTTTTCCATAGATCAGTATCCGTCTGTACCTACCTTGTCAGCACTCTATAGACCCTTTTGGACGACAAAAAGAACAACAGGAGAACTCAAAGAGCAAGGCAAGGAGCACTTCTCTGCGGAGGCAACTCACCATTTTGAACATATACGCAGCGCCGCTCAGCCACAGTCCATAAGAGGATGCTAACCTCCAATCCTTCAATACAAAACAAGCAGTATTGTTATCCATCCCAGCAACAAGGGAATTGATCGTCCAATCGCTCTCGTTCAGGATGTGATTTTTCACGCTCCACGACCAAACAGCCGAAGCCCGATCCGCAAAAAAACGTCGTTGCTCCCCCGACGAAGCGTAAGCAATTCGGGAAGTTAGCTGGAAATATGTACCAGTAAGGTACCCAAACTGTTGCCCGATGAGGTTTTGGGAGTCTGGTGAAAGCCCATCGGTACAAAAGTGACCGCTTTTCCACATGAGTTTGCTGTGCAGATTTACAGCGCAATTAAACCAAGACTCCGACGAATCGGTCGGAAAGCCTACTTCTGCGGCGGTCATAGCGGCTAGACCCCAGATAGCGGTGCTTGGTCTTGTGTTGGTTGAATTGTAGCTCGAATTGAATATTGTTGGTCTTTGGCTGTCCATGCGGTCAATGACGAGGTTGTTGTAATTACTGTTCTTGGTCGTGTCCCAGAAAGCGAGCAAAGTAATGTATACCGATGCCTCATCCTTTACACCGTGAAAAGGATCATCGCTTAGAGGGCTCACGCTGCCGTCGATGGTAGAATTGCTGAGAAGGTTCGTGACTTGGATTGTCGCAGCATTTTGAATTGATTCTGGGCCCTATTAGTTCATGTGCTAAACCATATGACACTTTCGTACTTGGCAACATACCTGTGCTATTGATATCTAAATCAATAGCAGAAACCCTCGTGAGGCTGCTCATTAACCATGCCGCGTAGCCTAGGTGGCAGTAAATCATCGCAATATGGCGAACGGGGATGATTTACAGGTAACACGAAGGAGAGACGCGATTAGGGATCAAATAAACAATGCGCTGCCGCGTGTCTTACGTTACAAGATGTATTACACCCTTACCTGCGTTCCAATCAGGGTCCCACTAAAGTGGTTCGTTCACATGGTATAGGTAATTTCGCGGGTGTCGTGCCAACTGATTTGATTTTTCAATACCGTAGATATTTTATCTTAAAAGTTATTCACATTACCAAGCTGGGTTGAATACCTGGGGTACTCATTGAAAGCAATTCAAAACGTAGAACAGAAATGCAGACAGCTGAGTTGGTCCAAGTCACAGCAATTAGATCCGGACATGTGATTTGAAGCCTGTAACCATATTTCCCGGGTTGTATGCTATGGCAGTATTCTGTAACTATGGCATCCTTATAATTTAACATTCCTAGGGAGTTGTGACAGTGATGTTCGTGATCGATCAGCTTTGATTCCACAACAACTCTCACACTTGGGGCTTTGCGGAACCTCACCTAAAGCACTCTAGTCCTTATTAGGACCGCGACTCGCCCAAATCTCATCTACCAGTGTACCCTTGTGAGTCAGGTTGAAATACAGATGTAATTAATATCTGGCGACGTGCCAATACACTGGCGAATTGGGAACGGTACCTCAAAGAAATGTCTAATAACTTTGAATTAATTATCGTAAGGCTTAGCCGCTCGTTTCGTTGATAACGTCAAAAGCTCGAAAAGTTGTTGCGCCAACTACGTTGGATTCACATTCATTGCTCATTCTTAGTGGAAGGAGAATCATACGGTGCAGTGCGTAGGTTTATAGGTACTGGAAAAAAACACCTAGCTCGATTAAAAAAGTGCGCAATTGTTTCAGGTCTAAAAACCAATCGCAGGCAATCAAAAAGCGAATCCCTCTGTCCCTTGCGACAAAATTGTCAATGCAAGGGCCACAGTCCCCATTCGTGCATATAACTAAGGAGGTCGCCAGGGTTTTATGGAAAGATTATATATTGCACATTTAGTGTCACATTCCTCACTTCCAATGCTATTGCGAGTCACATTCTCGCCAGCTCGGTCAACTTGTTTGAGGTGCTTCAGTTTTCCTGTATGACTAGAGACTGAAGTTCTTCTATGATGGTAAAGCATCCAGTATAGGAGTAAGTTGGTTAAAACTTCTGGTGGTGGAACAAAAAGCTCATTTAGGGCAGAACAAATGACTTTGAGCGATTTATTAGTGCCCTCGGGCAGTCAACAGGGACAAGAAGAGTTATGGATTAGCGGCAACGGATCACCTAGCACTGCGGTCTTATACGGAACGCATTAGACCGTAGCGTCAAATAGAGCCCGTCGGCGCTCCCTTGGACGGACGCAATGTGTCTTTATTGCACTAGTTTATATACAGAGGGAAGGCGGGAGGGACAAAATCAAGTCTTGACTGCGTGTGCAGTCAGATACACCCGCAATCATCATCCGCGCAACGGAAATCGGATCTTTGTTTATCAGCCCCTACGAATCGCGGAGAACTTACCAGTCCTCGTCGACGTCGACTTTCTCGCAGAGAATGATGACCCGATGGCAGTGAGTGCGAGAGTCACTTGTGATCTATTCTTGAGTTCATACGCGCTGTTTGAACGGTTTCCGGATACCATGAGGTCTCTCAAGGGTGCTTTGATGCGCAAATGGCATGATCTTACAGATGAACCTGATTTGACATGTTTGATCCCGTTACTTCATGGACATGGCCCCTTTGATACGAAAACAATTCACCGTCTTCAGATCGAGCTTACGACGAAGAAGCCTTCATCCTCGTCAAGCCCACATTGGCTCACCAGCTGAAAGCCACAGCGGCGGTAGCTCAGCTACCTCCGAGTTTAAAAATGACGAGGAAGTAGAAGACTATGGTGTGGTAAGCTTTCTGCCAATTGAAGAAAAGAAAAACTCTGGTCTCTACAACATGAATATGCTGTGTCCACCTTTCCCCGTGCTTCTCCAGGGTATCAACAAGATTTCGAGTTTCGGCCAGTCTCAAAAAAAATACTACCCCCTCATCATTTACCTCGAATTCTCAAGGCTCGTTCGAGGAAATTCGCGTAAGAGCGGCTGGATCAGAGTCTGGATGGTCACGCGTCTTTGCCAAGAAGGGAAAATACATCAATGATGAACTCATCGCATTCCATACGATTGGTAAGACTGTGGCGATGACCAAATTCGAATACGTGCTGCTTCCCATCTTCGACCTGGTCAATCAATATGACACATAGAAGGCCAATCTCTCAGTGGACGTTCTGAGTTCCGCTCTATTCACTTGTGCGCCGTTGACTAGATATTTCCGAGAAAGGGCGGATATATTCTTCCTGAACCTCGCCATCGGGGTCCGACTGGCGACCGAGCTGAATGAAGTATTGTCCGAAACCTTCGGGTGGGCTGGAATTTAATGCTGGGAGGAACCCAGACATCTCTGTTGGTTCGACCGAAGGCATGCAGCTACAGCTATTGCCACTACCAGAAGAAAACAAATATTTGTCTTCACAGTTGACGGTAGATCTGAACATAGATTTCTTCGCCTTCTTGTTCTCTTCAAACCTCCGACCGGACGATGTCTTTTTGAAGAAAAGCCGATGAAACGTATCAGCTTCAACAGCGGTTTTCGCACACGGGGAAGAGTCACAGGGGACAATTATTCGTCGGATTTCGGCGGCCAGGCGGGCTGGTATGGTGGTATTGAAACCCCCCTCCCCCCAAGACTTCTGATCCAATTTGATATGATTAGTCTGATTTATTGACTTTGGTTAGATTTCCCCCCACGCATGCATTCGGGAAAGCATCTTTGCCGAGCCACGGATCGATCACCACTTCGCATACGCAGGCATCTTGACCGAGTTCGAACTGGATACATCTAGATTATCGGTCGATGTGGGATGCTGCATGGGCACTGACATCCGGAAACTGGATTGATGGGCTGTGTGGTTAGCTTTATTCTTACAATCTTCTGTTCAATGCCCGACACAATTGCGTCAATTAGATATAGACCCTTCTGATCGAATGTACCAGGGTCAATATGCTATACAGCTGGTGTGGGGTCGATGTCACTTTATTTTTGGATTTTCTTTATTTTCGTTTTCGGCATAATGTACTTTTGACATTCTACATATACTACAACACATATTACAGTGGGCACAGCTGGAATCCTCAAGTAGTAGCCTTGTCTCTTAGGCAGAGAGAAAGTTTAGGGGCCTTCATGTGAACTAGAATCCCAGAGCAGGACTTGGACCAGTCACCACAGAATGAAAAAGGAGTTTACAGGATGCTCTTGCATTAGAGGATAAGGATGTCTACTACGGTTTGTATAATCTCCATAATAGCTGACCTCTCTGGATGGTTGGTGTTATTGTGTCGCTCTCGTCTTGTCTGTTATGCCATACTGCCTACCGTGCATATCCCTCTTCAATATATATATACTGTCTTGGTTCAGCGTCCCAGGTCAGTGGTCACTTTATACACACCAAAGTATGAGGTGAGTTAACCAATCGTCATTCACTGGCTCAGCACATTCCTCACAACCATCTTCAAGTCCAAAGCAGGGACACTCAGGAGTTTATTTCCAGATGGATCGTCGGGAGCGACCACAATATGTCCCATCAGCCTGGAATAGGTGCACGGCCAATAATTTCAAGAAACAGTAATGATAGCCCCGAGCAAACTTCTCACGACCTTGCGCGAGTACGTCTTATGTGTTGGCACGGGTGATTCTCCATTTAGACCCGCTTTCCACTTCCAGTATTTCCAAGATGTCGTTCTGCGTTGTAGTCACCGAACTGATGCAAAAAAACTTGTTGGCCATTGCGGGGGGCAAGGTGCAGCGCACGCCCTGTTGTACCGACGATAGCGTTCAGAAGTTGGTTGCGGATAAGGGCTCGTTTCCCGAATCGTAAATCACGGCGGATTTGGCGGCAAGGTTGAAGCCGGGGGCGCCGGGGTTTTTGAGCAAGACCTGGAATTGCTGCGTACCCAAGGCCTTTGACCATCTCAACCCCGAGAAAACCCCGAGACTGCCTCCTACCTGTGGATAATTGTCGCTAGAACCTATTTAGTTAAATATGTGCTAGCATCGTGGTTCATGGTCTGTCTCCACGCACCCCAATTACGACGACCTTCTTGATGGGATCTATGCTGCTATAGAGAGAGTTGTAGTGAGAAAAATTTCTCGTATCGGATGAGTCAACAATTGAAAATTCAGGGGTTGCCCTTCAATTTCAAACAAGTCTAACGCGGGTGATAAAAGACTTGGCGCTTTTAAATCCGAGTGACGTCATATGTAAGCATACTAGTAGGGACATGCATGAGCTTAATTCGACCCCTGGCGGCTTCCAACGTGGTTATTTGTGGACCATCGAGATCATGAATTACGTTTACCTCCCGATACGGTCCCTTTTGTCATGGAGTAAGGGATGAAATCTCTTCACGGATATATTCCTACATAAGGCCGTGATGACAACCCACTTCATGGTGGAACCTTTATCAGTAGCCAACCCGATGTCCACAAAGCATCACAAATCGAGTTTTGTGAGAACTTTCTGAAACCGGGCCGATTATGACGGCATAGGTATTCTTCACGGACATAATCCTAAGGCCGTGATGACAATCCACTTCATGTTAAGTGGAACCTTTTCTTCAGTATTAGTCAACCCGATGTCCACAAATCATCACAAATCGGGTTTTGCGAGAACTTTCTGAAACCGGGCCGATCATGGTGGTGTAACTATAAAGGGGATTTAGGCTGAAGGCCTGGGGACCCTGGTAGAATCATTCAATTCAATATCCATTCTCGATTTCATCAAAATGACCGATTACAAGTTTGAAGGCTGGTGTGGCCTCGGCCCTGAGGCTGGCAAGGGCAAGATGGTCTGGCAGGAGTTCGAGCCTAAGCCCTGGGAGGAGACAGACGTGGACATCAAGGTCACACACTGTGGTATTTGCGGTTCGGACCTGCACACTCTCCGCAGCGGGTGGGTATGTTTTCTTTCAGTTGCTCTGTTGACTCGGTTTCTCTTTTCTTTGAATTACTTCGTTGTCTCAGTTTCTCGGGTGAATTGAAGGCTAACGTCTCTTGTGTATCGTACAGGGGCCGACCAAATATCCCTGCTGTGTGGGACACGAGGTTGTTGGCACAGCCGTGCGTGTAGGTACGCAGGTTAAGAACGGCATTAAAGTCGGGGACCGTGTAGGTGTGGGAGCTCAAAGCGGAGCTTGTGGGAATAAGGACGGCGACTGTGAAGCCTGCGCGGCTTCACTCGAGCAGTTCTGTAATAAGATGGTCGGCACATACAATGGAGTGTACGCAAATGGAGGAAAGTCTTACGGGGGTTATGCCACTTACAACCGCTCGTCCTCCCACTTCGTTATCAAGATCCCCGACGCTATTTCCTCAGCGGACGCTGCCCCCATGTTGTGCGGTGGTATCACGACGTATTCTCCCTTGAAGCAGAACGGCTGTGGGCCCGGGAAGACTGTTGGTGTTGTCGGTATTGGTGGCCTAGGTCACTTTGCCATTCTATTCGCCAAGGCCCTTGGTGCTGACCGCGTTGTTGCTATCTCCCGCAAGTCGGACAAGAAGGCGGACGCCCTCAAGCTTGGGGCTGATGACTTTATCGCTACTAGTGAGGAAGAAGATTGGGTCACCCGTCACGGACAGTCTCTCGACCTAATCATCTCGACTGCCTCTTCTTCCAAGATGCCCATTACCGGATACTGCAGCCTGCTGCGTTTCCGTGGTACCTTCATTCAGCTTGGCGCCCCAGAGGATGGTGGTCTTGAAATCCCTTTCTTTGCTTTGATCGGCAAGGGTATCAAGCTTGGTGGTTCGCTCATTGGTAGCCCTGATGAGATCCGCGAGATGCTGGACCTTGCTGCTGCTAAGGGTGTCAAGCCCTGGATCCAGGAACGCCCTATGAAAGATGCCAACCAGGCCATTGTGGACATGGACAACGGTGATGCTCGGTACCGTTATGTTTTGGTCAACAACCTGTGAATCAGCTTACTAGGACCGATGTCATGGATATGAGCTGAAATGATGTTGTAACTAGCGGTTTGACGTTTACTACATAATAGAGGTATATGAGAGTTTAGATCGTGAGGCGTATTTGGGCTGCTGGGGTCTTTGTCCCTGCAATTTAATTTTCTCTGATTCATGGTGATATTTGACTCGAATGATAGGAATAATCCGAGTTAGCAAGGCTTGAATCACTTGGACGAGTTGTCATGACTTACCTGCTTAGAAGCTCCGCAACGTTGACTCACCGAAAAGCGCATACAATATCGTCGCTAGGAAATATGAATTTTTTTTTCCCCTGGCCTCGATTTAGTATTGTCTAGACTGCGGAAAGTGAGGTCAGGGTCGGGCGACCGCCGACGAATCACCTCTCCTGTTTTCCCTCCAGCTGGTTGATCCGATGACTATATCTGGACCCACTCTGCTGAATAAGGTTGGAATCGAGTCGAGGGCTTAGTTACATTGATCGAAGGGCTTAAGCCTTACATACAGCTGATCGAATGTTAGAATGGGACCGCTAATTTAGCGTGAAGGAAAATATATTAATCCGTATTAATCCGCGTTTCGACCATCTATCTGCTCAGAGGGGTCTTAGTGAATGTCGAGATCTCTCTTTACTCTAGGATGTCTTCATAGCTTATAATAGGCGTTCATAAAGACCGCGTGATCATTATTTACAGTATTATCTTTACCACTAAATCCTATCTTCTTCTATACTAAGGTATTATAACCCCTAAAAAATCCCGACATTCGCTGATGTCTAACGTTCACTGAGCTCTCGGAACTCGGATTAATACGTGTTCCTCTGTTCCAAAAGGCGCTAAAAATTAGCTGTCCCATCTCAACATTCGCTCAGCTGACAGATGAAGGGATGCTTTGTCAGCATATGATGGATGACAAAGCTACCCACCTGACCTCGGGCAGGACCTGCCTGCCCAGGTGCCCTACCCTGTCCAGGAAGGTAAAAGCGAGGAGTCGCATCAAATATATATGTTGTAGTGTTTGGCGAAAATTGTTATGATAATATGAACGACTAAGTGGAATAAGCTCGATTTTAGGGTGGGTTTTAATGCCCGGGGCTACGACTAACTTGAAACTTGCTAACTAAATTGTCCGATAGAATAACCATCCATTCCTATTGCGCTGAACCTTTCCTTAATCTTTTCACCGAAATGTCAAATCAGATATCAAATCAGATGTCAAATCAAAAGACCCTTCTGGAAGATTTTAATATCGGAAATTTCGATAAACAAGCGCTCAACAAATCAGTGGAGGCAAAAACCGGCGGGTCAGTCGTACTCGACGAAAACCAAGCCACTATAACGGATTTGCAGAGCGTTTCCTGGCCTGTCGCTTCCGCTCTTCTGGTCAAAGAAAACGGATCAGGCGGTAGAATTCAAATTCATGAGCAATCAGGAGAGTGCGTGTTGGTGGTGATGACGGGCCCTCAATTTGACGAACACTTCGCCATCGCTTGGCTAAAGAAAGGCCAAAACTTTCGTTTTTACGGGAAACCATCAGTCTGGTTTTTCAGACCAGCCAGCTTATAGCGCACAAGCTGTTCGCAGAATTTCAAGGACACATCGATTTGAAAGTGACCTCCACGCTAGGCCCGCCATACCAAGGACAAATCATCTTCACAGCAGGAGGAATGGCTGCTTCGCGGAGAATAGGAGCTATGGAGCGCATTCCATGGTCCACAGTTTGGCCAAGTGTGTTTTTCTCAATAGCCGGTTCGCAGGAATAGAGGATCTCTAGGAATTCGTTCCGCTCAATTGAAACAGTTGACTGAATCGGTTGATCCGAAGGTAGACCGAAGCTGTATTCTTCTATATACTATTAGTTTTAGCTCATGTTTACCACTTCTTGAACTGACCGATAGTTGGACTCAATTGAACACCCTTGTGATGCGACTCGGTAATACCTTGTAAAGCTACTGGTCCTCCAACGTCAAGAGCAGAAGCAGAAGTGTCTTGTTTGTAATATCTGAGTCTGAAGTGTTGGCATAAAGCCAACGCAACTCTGCCAGGGTTTCTGGTTTCTCTTGACCGGCCCACCATTCCATGGTTTTACCGATCCATTTAAGTTGAAAGTCGGATAATTTCGTCTTGGGAAATTCGAGCAGTGACAATACTAAAAGATCGGACGGGAATATTTTCATCATTTCTCGAATATTGCCCCGCGATTTTTCATCCCTTCGTATAGAAGTACGAGTTAGCTTGTCCTCTCTTCACTCGAGCTACCCAACGACCTTGTGTGACGACTTCCCAGAAGTTCGTCAGTCATTGAATCACCATTCTTATGAAGAAGGGCACAATCCTTGCCAGCAGACTGCATAATTTCAACACAGCGAGAAGATAGAATATACGACCGAGCCAACATGATGCTTGTGAAATATGTGGGTCGCAACTCCTGTGATGCAAGCGTGACATTGCATACTGGTTATTCAATCAATTTGTAGACAGAAGGCCGCGGGAACCCAAGAAATTGGAGATAATCAATAGGCTTCCATTGTTGGCAGCAGTCGGGGCTATCCGTAGTTTTAATATGCAAGGACGACCGTAGGACGAGCGGGAACTTTTTTCCACCTGTCAAGGCGACGTTCTCGGGGGGATGGTGGAAGAAATCAGGAACGTGCTTTAGCAGACCTAGAATTGCCTGCAAATGCATGTCTAGGGACTTCGATGTTCCATCATACCTGGATGCTGCTTGGCTCCAGGGGTGTAGACTGGCTTGGTGACATGCCTGGAAGTGATCCTCAGGCGGACAAACACCGTCACCAGGGTACCAATTTTCAACATCGCTGGTTGAAGAATCGGATACGGAGCTCGACTGCTCGTCATAGTCTTGGATGAGGTGGCCGTGTTGGTTCTGCTGGCTTTCCTGGCTGTGCGATTCTAGTGCTTCCATTTCCCTTTCTCGATGAGAGACTTGACGAAGAGACAAGGATCATTGGGGAGATTTGTAGGGTGTAGAAGGGACATAGAGGCGGTGAGGTAGAGACTCCAGGCAGGGGCTGCCGCTGCCTATTTTCAGCCCCGGCTCAAACCATCAAATACCCATTATCCAATGTGCCACTGTAAAGTAACGGAAGTATGTGGGTTGAGATTGAAAATTTTGCCTAGGAGATCAGCTGGCTGCTATCAACATGTTACTCATAAACTATTCAAAATGTCTTTGTAAGTAATTCACAATTTATGTACCCAAGGAACGCTGCTAGATCCCGACAATAATATCTAGCAGTTTTTGAACTCCGAATTCGAAATATCTGCCACCTGGTCCCTTGAAATGGATCTGACATTCACATGGTGGACATCCATTGGCTGTTGGCAGCAATACCGGCTCGGAGAGAAGATGACATCGCAACACCTGATCGAATTGGGTAATTTTACTAAATTATAGGGCTAGTGAGAAATGTCACTCAAATGGCGCTATACCCGAAGCAGTTTAGAGGATTTAGGGGCAAACAAATTCTGCCTCAGGCCATAAACCTATTGCCTGAGGCAGACAGGTCTTCTTTGACCCGTGAGCCGTTAGGTCGGTGCAACCTTCTTGTGTATTGACTTTTGAATGAACCATGGAAGCATCGAAGGGGAAAATGACGACTGCATAGCATTTCCAACGAAGAAAAAAAATGGAAAACCGGAAACCGAGTTTATCTGCACCGATAAACTCTATGAGGTCATCTAGCCGTAGGTCCAACCACCGGGCAAATTCAATTGGTTCAGTACTATAATTTAGATTGATATTTCATGTCTAGCTAGGAATATGCTGTGCTTTATATTGCCATATCTTTTGCATAGCATATCGGTATAAGATGAAATAAGACCAAATAATACCAAATGAGATCAAATAAGGGTTGCAGACAACGTGGTCCCCACTGGACACGGGGCACAGTGGACGATCTCTATCTTAAAAGTGACCAGATGGATCCCTCCAACCCTGGAAGTGACCCACAACGCTCAGACTTTCTTTGATGAGGATTCCTATTCCGGTTAGACAAGTATGGCTGTGTTTCCCGTCAGATAGCGAGCTTGAATCTACTTTCTCTTGACTCCCTGTCTTGCGCTTCTCTCTTCTTCTCCTCGTTCTGATCAATGACCCTTTTGAATATGAATGGGTGAACTTCCTATACCCATGCGCCCCTTTCGTTAGACCATAAACCCTAATCATCACGACGAGGTACCCCGCCACCGGATATTAATCCTAGGGGCGGTATGATCGGATCGAGCTGCCAGCTTGCGATTATCACGAACAAACTTCATGCATACTCAAGCAACGATTATTGAGAGAATGTCCGCGTTCAGGATGCCACATATGATGACAACATTCAATTCGCGCGCAGGCCGAGTCGCGGTGCTCGCAGTCTTCTTTATCCTCGCCCTTATCTGGCTCTTGCCCAGCCATGATGCCCCCTTAGTGTCGCCAATCTTCTACGCCGGGGATGGATACAATAGCAGTCACCCCATCGATGCTCTGATCGATACCGCAAAGACCGATCTCCACGAACTCCTCGGAACACAAGCGCACGACCTTCAAACTGCCGCAGACCAATATCGAGCGCGGCGTGGGAGACATCCGCCTCCTGGTTTTGGAGAATGGTACCAGTTTGCAAAGTCTAAGGATTCATTGATTATTGAAGAATTCTTCGATCAGATCTATCACGACCTGACTCCGTACTGGGCTCTCGACCCGAAGGAATTGCGTCGACAAGCTAGAAGCATCCCGACCCGTATCACTATCCGCAACAAAACCGCGATATTGAAAACCGATGAGCCGAGAAATTGGATGGACTCGTGGTATGATCTGGTCGCGAAATTGGAGGACGGACTCCCCGATCTCGATATGCCAATCAATGTCATGGATGAAACTCGGCTCGTTGTGCCCTGGGAGGAAATCAATGAGTACATTCAGAAGGAGCAGGCAAATCGCGTGATGACGAAACCGAGCCGTGTTATCCCCGAATACATGTCTTTGACCGATTGGGATAACGAAGACCTGGAACCTTATGATCCTGGATTTGCAATTCCGGGCGAGGGAGGTTACTGGGAGATGGCTCGGGTTGGCTGCCCACCTGGAAGCCCTGCACGCACCAGCACCCTGGCCAAGGTTGATTTCAGTACTCCTCCTTGGGAATACGACAATTTCGAGAGAATGTCATACCACGGTTATGTATCAAACTTCACATTGACAAAGGACCCATGCGTGCGCCCAGAGATGCAGGTATTGCATGGAACCTTCCTTGAGCCCATCTCTGTTTCAACTTCGCACAAGCTGATGCCATTGTTCGGCGGGTCCAAGCTTCCCATGAACAATGAGATTCTTCTTCCCCCGGCGATGTACTGGGCCCAGAACGACCATTATTCCGGCGGGGAGAAGGAGCACGGTGGCCCTTGGGCATCGAAAATGAATAAGGCTATGTGGCGAGGTGCTGCTACTGGCGGCCGGGCTCGAGAGCCCAACTGGACGGGCTTCCAGCGACACCGATTCATGTCGATGATGAACGCGACATCAGTGGCTCAGGCCGAGAAGAACCAAAGCCACGGCATCAACTTCAGACTCCCAAACTATGCCGATTACAAGTTGAAGGGCGACGGGTTCATCCCGCAGCTTCTCTCGGAGCATACTGACACAGGCTTCAACCACCTGGTTTGCACGCCTTATAATGAATCGGACCCGACGTGCCCGTATCTTGATCCATATTTCGAGGTCGCGCCTGGAATGGCAATGAAGGATATGTACAACTTCAAGTATCTGCCCGATCTTGACGGGAACTCCTTCAGTGGACGGTACCGCGGATTCATGTTGTCCACTTCCCTCCCTATCAAAGCTACTATCTACAAAGAGTGGCACGACTCGCGACTGATTCCGTGGGTACACTTCGTCCCCATGGATACCACTTACCTTGACATTTATGGAATTATGGCATATTTCCTCGGCGGCCGTGACAAGGTTGCCCGTAAAATTGCGCTCGCTGGGAAAGCTTGGGGCGAGAAGGTCCTGCGCCGGGAGGACATGGAGATATATACATACCGACTTCTCTTGGAGTATGCGCGCATTTGCGATGATCAGAGGGAATTCCTCGGTTATGTCGGTGATCTCAAGATGTGATTGCTTGTTCATACGCATACGTACAAATCGACTCTCGCGGTCAACTCCCCAATCCTCCCCAGCAGAGTCGGTTTATCGGGCATGATTATCGGACTTTTTTTCATAATCGAAAAAGATCGTTCCGCCTGAATCCTTATGTGGCGCCCTAGCCTAGGCATCCCGACTCCTCGGGCTTTCTCGGCTCCATCCTCATGGCACTGGCCTTGATGTCTCCATCCCGGCGTTATTGGCTTTCTCAGCCTTCGGTCTTTCTCTCACTCCCTTCTTATTCTTTAATATATACTACCTTCATGTGATGTTTGTTTTTACTTGTCGATGATTACTGATACCATGTCAATATTCATTTCTCGGCCAGTGCCTGATGTACATGAAACCTGACGACGATGTACATAAATAGGTGATGTTTGTCATTTATGATTTTTTATTTGCTTCTTACATTCCTCTTTGCACACAGATAATTCTTACATTAGAAAAGCACTATACTCGAACTATAACACGTCTTACTCCTTCCACTCATCTCTGCCGAGCCTAACAATATCAGCCTGTTCCAGAGTCCAATAGCTCGACGGGGCTTTGCCCTCTTCAACCAAACGAGCAGCTGCTACAGCTGCTCTACCAATAGTAGTTTGATCTTGACCTGCTCGCGCCAGTTAGCTCTGAATCTTCGTCAACATTCGCGTGATCAGCATAACCATACCAACTTTGTCCTGGATACCCTGGCCAAGCTTCTGAAGGCCTTCCACAAACTTCTCTAGAAGAAAAGACTTCGACTTCTCCCTCCCAATAATCATCCCGGGTCTCAGAACGATAGCATTCTCAAAGTTAAACTCCATGATGGCATCCTCGACGCCAACCTTCATTTTCGAGTATGGGACCCAGCCCCAGAGAAGGCTTCTCGTGCCTCCGCTGGAAATGAAAACGTACGTCTTCACGCCCGCCTCCTTAGCTGCTCGAGCGTTCTCCACGCATAAATCATGGTCGATCTTCCACTGGTTCTGGATGCTGCCTGCTGTTGCTTTGGTAGTTCCGACCGCGTTAAAGACCACTGATGGCTTGGGGGACAGAGACGAGATCATGTCTCCCCATTTTGAGGTATCGTTTTCCTCGAGTGCTTCGAGCTTATCGGCCTGCGCATTCGGGAGTCTTCTGGAGATGGTCTTCACTTTGGAAAATGCGTCCGATGAGAGAAGGGTAGCCAGAATTTGAGACCCTACAGCTCCTGTGCAGCCGAATACCGCTGCCGTCGCCATAGTGGAGGCTTGTGATATGGCACTGTCTTGAGAGAGACACGTTCCAAGATAAGATGACGTGGTCCGAGCGTTTGTATGTCCCCGCCTAGGCCAATCTGACAGATGACGTCAGCATCACTATACACACCATTGTAGACGCATCTTACTCTATCAATCTTTCTATAAAGGAATTACCAAATCTATTTTGCACACTTAAGGAAGTGCGGAGATGAAGATATTATTACACGAAAGACCACAACACCCAATAGGACACGGTCTACAACATACTCAATCGGGCGCCCTATGCGGGATTTTCCGCCAAAGTCGCGCCCTGCTACATGGCTTGATTTCAGACTAACCAAGTACATAAACACCAAAATGTCCAGGTAGGATTCACGGATTATGAATGAACATTGATCGTCTTGGACATCTCTCCAGCCCAAAATGAACGACCTTAATTTCCGTGTCGCGACCGAAGCGGACGCGCCTCGACTCCAGCAGTTGGTGGAATCTGCGTTCCGCGCCGAGGACAGCAGAAAAGGCTGGACCGATGATCTAGGCCTCTCGGCAAGCTTTCGCCTGGATGTCCAAGAGATCTTGGCCATGATCACCAAGCCGGACAGTGTCTTTTTGATGGCCACCGACGATGAAAATACGCTCGTCGGCTCAATCGGGACTTCCAAACGCGACATAAACCACGCTCATCTTTTTATGCTTGCCGTCGATACAAGCCAACAGCGCGGCGGCGTTGGGAGACAAGTCTTGGCTTACGCTGAAGACTATTCCCAGAGGACTTGGGGTGTTACCACGCTGGGATTAAATGCCCTTTCGAATCGCCAGCAACTTATCTCGTGGTATTCGCGTCGTGGATACAAAGAAACGGGCGAGACATCGCCCTTTCCTCGTGAGAAGTTCGCGAACTTGGCGTTACCGGATGATCTTTGTTTTGTTGAATTTGAGAAGGTTCTGGAATAGCACCTACCGGACAAGCGCACGTCCTAAACCGGGGCTAGCAAGTCCGGTGGATCGAGGATAGGTGGGATTGAACGGCTCAGAGAAGATCGAGAAATGTGAACTAAGTGAACTTTCGAATAAGATTCAGAAATGAACTTTAGCAGCAAAATGGTCATAAGATAAACCTAAAATTTTAGGAATTCAAAAATATCCGTCCAAGTACATACATAGCCAGCGCTTCCTAGATTTTATTCGCCGAGGCTAGTACGAACGTAGACAAGCTTGCATATTGTGTTACCCTAGGATCCTGGCTTTAAATCTCCTTGCCTATCTTAAGCCCGAAATGTTTTCTACATGACTTCAGACAAAAACACATTACTAGATTAGGCATTCTACATACCAAGCCCTCAACTAGAATCATTTGAGCTTAAACCTAACTGCAAACAAGGCTCAAATGGGCCATCATTCCTTAAGTCATGTCATGAGACCAAGACCTTACTTACAATCTAGCATCAATTAATCTTGTCGAACACTGAGGTGGATACATGGCGAAATAGAGGATGAACCCAGGCCAAAAGCCTGCTCAACGGGATGGCCAACCCCATAGAAAGGTTCATATTGTTATTACTCAAAGTCGTCAGTCCGATTATTTCCTAGTTTGTAGAGAATTGCATATCTGCTGAATTACATCATCTTTTGCGTACTGTATATTGCTGTCAAATCTTAATATGACGAATGATAGAAGATCACTCGCGTGTAGTACTGTCACACTATCAAGGCAACAAACAACAAGTCATATTGTCGTTGGCTATCTCCTCTGTGTTTTTCCCCTCGACTGGTTAGAAGATCAATTTCAATTTTTATGTACGTTTAAGTAAATTCAACGTCATGTAGCTACATGTACTAATGTTGTGTAACCCACCCTGCCAAATGCTCCATTAGAGTCTCAAGCCTACATTTGTTTATAAGTTGGATAACTGCTCTGATATTAAAAGGCACGAAAAGATACAAGGACAACTCCCACATTCCAATACAAGTCTACCCATTTATCAACATTATGAATCCAACATCCCAATCGGCTGTGTCATCATGTCCAAAAATCCTAATGCTACATGGTAACATACCGCTAGTTTCTACAAAATATCATATAGAGCTTTGAAGTATGAATCTGACTCATTCACCTCTTCTCATAGGCTACGCCCAGTCCGGACATGTGCTCCAATGCAAGACCAGATTCCTGAAGCCTCAAGTAAGAGATGCTGTTCTCAACGCTCTGCAGCAAGATGCAAATTCAAAGCCCGTTGACGTGGTCGAGTTTCACTATCCTTCAGGCACGTGGCCTATGAAACTCGATCAACCCCGGGAGAGCAATGAGCTGTGGACATGGGGACATGGCGAATCTATGACTGGCCGTATCCGGGGCCTTGAACAGTCTGTCGATGATATCTTCCGCTATCTTGAGAAGAATGGCCCATTCCTCGGGGTCATGGGGTTCTCCTCGGGTGCTGCAGCGGGTGCTATAATTGCTTCTCTTTTGGAGAAAAGACACTCCATCGGCAATTTCCAATTTAATGTAAGCTGGGGGAAATATAGTTGGCCTGGAACATGCCCAGGTGGTAGCATGGCTGACTTTCTTTCCCTTAGACGGACCACCCCCCTTTGAAGTTTGTGGTTGCGGTTTGTGGGTTTGCATTGAAAGATCCTCTTTACAACGACTTTTACAGTCCCAAAATTGAGACGCCGATATTCCTTGCTATTGCTAGCCTGGACGTAATAGTCGATGAATCTGAATCGCTGAGACTGCGTGATTCAAGCACAAATACAGCTTTGTGCTTTTTCGAGGGGGCACATTATGTCCCACGAGACAAGGTATTTTTGAAATCCTTGGTCCAGTTTATTGAAGATGCTTTGAGCATCAAAGAGGACCACGAGGAGGATTGGGAGGATTGTGGAGATAATTGCGGATTGCAGTAGGCCATGACGTGCAACTGGACAACTATTGGAAGGCACCACTCGGGCTCAAACAGGCAGGAAGGTACTGCCAAGGCAAGAGCCCTGAGGAAGGAACGATAAAAAAGTGAGTATAGATGGAAAGCTTAAGGCAGATATTGTAACCCCCAACCCCGCGTTGAAAAACTGTGAGTTACGGGCTGACGGCAGGGAGCCTACCCTAAAAAGTTGGCTCTCTGATGTCTCATACACTGAGCGAGGCGCGTCTTATGCCAATGAGGAAACTATCCCTAGGCTAGCTGTTGTGAAGAACCTCTGGGGCCCTTTTGTTTTCTTTCCTCCTTTTCCATGCATGTTACAAGTTGATCACGTGATGCCACCAGCCCATTGTTTTTCGGGCGAAAAACGTTTGTCTTGTTTGTTTTGTTCTGCCTACTCAGCTATGTCCACAAGATTGTGTTTTTTGGACTATTGTCATTTTAGAGAGTTAGAGAGATTATTGAGATTATTCTGCCACGTATACACTCGCCTTACCACCGTTTTTCCGTCATTCTTTCCTCCTAAGGGATCATTTGAAGCTATTCACATTTGACCCACCACAATCCCCACCATAACCCCACCCCCACGATGTCAAATAACTAGACCTCCAGTTTACTCTTTCTCACGTATTGATTCCTGTATGTGGTCGGGTATACATACCTCTCTAGATGAAGTTATGCCAAGCTTCGGTACAACCGTGGATACGCCTCCCCGGAACCAACTTTTTAGCTTTGACGAAGTCTTTCACAGCCTTGGAATTATAGAATCAATTGATCTTATCATATACAGATTTAATTAAAGAGTGCCATAACTGAATCCACTTCTGGGCTTGAAATATTTCAAGGGCAGTTGAGTCTGCTGCATATGGTCAACTGGCTACTTAGTTGCCTTCTCCAAATCCGCAGCCCAGAGAGCTGCGCCAACAGTATTCGTGAATGAAAATGCGATCGAGGCAAATGGTACCATTTCCAAAACAAAGGCCGCAATTCCAAGTCTGATGAGCAGTCAGCATTCGAATGGATGGTAGGAAGAAAGATGGAGTTTACGCACCCAGTGTATGCGCCCTGGTTTTTCTTCACCCATTCCTCTCGCATTGTAGAATCCCAACCCTTGAGCTGAAAATACCTGGCATGAAGTATCGGTCCTGCTCTTTTCCCCTGCATGAAGATATACAACACTGTTCCGACCACAGGAATGAGGTTCAGGGGCAGGTAGAGCAATGATCGCAGCAGCGCCCGGGGGTTCAGCCGCGCGAGAGGCCGCGTGAAAATCTTACCCAGTCTAGCCATCGCATCTCTCCCTCCCGAACGGGGCTTCATCTGGCGTCCTTGTGCTACAAGTGGCTCCTGGTCACGCGCGACTAGGGTGCCATCGAACGTGTCGATCAGGGCATCTTCGATGAGAAATGAACGGGAGAGGACGCTTGTTATGGCGGAACTTTCGCCGAGAACGAGAATCGCTGCGGAAATAGCAGCGAGCGGGCCACTGGTGAAGGCCATGATGGCCATCTGCGGCACGTACGTGAAGAAGAACATGACGGTCGTGACGCCTACTCCCAGTGTGATAGTCCGGCCAGCGCGAGAGATAAAAGGGCGCCAGAGGTCTTTGTGGGCTGCGAAGTAGACAATTCCCTGAGAAGATATTTATTGCAATTAGAGATGATCGGGAAGCGCCCCTTTAAGAGCTGACAGGCATAGTTACTTACCTTGAATGGATACAAGTAGGCGCCAGACGTGATCACGTCATGGGCAATTGCTTGACTGCTCTTGACCTCGGCAAGCACTGCATCTTTGATCTTCTCGGACATCTTTCCTATAGAATTAGTATTAGTATCGGATGAGAAGAATGAGTTTTGGGAATCGTGGGAGATGACGATTAGATTATCGATAAGAAAACAGCCTTATAATGACGTCATTGGATTGAGCTTCCAAGGTTGTGCGGGACGGAGTGTACTATGACAGGTATTTATAATAAATCACATTTCTACGGTGTGGCAAGCTTAGTTATATATCTCAGCAAGAAGTGATCTGGATAGGAACATGGCTGAGATTAGTTCTCACTGAAAGGAGTCCATCCTGCAGCCACCATATCGACCGCCCTCTGAGTCGCTTCATCCAAGTCCTCCTTAGGTAACCTCAGTGTATCATTTGCCAACTCCATTATCCCTGCAAAATCACCTTCCTTGTTGGCTGGCGAAAATACACCACCATAAAGCATCTTAGCGAACCCCGTGAAAATTCCCTTAGACAACTCGTCGGCGCCGTCTGCAAGACGCTTAGCGACACTCTCATGAGTAATCTCCCAATCAGAGTCTGTAGTGCCCAAGACACGATGCAGACTGTCGAGTATATCGCGTTGCGACACGCGGAAGCTATTGATCCGGACTTCCTTGTTCTTGAAGTCGACAAGCGCAGGGGTTGATCCTGACTCCGGTAGGCTGAGGAGGGCAGCTAGAGCGCGACCACATTGGTCCCAAGTGCTGATACTAATGATGCGAGTACCCTCGTCGAAAAACGTGACCTTTCGGTCTTTGATCGTGAAGCCGAACCATTGCTCGCCGCTTGCCAGGCTCCATTCGTACCAGAACCCGCATGATAATGTCACTGAGGACGAGACACCATTTTGAGCATCACTGATTCGTTCAAGAACGCTCTTTCCATATGCATCCCCATCTTTCACTCCCTCAGGGCTAAGAGGGAATCCGTACGCATTTGGCATGATGTAAGGAACACCAGCCTTTCCGGCAGCTGCGGTAATCCTAGCGTGAAGATCCTCGGGGGCTCGGACGCTCAGGGTAATGACAAGGAATTGTTGGCCATTCAAGGCATTGACAAGCGAGTCCTCATCGTCGTACTTGACTCGAACGGCTCGGACTCCATTAGGGAGTTTTGACTGGCTGTCTTCGCGGGTGAGAGCTGTGACTGTATGCTGCCCTGTTTGCAGAAGCGACTGAGCAAAGGCTCCGCCGATGCGGCCAGTGGCCTGATGATTGTCAGCAATTTCTCCTCGAAGTGGGACCGGCAAAATGTAGGGCATAAGGCAATAGACCTACTCCGACAATGGCAACTCTTGTGATATGTTTCTTGGACATGTTGAAAGAAATTGTTAGAACAATGGTCTGAATTCTTGTCTGACAGGTTGCGTAAACCTCGTTTATATATATATATATATCCATGACCTGCACGGAGTTATCGGACTAAGGAACCGCCGCCTGGAGATAGTCGGAGAATGGACATAAGGACTAGTAAAGCCGAGCCTGACTTGGTTTGTGCTGTCCCTGATCGTATTTCGCTTGATATGACGAGTGTATACAATGAGATCCGTAAGCCAAACTACAGTCCACTTACTCCGTCAGCCCAGCCCAAAACCTCCGAATAAAAATAGCCTGTGTCAAAGAAAGAATGACAAATTGAGCTTACGCGTAAAAAGAGTGATATGTTGCAGCATTTATCCCCAGTCAATAATTAAGCTGCTTCTTTTATACTGCCGCAATGGCCGTGAGAGTTTTGCCTGATGGTAAGGGCCCACACTAATTGAAGAGGTAAGTCTGAACCCATGTTTAAGTCACGTTAATTCCCACTTACCCATCCATAGTTATCGCACCGGCATTGCTCGTAGAGAGGGCAACTAAAAACGAAAACATAGTCGTTAGTATCCCATAGTAAGCAATGACTGTCTCTCAGAAGACACTTACTGAATCCCCTCCATACCGAACACCACATGCCACAAAGTTTCAAACACCCACCCGACACCGTAGTCATCAACAAGCGGCACACTCTTTTCATTCACCCAGTTTAGCATACGGATATAATCACTTTTGGGTCGCTGCCAGATGCGTGCTCGGCTGACCGCAAACTGAGCACAGCAGATACCCCCAATGTGTTCCGGAACTTGCGCATCTTCCCCAAATATGTCTTTATATATAGTTGGAAAATTTGCACGCGCATCATTCTTGTCAATGTCTGCTTGCGTGGGATTGTTGGGATTGACATGAGTCGGACAGCCTGGGTTATTCGTACAGCGCAGGTTCAAATATCCCATCGCATCCACGGCTTCGCGGCGCAGGCTATGCAAAACGCTGCTTGTGTGGGGGCCAAACAGATCGTTGTGCCACTGTTCGGGGTTGGCATGGAGGAAAATCGAGTACTCGGGAAGCTCGTCGTATAGGTCGACAATGAACGAAAGATAGGCCGAGGCTTCCCGGCCGCGAGAAGAGTGTGCGACGAGTAGTTCTGTCTCGGGCTTTTTGTCCATAGTGTAAATAAACGGAGTGTTATCGATACTGGCCATGGGCATTCAATTAGTGTGGTCTTTTATAACCTTGGGACTTGTTTGCTTACTGTGTTTGAAGATAATCACGAAGCCATCTCAAGTCATCTGAGCGTGTCTTTGACATTACCAAAGCGACCTTTGTGGTGGTTGCATTGTAGCTTTGGGTTTTCTTAACCAGTTCATGTAACGCTGCAGTCCTTTCTGCCTCTTCTGATTGTTCTACTGGCATCAGCATAGAGCCACACCGAATTTCACAGTGCAGTCGCGTACTTGTGTCTAGGGCTTCATCCACAGTTTGGACTGAGCGATAAGCATCCAAATCACAGAACTTCAGAATCAGGAGGACTGTGCAGCCAAATATCATGAGTCCTGATAATATGGGCTGATGTCTGATCCATGAGATTATCGATCTCTTGAGTCGTGCTGGATATACACGACTCTCAGACCTGCTGTGACTGAAAGTGTCGCTCTTCATTCTGAATTTGATATGCCGTCAAGAATTAAAGTGGGAGAAAGAGAAATTATTTTGGTTCTGGGTGTGCGACCTGGCTTCAGACCGTAGTTTTCGCGGCCGGGTTTGCAACATGTGTGAGGCTATGACCCCCCTTACGTGGGAAGGTTGTGCTATCTCAATCCATCGAACTTACTCAGGAGGTGGACGTAAGCAATGCCTAGATCTCTCTGCTTTATAAAGGTAGATTCCCACAGAGTATGCAAAGAGTAAGATATGACGACACAAACTGGTTGTGATGATGTAGGCCATGTATGATGTGCCATGTATGAACTTGATATCTTATTGGTCGCAATCACTTCATACATGGCTCGCCCTTGCGTGGTAGGTGGTCCCTTGCCTTTGCTGTCGATATCTCTTACCGAACAATTCATGTACCCAGCAAAAGATTTTCGACCCATTTTTGTAGATGCCGTGGTCCCTCTTGAAAAAGCTAGGCTCGGTACATGTATGTTGTTGAAGAGGAATGGGGCGGTATGTGCCTGATGTTGGTAAATGTCGAAACATTCGTAATCCCATCCCATCTGATGTGAAGTTCACGCGGAGTATGTACTAAATATCGCTGACACTCAAGGCAACTGTCATAAAACAACATCCAACGGATGTCTCTGGGTTACAAACTAAGCAAACACGCTGATTATGTGCATAACTTTGCTGACTTTTTATCTTTATGAACGCCAAGACCTGGCTTATGCAAAAACTGGGTCCAACCAAATCGGGCTTGATTTTCTATCTGGTACTGTTACTAACTTACTCCACCGTCCGCTATGAATACTTCTATATCCAAGCCGGCCGTATCGCCTACAGGCCCCTCTGGCACTTTTATGGTCGAGTTGCTGATCTACAACGGGTCGCCTTTCAAAAATCACTGGGCGTACTTTGTTCGGTCGCACGAAGACCCTGATATCGGCGTGAAGATACACGCGACCGGCAATGTGAGAAGTGGCTTCGAGTTTGAAATTAAGCGCAGTGAAAACCTGCAAATCACCGACGACATTCCGTCGACAAGGGTCCCGCTGCAATGGGTGGACGCAGATTACTTTGATGAGAAGGCGATGCTTAACGATGGAGAATACAAAATCGACAATGCACCTGTCTGTCTCTTTGAGAAGAGTGCTTACGAGGTCAAAGCTCCAGGAAAGACTCTGAACTCAATCAGTGACGGGGTGAGTGCATCCCCAACCCAGCGCCTAGACTGCATGAGGGTGTCTTCTCTTTCTCTTTGAGCACACACTTACGATAATCCACACATTGCTCTTTTTCTAATTCACCAGGATTGGCTGATTTGGATGTCCTAGCCCAAACCAGGTAGGAAAGTTATTCAAAGGGATTGCCAGACATGGATTGTCGAGTCTGCGGATCAACTTCACCGTGACAACATTTTGAGCATTGAGGTTGTCACTTATCTTCACGCAATTAAACAGTGATGATGGGTTCCACCAGTCGTTGAGCCGGGTATCTTTTCAAAGACACTCGCCTCGGTACATGCGACCACTTTCGGTTAATGTGAGCTTGCTGGCCCGGCTGATTACTAGGGAGGCGGAAGCTTCTACAAGAAGAATCATTGCTCTTTTGGAAAGTAATTCATTTTCAGCCAAATCATTTTACACTGGAGACGAAGTGGCTTTCTTCAGTGGCTTCGAGCAGTTCTAGCTCAGTAATATTTTTGAATTCATAGCCGCCCTTACGCAAAAAAAGAAGCTTGAAACCGGGCAGTATTCGTTCCAAGGTGCTCTCATTTCGACGTCAGGTTCATGGTAAATGGGGTATCATACAGGAGAACATATCACAGGATTTAATCCCCAACAAAAAGCAAATCATGACCACAAAATATTGAGTTTCGCAAGACCGCGCTTTGGCTTCGGCATCGGCTCCGGATTTTTGTGCCAGCTTTCGATGAAAGGCCGAATTGGAATTTCCGCCAGCGGGATGATCTTCGTCTTTGCCCAGAATTTGTAGGCAAAATACACAATAACGATGAACGGCAGGTTGAAATAAGTCGAAACAAAGGTTGCAGTATTCCAATGGCCCCGCATAAATGTCGAAAACCCTCCAGTGAAGAACAAAATAATGTATATGATCAAGGAGATCCATGTTATGTATGGCTGAAAAGGTGCTGCCCACGGGAGCTCCTTGAAGCGATCGATTCCCTGCTTCTTGCATCCGTAGTAGAATCTAAGATAAACAATGCAGATGCACATCAAGTTCACTAGAGTAGAGATCGAGACAAGATTCTGCAGCCATGTGAATACCGTACTGGCCGAACTGGAAAGACTCATATATCCGAGTGCCATGAAAACGCCATAGAGTGAGACTGCAACCCAAGGGATACCAAATCGGTTGATACGCTTGAAGACAGCAGGGGCGTGGCCCTGGGTCGCCATGCCGTATAGGATTCTGGAACCACCCAAGATATTGCTGTTTCCGGAGGACCATGCTGACGTGAGAACAACTGCGTTGATAATCGAGGGAACGACCTTGATACCAGCATGGCGAGCTGCGATAACAAAAGGGGACTGCGAGGCTGTCCCGGACGAGCCCAGAAGATTCGGATCGGCAGATGAAACAACCAGACCAACCATGAAGATTGTCACCACGTAGAAGAGCAAAATTCGGATGAAGATACGTCTGGCGGCCATAGGAATAGCTTGACGAGGATTTCGCGTCTCGGCTGCAGCGAGGGTGAAGTTTTCGATACCAGAGTAAGCGAAGAGAGCGTTGTCGAATGTTTTCCAGAATCCTAAAAATCGGCCGAGGGACCCACCCACTCCCAGGTACTGGATGAAGGGGCCATAGGGGGCTTTCCAGTAGGCAAATCCGATGGACGTCTTATCCGGGCCTCCTCCACAGGTAATCACCTGTCAAGATGGATTAGCACTCAAAGTAAACACATTCCCAGCCTGAAGAGCGTAATCACCAAAGCCATGATGTTGATGCCTATGATGAGCATAATTTTGAGGATCGAAAAGCCAAACTCGAGCTCTCCGTACACGCGAACAAAGACAAACGCGGTCGAAAGCATGAGGGCACCAAGCACAGTAATCCATATTGCGTTATTGACAGTGATCCAGAACTCGATAATAACAGCCGCAGCGACAATTTCCGACGGAATCGACACAGTGTAGGAGTATACTTGGTTCCATCCGTTGGCGAACGCGAGCGCGGGGTCACAGAAGACCTCTGCGTATCGAATAACACCGCCATTGAGAGGTGCTAGGGCTCCCATTTCACCAACGCCGAAGACGACACTCGCAACCGTAGCGCCAATAATTGTGTACGCCAAGAACGCACCCAGTGGTCCAGCTTCCACAATGGCACGGCCCGAACTGAGGAAAATACCCGTCCCCACCGTGCCGGCGAGGGCAATCATCTGAATGTGTCGCTCATGAAGACCCTGTCTGAACTGGTGAATCTCCTTGAGCTGGCCTGCAGCATTTTCTATATCGCCAGTTTCTTTCATTTCCCCGTCTTCGTAGTGAGGAACTTTCGGGTTAGACGCAATTGGGGTGTTAATGCCATGGTCGTCCTTCAGAACGTGGTTCGTCTTATAGTGTGACATTGAAAACCCCGTGGCGTGTCACAAAATCTTTGCAGAAGAGAAGACATCAGCTAATGAATAGCAAGTTAATAGCGCTCGTACTTTTGCACATAACTAATTCTTGCAATTGCGCACATTGTGGCTCCGGGCATGGTCAGTTGAAGAATAACAGCTACTTGGAAAAGGCCAATTTCCAATACATATCGTGTTGTTGGCTAAGGACCGAATTTCCCCTTTACAACGCGGCTTTCGCGTAAAATGAAAAAAGAAAGAAGTAAAACTCTTTTCAGCGGGGTTTGAATAGGGCATGTATTTACTCCGTGGGTACTCATCTGCTGCCCAGATGTGGAGCGGAGTGGGTCACGCGACCTGCAATCACGTGCTTAGTCTTTCTCCTGAAGAATTAAAGAGAACGTGTGTGGGTTGTTAGTGTGGTAGTCTAGTTAATGAGCTAGACATGTATTTTATATCTCATTTCAGCGGTCTAGCATGGTCATGTCAAGCATCAGTGATGCAGGAACAGCACTTGGAATATTGCGGTTAGGGCACCGGCAACAAGTTAATTAATCTAGCTTTTAGTATTACATACAACATACTGTAACCAGGCATCAACTAACCTAGCATTCAAGTGGCAAGGTGGACACAAGCTATACGGAATCCATAATTTCAAGTAAGCCCACTCTCGAGCCTCCAGGCCAGGAGCTTGGGCGATAGATGCTACTTTGGTGTCCCCGTTTACTTTCTCTTCGTCCCATCACAGATCCACAGACCCTTCGTCTTCCGATGTTAGCTGCTGGAAGTGTGTTTGAAAGTGACGACGCTTTAGAGCGCCCGGTCGTAATCGATTGGTTGACCCTTGATGCTGTGTATGTGCCTGTTGCCTTGCTTCGGCGCTTGAGAGAAAATCAAAAAGCTGCTTTGACGTAATAAGAACTTCGCGGTCGAGATCCACATGGCCTGGTGTGAGCTCATCCGTCGCGAAGTCCCTGAGGAATAGTCGTAGCGCAGTTGCCGCGGTTGGGAATCCAGAGTCCGTCCGGAAGGCCTACTCGACGGTCAACGTCCGATCATCGGTTGTATGTCTCTTTTGTTCTTTTCTTTTTCCGCACTAGAGAGGAGTGTACCTGTGCTTCTATAACGGTAGCCGCACGAAACTCCTCCACGCCATCTACCGTTGTATACTCCGGTCGCCACATAGTAACAGTTGCTCTCTTAGATCCTTTATAATCAATATCGAAGGCAAGTACCGCATTCACACTCCCATTAGTGTTTAAGATATACTCATCCGCCAAGTGGGGAACCTGCCGGCTTTTTTGTGCATAGCACACCTCCACAATTACACCGAGATAGTGTGCTTGGCGGTGCCCAAACGAGGCATCTGGTTCCCGTCTTGAATAAGTCTGTTCGCCATTATGTGTATCTTCGGGTATTAAAATTCGAGATGTGGCAAGATACTCGACTTCCTTAGCGAAATCGGAGAGAGGTCCGTTGCCCTGTTGGTATTGCCTCAACTGTCTTGATATTTCGTCGGCTACTCTTGCGCAAAACGTATCATGGAGAGGACTTGGCATTCGGATTGTCAAGCAGCAGCGACAGGGGTCGTAATCGTATCTATGATTATTCCACTTGAGCACATCCGGCCTTTGGCTCTTGATGTCAAAAAGCTAGTAGTACTAACCTTACTTTATCTTCCACGTAGTTTCGAAGGGATTCATCTGCATCCAGCGCACGTAAAACTTGTGCATAGTCGTCAGGTCTTAGTCGACGTTGCCACCAGGATCCTAGCCGGTGGCCTGCACGATGGAGTCGTAAACAATCCATCACGCTTTGGGCGCTTCTCGACAATGGCTTCTCTGCTCTAGGTGGCGACATAAGAGGTTCAAAAACACTCCCTGGTGGACTGATGTCAGCTACCATGAGAGATACAGATACTAGTATCAGAATGTAGTTTGTTATGAGATGGGTTAGCCACGCGTGGGTGTCAAAACATGAGCGTGTGACCTAGCAGGCGGTGTGTTTATTAAAGATGGAAGTCACATCGTCTCCCAGTACGCTGTCAATATCAGTAAGCAGTAAAAGGGATGTGGAACATGTTCCAATGACTTCCTGTTGAGTTCATTTATTTGACATGAATTGGATATACAAAGATTTCCGAGTGCAACTACTCAATGAAACCTGTGTCTAATAATTAACCGAAATATGACCAAGTAGATCGTTCAACCTGAGTCTCCTCATTTCAAACTGATGGCATCAAGACCATCATATTGAATGCCAAAGCCCTCGAGCAGATTGGTGGCAGCAGTTTCACCCGACTTATAGGCACCATGCACGCAGCCATTGCCAACAATAGTACAATGCTCACCAGCGAACTGCAAGCGACTGGATTTGTGGTTTTTCAACGCATCAACCAGCAGCTGCGGCTCATCTCCAACCTTGTCGGCGGAGTAAGTCCCATACCCAGCCAGTGGGTCCTGGGTCCAATGTGTAGTTTCAACATTAACCAGGCTAGGCAAAGCCTTGTATGGTTCTGTGCGGAATATCTTGAAAAGCGGTTCAAAAAATAGATATATCTCCTTCGGATCTTGCATGTTCTCGATGCGCTGCGTCAGAGGTTCGGCAATCTGTACGCACAGCTCTTTGCTGCCCGTCATAATCCATAAATTGATTGTCACGGTGGCGTAATTTAGGATATTATCATTCTCCCCGATCGAGTTTATACTGGGGTTGGACTCCATGGATGATGATGACCCGGTTGAAGTGTCCGTTTCCTCTGATGGAGATGGGTAGAAGACAAACTGATCATTCTCCTTTGACCAGAAGACTTCGGCGAATTCGAAAAACACCTTGCCCAAGGCGCCGTAGCTGCACCTAGACATGCCCTCTTGGATGTCACCCGGTAAGGGCGGGTTAAACGAGATGAGGTTGTGGTGGTAGACCCCCAGTGGGCTAGTCATGATAACTGCATCGCCCTGGATGAACCCGACTTCTCCAGCAGCATCCTTGTACCGGATTCGAGCTGGTGCCGTCCCGTGTTCGTTCCACTCCACGTCCTCGACGCGGTGGTTGAGTCTAATGATGTTTGGATCGCTTCGGAGCGTCTCCGCAGTCCAGTTCACGATCCGATCATAGCCACCCTTCATATATACATTGCGTTCGGTGATGAAGTAAGAAAGATGTTTGGACGATGCTTGGTCCGTACTAGTGCCGATCCACAATTCTACCTCGCGGATAGCCTGCGGAGCCCACTCACGCTCATCTTCGGTGATGAGCTGGTGCTGGAGAACGAATTCTCTCGCAAATTCCTGGACTGGACGATCCTCAGCCTCTGGGTTAGTTTCGTAGAACCACTCGCAATAATCAGCGAACTCGTCTGCAACTTTCTTAGCTTTGAACTGGGATCCAGTTCGGCCGTCTCTGGTGAAGTATAGAGGAACGCCATCGTCATAATAATATGGGATAGATAGCTGGGGAATGAGTTTCACCAGGCTGTTCTGGGAAGTTTCATGCATCCAAGCGGCACCTATTGACTATCAGCACAGTCCCCCCCTGTTTCAACCTCGATTTCGGGTTTGTGTCATTATCTTACCAATATCTCGGACATGGTCACCCTTTCGGCTTGTCAAAATTCTTCCACCAATGCGATCGCGTGCTTCTAATACCACCACTTCGCAGCCATGGCGGTGCAGAACAGCCGCGGCATGCAGGCCAGAAACTCCAGCGCCCACCACAATCACCTTCTTGCGCTCCGACCTCACTGCGTGTGTTCCCTCGATCAACTCCCTCGGAGTCTTATCGAGCGCAGCCAGGTCGGAGCAACAATTACTCGGTTTTATGGGATTAATGCCCGTTATGGGAGAAGAAAGATGGAAAGATTGAGCCATGCTGAGCTGACAAGTTGACATTCGATGAAGTTATTGAGTAAACAAGGATCATGTTGAAACGAAGTTGAGGGGCGTTGGGCTGTGCTATCGTGGTGGATAGCGACCACTAGAGACTGTAGTATCATTGGCTTTTATTGCCCGCAGAAAATTGGCTATCTACCAGACTTCAGGTTCCACGGTTATTATCGCGTGCATAAAAATCAGTGGAATAAACTCTTCTGGTTACATGGATGGTTCTAAACTGTATACGGAAAGTTTTCTAGTTTGTAGGTCTAATCAGACATTTATAGACATCTCTAATGACATCTGAAAGAATATTGAGCAGCACTAAAAAGATCACGTAGTAGAATCGTAATGATAACGATTGTTCAAGTCCGTATCACCAAGTATGAAGGCTGTATAAGCAAGCATTTCGTTTCTATATGGATGACTGCAGTTGATCTATCGAAGCAATTGTCTTCCTAGTACCCGTCATGTGCAATAAACGTCTTAGCTCATTGGTGTCTCATTTTTTGATAAGATCCATTCCTCTCAATTTAATATTGAATCACCCAAAGTTGACCTTGTATAATTTAGATGATATTTTCCCTTTAGCTAGTTCGAGGGTGAAAGAAATCCGAAGTATCATGCCCAAGTAAGTACCTTTTGTATGGGCACACCATACAAAGAATACTTAAACTTTTGCAGCTGAAAATCATGAACCGCCCCATCCGCAGGTGGGGCTGGGAGAGACAGTTCAGATTCTACGGAGAAGGCGGAGATCTGAGCGGTGACCTAAAAGCCCCTGGTGGTCGCTATATACACTGAAATGAGCTATGAGGGGAAACAAACCTGCAGGTGCCGGGTGAATTGGGGCAATTGTTCTTCGGTATTCATCTTCTTCCAAAAATGATTTTCTCGTGATCTTCCCAAATCTGGCCGGACCCGCATCTTATCCGCATGTACCCGCATTCGACCTGCAAAGGAGTGGCGGGAACTGCCCACGTGAGTTCCAATCAGATCGGCTATGCAGATAGCGACCTCGGGAGGTAAAGTCTGTGAATGGGTTCAACCATTTACGTTGCCGTGGAGAATGCGGCTTTTCCGCACGGATCCCGGATTAGGGTTTTGGAGATTGGGAGAAGTAGGGTTCGTTGAAAACTAAACTGTCAATACGGAAGAAGAGAGAAAGGTGCTCCGTAAACAACATTCCAATGTGGAGAGGGGCGCGTGACTCAAGGCTGACTTCCCAACTGCCTTCCTAATTAGTCACGTAACCCCGAGCACTTGCTTACACGAACTGGCCAGGTGATTCTACATTATTACACAAGAGTCTTACATATCAGACCTTTGAGAATCATGATCACTTGTACTTTTTACCAGCAAGTTGAACATTAACAAAAAAAGCTTAACAAGCGATGCGTACCACTCCATTGAACATGATTTGAATGTGAGACCTGTACGGAGTACTCCGTAGCCGCGATATATATAGACCCATATAAAGCAGACGTAAGATAGCAACATATCGTAAGCGATATTTTGAAAAAGCCATATGTATATCACCGTGCTAGTTAAATACATAAAACCAATAGGTCGGTTGCCTTACTATTACTCCAATGTTGTCCTAAGGTTTCATTTAGAAAAGACTAGAGACAATGAATGATACGATAGAAAAGCAAATTAGATACCAAGTGATCTCTATACAGGAACTTTAGAGCTCTTCTTTTGTCTAGAACACGTAACAAATAGCATAGACCTGTTATATAGGAGAAAGTTCAGAAAATAAAAACCAATCTAAGTTGACAAGTTGGCATTCAAGCTTGAAGTTTTGATCACACGACCAGAAGTTGAGAGATCTGGGGCTGCAATAAGCCATTTAGGGTATGAAAATACACGGCAGCTTTCTAAAATGGCCTTGTTATCTCCTCGGTCCTACCTTCCAAAGAACATAACATATGTATATAAACCAAACAACAAAACGAAGAGGACTACATCGAATTCTATAGGGCCCTGAAATGCTTGGCCCATGCTTATCTCGGGCAGGAGCCCCACACGCAAATCGAAAATTCTTGCTCTCACAATTTTCCCTTTTCTTTCTTCTTCCCCCATCATAGAGGCTGATACGCTCTATTTTTCCTCTCGATAACATGTCTCCAGCATGAATCACTCGCCAGGTCGGGTTTTAATCAGATTCCGATTTTAAATTCAGAAATGGAAGAGGACCTGCAGCTCAATGGCACCGAGCGCATCTGCGTTGGCGGGGAGATCACATTAATCCCCTCGCCCACCAACTCTCCAAATGACCCACTCAATTGGAGCATCTGGAGACGGTACTGGCATTCATTTCTGGTCCTTGTGTTTGTTGCCCTGACCGCGGCAACCGCCAACGATGCCGGCAACGCTGGGAACGGGATGAACGCCGATCTAGGTATCACGTGGGACCAGATCAACATCGCCGCAGGCGTCTTGTTTGTTGGCATTGGATACACAACGTTGCTCCTCGGCCCAGCACCTTTCCTGTATGGAAGACGTATCTCCTATCTGATTTGTCTGGTGTTTTCCATCATTGGCTCCATCGGGCTAGCCTGCACACAAAATGTCGGGGACAACATCTGGAGCCAACTTTTCGTGGGCGCCTCCGAATCCTGCGCGGAGGCCCTTGCCCAGCTGTCTCTTTCAGATCTGTTCTTCCAGCATCAAAGAGGCCTGGTCCTGGGATTGTACGTTCTTGCCACGAGTATCGGTACATTCACGGGACCCATTGTGTCCAGCTTCATCACCGACTCTTACCTGGGGTGGAGATGGGTGGGTTGGTTTGCTGCCATCATATCCGGGGGCTTGATCGTTATCTTTTACTTCACATTGGAGGAAACATTCTTTGATCGGAACAACCCTATTCGCGGGCATGATGCGCCTTCTGTCAACGCTGAGTCCACGTCGAATGACCTCCCCCTGGAGAAAAAGGATAAACCAACTGCCAGCGTACAACGGGCGCCCTCCGACGGCGAACTTGACGAAGAATGCGGCCAGGAGAAAGGAAAGACGTATTTCCAGCGCATTGCCCTGATCACGCCATCGCCAACCCTGGTCGGGACCGGCTTCAAGCAGTATTGCCGTCGCCTGTTGCACACACTGCGCGTCTTCACCTTCCCGGCAGTCCTCTATTCGGGTCTTCAATGGGGTGCCCAAGATGCCTGGCTGACCTTCTACCTCACCGTGGAAGCGGACAATTGGTACGAGGCACCCTGGAACTACAGCGACGCTGCAGTGGGCATCATGAACGTGCCGACCCTGATCGGGTCAGTTCTCGGCTGCATTTACGGTGGATGGTTCTCCGACTTCTTCGTCATGTGGATGGCCAAGCGAAACAAGGGCGTCTTTGAGGCTGAGCAGCGTCTCTGGCTCCTGTTGCCTGTTGCGTTTATCGGTCCTGCTGGCCTCATGCTATTCGGCATCGGTTCGGATAAAGGCTGGGACTGGCATCTGCCGTATCTGGGACTAGGATTCATTGGTTTCGGATGGGGTTGTGCAGGCGACCTGAGCATGGCGTATCTCATGGATGCGTACCCAGATATGGTGTTGGAGGGCATGGTCGGTGTCTCTGTCATTAACAACACTATTGGTTGTATTTTCACATTCACTGCCCAGAATTGGTTGGATGCGCAGAGTCTTGCGCAGGTTTTCATTGCGATTGGCGTCTTGAGCTTCTGCTTTATTATGACGACTGTCCCGATGATCTACTGGGGCAAGAAGTGCCGGAAGATTACTCGGAAGCAGTACGAGGCTTTCCTGCTGGTTCGTGATGGACCTTCTTAGTTGAGGGTATATCTAGCTCGCCATTGTCATTCTTCGTTCATTTTGTCAATACATCAGCATATTGTAATAATCTGTGTGTTTTGCGGACCCCCACCTACGCTGACAGAATTTGCCATTCCTGGTACCTACACTAGCTGGCGGTTCTTGTTTTACGCTTGTGGGTCTGCAGTGGCGTTTGGCAGTAGCAGAGTGAGGGAAAAGAACAGGAGAGTCCTTTTCATTTAGGACATCGTTGTCAATCGTATGAGGACCAACCATCTTGGTGGCCAAATCTTTGATAGGCCATGTCTGCCAATCATTTGAGATAAAACTCAGACATGGCGCAATTTGGGCATTTCTAGTTCCCCACAGAGGAAAATAACCATCAGGCACTCACAATTGTCTGAATAGTAGTATGGTGCTTCACATCAAGTCAATGTGCGTAGGCCGTTCGTCTTCGATTTGGTCGGGACGCAATCCACATGACGTGTCAACAACATATATCCGATTTCACGCAATAAATAATGCAGCACAGAAAGAATATCGACTGAAACCCCAAGATGCTAGAGTCGGGGAAAATATTCTCGGGCGTACGTAGTCCTCCCGCTAGCTCCTAACTATCTGGGGCCAACTACGCAAGCTGCCCCGTCATCTCCCATCCAAGCTTTCTCCGGTGGATCGCCAATTAATTGCACGGCCACAACGAATACATGCCGATATTCTACAACATATACATCTCATATCGCCCGAGCCTGCTCCACTATGGTTCCTGTGCACGGAGCCAATCGCTATCCTCCGATGTGGTGGCTGGATGTATTTGCGTCGTGGTCGATGCGATGTTCCAAGGTTGGACCTATTGACGCACATCTAAGAATAAAAATAGCGGACCCAAGTTCATATATATCTTGCTCTCGCTTGTTCCTGAGACTAAATCCTAAATCCCACTGTTTATAATTCCTGGGGATTCGTCTGTTTTCTCAATCCTTGTCGATCGTTCTGTGCATTATTACTTCAGTCGTTCGCTCTATCGCTCTACAGACTTCAATATGGGCTTCCCGTCTTACTGCAAGTGGGCTGCTCTCGCCTTGGCTGCGACTGCGGCTGCGCAGACTACTACCAGCTGCGACCCTATGAATAGTATGGACTGTCTCATGTACTTCGCTGCGGACCCGCGCTGACAGTTTGGTTTCAGAGACTTGCCCAGCAGACACCGGTCTGAACAAGTACCGTCTCAACACCGACTTCACCGCTGGATCTCTAGGTCGCTGGAACACCACCGCCGGCACCGTAACCACCACCGACCTAGGCGCCAAGTTCACCATCAACGAACAGGGTGACGCGCCGACAATCGAAAGCGAGTTCTACATCTTCTTCGGCCATGTCGACGTCAAGATGAGAACCGCGAACGGCACCGGTATTGTCAGCACCTGGATCCTCGAGTCCGACGATCTCGACGAGATCGACTGGGTGAGTTCACCGGCATCAGACGCCACCAAGCCTCCAATCCCCTCAAATAGCAACCACTAACGCAATACGCAGGAACAAATCAGTACCTGGGACACTGAAGCCGAAACCGACTACTTCGGAAAAGGCAACACAACCTCCTACGACCGCGGCACAACCGTAACAGTCTCAACCCCAGAAGAAACATTCCACACCTACTCAGTCGACTGGACCGCCGAGCGCATCGAGTGGCTCCTGGACGGCGTCGTCGTGCGCACACTCGAGTACGCCGATGCCGTCGACGGCACAAACTACCCCCAAACGCCCATGCGCATCCGCATCGGCATCTGGGCCGGCGGCGACCCAGATAACTCCGAGGGTACGATCGAGTGGGCCGGCGGCGAGACTGACTACACCGAAGGTCCGTTCTCGTTCTACGTTGAGTCGGTCAATATCATCAACTACACCCCGGCTTCCGCGTACAGGTACACCGATAAGACGGGCGACTACACCAGCATCAAGGCGACGAACGCTACTATCTCTACCAACCTGAGCTCGTCGAACTCCAGCTCCAGTGTCGCTTCCAGTAGGACTTCGTCTTCGGCTAAGGCTAGCTCGTCGTTGATTGCTTCTTCGTCGGCGTCGGCTTCTGCGGCGGCTTCTTCCATGAGTTATGTCTCTGCTGCCCCGGCTTACTATAGTTCTATCTTTGCCATGGCTGTGGGATCGTTCGTTGCTGGCTTGATGCAGTTTTAGATGGGTGTGTTGAGCATTTAATAGGTCTCGGTGGTTTGGTGATGAGACCCGGTCTATTGATATACGCATTATTGTTGCCTTCCAGTCATTCCTTTTGTGAATTGTCTGCCACTTATGCGGCCTGGCATGTCTTTTTTCGAAGTCTTTTTAGATGCTTTCTTGAATATTCTTTAGATATCTTCTCCCAGAAGCATAATTCGCAATATCTACAACATACGCAACTAAAAGTCATGAAATGTGCAAAATGATTTTCCATATATAACATGTGATTGCTCTGACTGATATTGGTACATGCTATCCTTCTTTCCTTCTGCGTTGAATCCGTACATACACTACATATATATATGAAGCTACAATGGAATCAAACTGTTTTCTTCTGAGTTAAGGCATATGAAATGAAAAGACAGAGACAAGAATTAGAGGGGGCAGAGTCGGAAGACGGGATGGCGCAGGGGTAGCCGCGTCAATGTTGACGACACACCGACCCAGCCAACCTTAGAAATCAATTTCCCGGCCTTAAATCTTTTCACTAGCGCAACAAATGAGGTCTCTACTAAGAGGATGCTTCAACGCTCGCTTACGTGCAAGAATAATCAGAATCCAGCCGGGAATAAATCCCGCCGATCGCATTCCTGGCAGAGCCTCACCGACGACAGCCTTCTAATTGAGACCATCATCAACATTGGACCACCACCAAAGAGAAACCCCGATCCTTTCCAGTGCATGGAGTCCCAATTATCGAAGCAGACTAGCCAGCCGAAGAAAAACTCAAGTATGTTCGAAGCTAGGCTGGGGCAGTTGTCCAAGTACATGGTTGGCATGGAACCTTAGGTTTGTCAAGAACAAACAATTTCTTCTTATTCAAGTAGATAATAGCTTATAACCACAGAGACAACAATTATGTCGCATTGAAAGCCTATATCCACAAGTTAGTATTTCACCGTGAGCGCTGCACACCTGGACGTGGGATAATAACCGGCCAGTGTGTACAACCTTGCATTCGGTATGCAGGAAATCCAGGCCTGGAGTAATTCCTTCAGGATATATTTGGCCATCTCCTCTGGGACTCTGTTCTCGGCATTCTTTCTCTGAGATCGAAGAGACTGATACACGCGGGTTCTTGAAACAGTACGATATATGTCTGCCAGATGGACCAGCGACTGTGAAAGAATCAAAGGATTGCCGAATATTCTCTCTCCCTGGATGAACACTTGACATGTGGGGAGCAATTTGCTGGTAAAATGGGGGCACTCGTTTATTTCCTTGCCCTGTATAGATGTTGATTTCGGTAATTTATTAGTATGCGACGACGACAGCGAGAACGCCAAGTTCAAGGGTATCGAAGACTCCGAGATGACCTCCCCATCCGCATGACTGAACCATTTGTCTCTAGCTATCCTTTCGAAGGAGGGACCGCTGCGGCTTTGTGGTTTCGGTGAGGCTAGGATCGGGCCTAGGCCGTATGATTATCTTGCCATGCCATGCCTATGCCATATTGCACGCCGGAGATGATGCTCGAGGTGCCGTGAGCTATCCGGTCGATATTGGTGTGTTGGGCTTGCAGTGCGTTTGGCCCGTATTCCGCTTCTCGTGGCTTCTTCTTAACACAAGTCCTGATTGTTTCAATATAGGCATGTGATCTCCTTGGTCTGAAGAGGCTTTTCAGTGCTAATCACACTGCCGAAGATTTGTATGAAGCAGCCCATCTTGCAGGGTCGATTGTTGTGCTGGGTATGCCGCCTGCTGCATTTCTGGCGCTTAGTCCTGAGGTGGTGGCTCACTTCTAGGATGAAGATGGTACGTGTGAGATTGCTTGATAGATTTGGTATCTGACAAGACTTGTTGCTGATTTGATTATCTAGGAAAATGGTAGAACATTGTCTCCCCATTCCTGAGATGGGCTCGCTTGAATCGTTGGGCGGTCAGATGGAACTATCTATTTGCCTCTTTCCTTTGTTCTTTCCTTCCCAAGGTTCTTTCCTTTTTGGGGTTGTTTACCACTTTGGCTAAGCGAGACGTTCGACTTTTGCAGTGTTTGCAGTAGGGCCAGGTATATAAACAGGCTGATTCCCACTTCTGCACTTACTTTTTGTCTCTCTCTTCATCCTTTTTAATCAACTCAACCACATCGCAGCGCAATCCATCCAACATGCCTGCCACCTGTCGTGTCCATCATCCATCACATGACTTGTCTGCTCTTACTATATCTTTTTTCCATAACTTACATTTATCCTTCGGACATCCTATCCACATCACAAGCATCCATTCATGGCACCTGTCATTTTCATCATCCATCAAATAACTCAGCCACGTCAGAAGCATCCTTCAACTTGCCTGGCATCTATCGTACCCATCATCCATCAGTGACTAGTATGTTCTTGCTGTCTCTTTTCTTCATATACTTACATTCATTCTTCAGGTAACCACCACATCACAAGCATCCATTCATGGCATCTGTCATGTTCATCATTCTTCAGACAACCCAACTACATTCTCTTTCCACCTTCTACTTTATGAGGTTTGTTTCTTGTCTATATTGTCACCTATTCTTCATCTTCCCTCGTCGTATTACCCAGTGACATGGGGCTGACTGTACTAGACATGCGCTCAACTACATCCAGCCTTACCGTGATAGGTTCCGGCTTCAAGACAATCGGCATGCTTATAACAACAGCAAACACAAAAGCAAAAACACACAAAAGCAAAAACAAAAAAAACAAAAAAAAAAACAAAAAAAGAAAACACCTCGAACGATTTCAATCAACCACTCCCAGTATCACTTCAAACAACATTCAAACAATCATCCACTTCAAGCATCAATCAACCACATTCAAACAGCCACTTCCAGTATCAACTTCATACAATCATACCTTTCAAGCATCAACTTCAATCAACCTTCAACCAACCATCCACTGCAATCAACTATCGACATTCGACTACTACAATGCTTCGACCTTAAAAGAGGAGGAATGAAAAGAAACGGTCCTGAACGACAGAGTCTCCGCAGGAGTGTCTCTGAAGGAGACTTCTCGTCGGGAAGAGGTTACAGCGTGTACCCATTTAAAGGAGACTCTCAAGACCGTTTGCTGTGGTGGTGTAAAAAAAAAAGCTCGCCTCGACAAGCATCTATATACAAGCTCTATCTCAATCATCCACTTCAATCATCCACCAAACAACTACTTCCACCCGCATTTGTGAAGGTCATGCGCGGGACTTTGACATGGATGTCAATCGGAGAGTGACTGCTAAAGATCTTCTGGAGAATCCTTGATTGAAAGACTGATGTCCTATGTATAATATTGAGACTGCTTGACAGAAACATCTCTGTTCAAAACATGTCTACCAGTGCTTTTGATATATTATCATTGAATTAGGATTCAAAGTGGGCAGAGTACGTAGCGAATTAAGACCAAGACAACATTCACCCACGGTTTCTATGCCATTGTCCGTCGAATTACAGCAAAAAAGAAGATTCTTCCAAATACCACAAATTATCAAAGACAAAAAAAAAGTAGTGCATCATCCGTGAATCGAACACGGGCCTCGTCGATGGCAACGACGAATTCTACCACTAGACCAATGATGCTAGTACATGTGTGGGGACTCGGAAGTTGACTATATGAGGGAAATGCTTCTTTTGTGCGATGTCGGACTCCACCCATGTTGCTGAGGGCGTTGATCTCAATTGGGACATAATGTAATAGGGTGATACTAAGATGAATGCTAGAAGTTGCTTGTCTTGTATATTTCATATCCAATGAATTATTCTTAGTGGTTATGTTGGTTACATTATTACTGCTGAGACATATTATATCCTACATTGTATATATCAGAGATAGATTTCAAGTATATGACAATGACAATATTCACGTCTGCAAGACAATAAATAGTTATGCAGACAAAAAGGTAGCTGGTCATTAAGACATTAATATATGAACAGACACTTCAATGTGCAAAAAGGCAGACTCCAAGCATAGAAGGTAAAAAGATGAAGAAGATGCAACAAAAATGCAACAAAAATGCAACGGAGATGCAAGAAATGGTATATAGAGAAATCATTGTTCATCAGTGTTCCGGGTAAGAGGGTTGACGATACTAGGTAACGCTGGAGGAAAAGGATATTGATCGTCGAAGTGGTCCAGCTCACTTCCGTCGCCACTGTACCCAATGCTATCGCGGTTGTCATCAATGATGCGTCCGTACTCAAGGAGAAGGAGATAGAGATAGATGTCAAGATCCGCGTTGCGCAGCGCGTGCTGCGCCCATTCCTGACTTTGAGATGCGATTACCTCGGCCTCAAAGTCATGCTTCTGGATGTACGGTTCGCCAACTGAGAATGCATCGACGGGGGATACTTCTGGGTCGAGACCGAGGAAGTAGGTCATTAATCCGTACAGGTCATCGTAGCGATTGTCCATGGGGACGAAGTGACGCCAGGGGAAGAGTCGGGAGTCATGCCATTCTCGGAAAATAGTTGCTTTGATGCCCAGCGACTTGCTGAGCTGAAATGCGCGCCAGCGACCGGAAAAGCTGTGGCCGTCAATGTCGACGAGGTATTTTGCCTTGAACTGCTCGCTGAAGTCCTTGGGCTTTTTGTAGGTCCAAACATCGTCGTAGAAGGAGCAGTTCGGGATGCAGCCCCAAGCCTCAGTGAAGCCGACATCGAAGTGGTCCAGTGAAAATTTGCTTGGGGAGAAGTTGGGATAGGTATGATACCGGCCCGGGCTGGTCTCAGAGAGGATGGAGACCGTCTCTGACCTCATATCAGTACTGTTGGTAATGTGCACAAAGCGTTGGCGATGCATATGCTGCCAATTATCCGCAAGTTGAACACCCCCGGAGGTGACGCCGCGCCAGAGGAGAGTGTCCGCTTTGTCTTTCCACTTGTAATCGTGTCGCGAATTGTACACGTACCGCTTGTCGTTCATGAAATACATATTCGCGGGAAAAAGGATGTCGTTGTTCACGCTAACCTTGCACTCGCTGAAGACCGGGATCAGTTTCCTTGTGATGATATTGCTGGATGCTGAGAACAAAAACCCGTGGTTCTCCCCGAGAACGGAACCGACAGTGCATAGATCAGAGGATGCAGTAAAGTTGGTGATAAACCCACCCAAGGGCGATTTGTATAGCTTATCGGCATCCTCCACAGTGAGATTGGCATTCCGAGCAGGGGAGTCAGGGTCACAGGACTCTTTGGCGAAGTCCATATAAAGCTTTCCAGCGATGGAGAACCAAGACGGGTCAACACGATCCTCGATGGTGGAATCTTTATTATACAGGTGTTTCATGCCTGGAGTGAATTGATCCTGCGCATCGCTGGGTAAGTTTCTGGTGAGGGCCTCGGTACGGAGGTATTCCTGGGTATCCTCGAATGTAACCATGACTCGCGGTTGATCCAAAATATTAAGCGCAATATCCATGTCCGGCAGATACCGAGCAATGCGTTTAATCGACTTTCTCAGTGTTTCAACTCTCCACCCTTCAATGGGGGAGTAAACAACCTTCTTATTGCGAATCTGCACACCTGCAATCCCGTCGCTGAATTGTAGCTTGGCTGCCATCTGTCGAATTTCCGCTGGAGGTACCGCCCAAAAAGGTCGCAGATCGCCCGTAATCTGTTCGAAGTCGTCCACGTTATGCGAATTCTTTTTGCGTGCGAACATGTACCATTCCTTGAAACCGGGAGGTGGGTGTCGTCCATATGTCTCGCGGTATTTGGCGACGGTTCGGCGGAAACTTGTCGAGCGACCATGGTCATATTCCAGCCATTTCCGGTCCGCTTCTTTCATCAGGTCGGCAATAGGGTGTTCATCGTGCGCATACTCTCCGAACACGGGGTTCGTTGTTGCGGTGAAGAGCCCCAGATTAGGGAGGCGGATTACGGAGCTGTCGACCGCATGGGTGAGGAACAGAAGGTTGATGAAGCATATGGAGGTTGCTGCGCAGGCCAGTAGCAAGTAGAATGCCCTGCGGTTCCGAGGGAACGGGCGGAGCATTGAGAATTGGTTCCCAAGGTCGGGAGCTACCCAGGTAGGTTCTAGCCGCACACCAAATCTCGACAATCTTACAGGGATTATTGAAAAGAAATCATGAAGGCTATGAAAAGGGGGTGAAGAAGGACATAATTGTAGCAAACATCTAGGAGTTGAGCAGAGGAAAGGAAAAAAAAAGAGAGCCGCCTAAGGCCCCTTAGCCTCCCACGTCTGTCTTAGGGCGCCAAGGGTTTTACAGGCATCATACTAATAAAGTTCTTGGCTGGTCTTTCCAAGGTTTGATTTAAATTACATTTGGTGTTTCACCTAAGCGAACTATAAGCGACCTATAAGCAGCCTATCAGAACAACATGATAATATCTATCGGCAACCTTGTGTAGAATATGTAGATCACCTTGCTGGAACGTGGCCGAGCAATCCGTGGACGTGCCCGATCAGGAACCCCTCGGCGGGGATGACCGAGCAGAGGCCGAGTCCAATTTGACTCGGATACGGTCGGCTCTTGGTATATGTGAATATTGGAGGATACTCATATATCGCATATTTTAGAACTGATATATTCACAATCAATCAATGTTTTAAAGATCATTTCACGACTGATCAAACATGCAAATTAGACTAATAAACATTAGGGTTATTGCCCACGGGTTCTTCATGGCCCGGCGGTGAGACATTCCTGACTCGGCTCTTACATAAGCCAGATCCTTCGAAGGCCTCAGGCACAAACCCGCAGCTCAGAGCTGTCAATGCGACTCCCACATCTTCATTACTTCTTTCGACGCGCATAATCTCTTCCATGCAGATGACGTGACCAATTACTCCTCATGGGTGACTGTCCCATTCGAAAATCATGGCTCTAAAACGTACTCGCGCCGCGCTCGAGGCCGATCTTCAAGCAGAGCAATCACCATACGCCTTCTATGGAACTCCGTTACCACCACTCGACGAGGGAGTTCGCGATGATGGGTCCTTTGTGCCAATATGGAAGCAGGAACTGCGGGACGAAAACGGGAGCAAGCGTCTTCATGGCGCTTTCACCGGTGGATTCAGCGCGGGGTGAATAGCCGCCTCTAAACAAACGACCCTTGGAAGGACAACCACTGACGTCTGTTAGATACTTCAACTCCGTCGGCTCAAAAGAAGGATGGACTCCTGCGACCTTTGTCTCATCGCGCCAGAACCGTGCCCAGAAGGCCGAACAGAAACGACCCGAAGATTTCATGGACGCGGATGACCTGCGAGAACAGGAAGAATCCAGACAACTACAGACCTCCGATGAATTCGCCGGCTTTGGTACAACGGAGCTAGATGCTACACGCAGAGCGGGACTCATGGATATATTGAAAACCAGCGGAGAAACTATGGGAGTGAAGCTCTTGAAAAAGATGGGTTGGCGCGAAGGTCAAGGTATCGGACCTAAGGTGCGGCGCAAGGCCAATCTGGACGAAAGCTCTGCTCCGGGTGGTGATGCGGAGGAAACATACCTTTTTGCTCCTGAGAACCCACCCATGGTTGCCTTCATTCGCAAGACCGACCGCAAAGGTCTTGGGTTTGAAGGCGAATCGCGCCTAGAGTCTCACAATGCTTTGCCATCCATACCAGATGCTGAGGAATCCGATTCGTTCTTTGGGGGGCGATTGGCTATCCAAGGGAAAGCTCAGCCCCCAAAGCCGAAGGAATCACGGCGGGGAGGACTTGGAGTTGGCCCTCTCAATGACACCGGGTCGGACGACGAAGATCCTTATTCTCTGGGTCCACAGATCTCATATAACAAGACTATTGGAGGGGATAAGAAAAAGAAGAAAAAGGCCAAACCAGAACCAACAATCGCGTCATCCAACCCACTCCTAAATTCAAAGCCCGTGTTCATATCGAAGAAGGTGGCAGCATCACGCGGAATTGGCGGTTTCAGAAAGTGCCGCGACGGGCGCCTACCGCTGGATGGATTCATTCTTGCCGATGGCATCTCGGGAATGTCGATTTCAGAGAAGAAATACGATCCTCCTGTGATACCCGAGGGCTGGAAACCAGCCAAGGAGATATGGTCAGAAAAACGAGATAAATCAAAGTATGTCTCTACAGCTGACGCCGCAAAAGCTTCGTCGCTTAATCCCACGTCCAGAGCAGCACTTCTGGGCGAGGATCAACTGCCTGGGAAGTCTATATTTGATTATATGACCCCCGAAGCACGGGAGAAGATTGCCAAACTTACCGGCAACGCCAATTTACCTCCAGCTTTAGGAGAAAAGGCACCCAAAGGATACGAACTCCCCGAATCAAAGAAGCGCAAGGATCTTTGGGACCTCGTACCAAAACTCGACAAACAGACTGCCGCCCAGGCCCTAGCTCGGGCCGGTGGTGGGTGGCTGCCTTACCAAGAAGATGAGAAAAAGCGTGCACGCTACCAAATATTTCTCGAAGTTAGTGCCGGGACTCGCTCTACCCTCCCAGAACGGGCGGAAGGATCTAGCACCGATGACTGGGTTATAGAGATGCAAGAATTTTGCCGAGCTGCAGAAGTCTTCAAACCCATATCTGGGGTTATGGCATCACGATTTACCTCCTCGTCCACCGCGCCCAAGGTTGTCTCGGATGCTCCCGACTCTACAGAATCTGGACTCAGTAGACCCGCTGAAAAGCCGGACGATCCTGCAGTAGCAGCTGCCAAAGTTGGCATGTTCGGCCCAATGACCCGAAGCACAATCCCCTTTTACCCATCTCGTCTTCTATGCAAGCGATTTAACGTCAAACCACCGGAGAATGTGCAACTTGACCCTGAACGGCCTGGAGCCTCCAGTTCCGGACCTGGCACGCGCTCCCAGTCCGCTGGTTTCCAAGCCGAAACTGGCCCAAAACAATTGGTATCGCAGGATATTATGAACCAACTCCTCATAGACTCGTTGGGTTACCTTCCAACAGCAGATGGTCTTGATCATTCTGGTCAGCCTGTTAGCGCGGCGCCACCACCGGTAGTTATTGAACCTGAGCGCAATGATGCCCTGGAGGCAGAGCGGCCCGGCGATGCTGTCTTTAAAGCTATCTTTGGGAGTGATGACGAAGATGACTAGAATTGGTTCTATTTGTAAATGCAATGAGAATTCATGTATTTTGTTTTCAGTTAAAGTCCTATACCTTGTACGAATTAAGCAATTGTGCTCTGTAAATCATTCAATGTTGTGGTGGTGTGACTATTGGAGTCGTCCCCGCGGCATTAAATGCGCGAATGGGCGAAATTGTGGAATGTAGCCTTGTTTCTCTTTGTTTCTGTTTCATTTTCTGTTTCATTTCTATTTCTTTTCCTTTAACGGTTGCCTCCTTTTCCTTGACGCCTTTGCCTCGTCTCCAGGGCTCCAACCTAGTCGGTCTGTGCTCAGCCTTTAGATCTAGTTCGCCTTAGAGCGTTGACCACTACTCCACGCCAACCCCTCTCCAACTATTTCCCCTCCTCATATGGAGCTCCTTGAGTACGAGTAAGATGGTAAGAATCCAACCCCGACCATGAACCCCAGAAATTATACCTATGCCTATATTATCATCAATAAGACTGGCTTGGCGTCGAACGTCACACGACCGAAAGCCCCGGCCGTCATCTCCATACCATGCCAACCCGCAATGGCCCCATAACCATAACTAACAAACCCCACAGGGCTGCTGCGCGTCAGTACTGTCGCATAATGTCGACAACCAAACCTCCCACACCCAAGAACGCATCTCACATACAACAGCCACGAGGGATACCAGTGACCGCACCACGCAACCAAGGCAACGCACGCGGCACACCGCCAGCCTCCCTCTAAACGAGCACTATAATGAGCCAGTGCGTAACCATGTGTGGTACAGTAAGCGACGGACATGGACGCGTGCGCAGCTGGACCGCGAGCGCACCGAGTTCTTCGAGACGCGCGTTACCGGCAGGCCGGAGATATGGGCCGCTGTTTCCACGGTGATATCGCTGATTCGCAACGGTGACTTGGCTACTGCGCAGGGTATTTTAGATGCGGCGGGCATTACTGTTCCCACCGGGGATCTTTGTGAGGGCTGCTACGATGAGCAAGGCGTGCTTTACAGGGTTCCACAATGTGTTGTTAGTGATCCGGAGAACATCGTTCCTTCGTCTTCGAGGACGGCTAGTGAGGATGGCGGCCCTGCTAGGTATGAGGAGGAGCAGGATGCTGGGATGCTCTCAGATAGTAAGCTCGCTGATGATGATGATGCGGATGCTTCCGGGGACGAGTTAATTTCGCAAGATGTTGAACGCCGCCGTGAGGAGAAGGGGAAGACGAGTGAACGGGATTTGATCCGTGTGCTTGCTCGATTGAGTGATCGTGGAGGTCCGGATATACTGCTTTCCATTGGTAAGGGTCAGACTGTGGGATTTTTGGCGAGGAGAGTGCATCAGGAAGCCAAGGTTGGTTTTTGTTACTGATCTGTTCATTTCGTTCTCTGGATTATTGCTAATTTGTTCTTTAGCTCGAGGATGATAGGCGCGTTCGAATCGCTTACCTAGGTCACTTGCTGAATGAGCGTGAACCGCTCGTTGACCAAGGGTGGAAGACTGGCCATGTTGTCAATGCTCTCATTTCCCCTGTTAATGATCTAAACCTTGGACACCGATCTTAAGAGACCCTTTTGACGCATCGTCGATGACCCACCACTACCGCCAACATCACTCTTTTTCTCGTCCTCTCTATTTGAACCTCCAGCGTTCTGGCGTTTCTGTCATCGGATCTCTTTTCGCATAATACCCCAATCTTTTTTTTACGTTTTGCCATCTACAACCTGGCATACTCTCATTACCTTAGCATGATATCTCATGTGGTGATACCCATACTCGAGTGAAAGCAGACTGGCTCTCAAGATATCATCGCCCCCAGCTGTCGAATTTTGCGCCCCTTAATTACTTGATCTAACATCTAATGTCTCCACACTTTCCAAGATTTTTGTGTCATATTCTCATGTAAGTTTGGTTACCTATGTACATAGAGATCCACACCAACGATGAGCCCGCATTTCAACCTAGCTCTTCCATATTTGACCTATCACCGCAAGTTCTCAGAGTTGTTTTAGCGACTCCACGCGATCGACACATGCAGGGCATCACGTGCCATGACGTACGTGGAGTACATGTCTATCATAACTCCTTTGGCGTACACCTGGTAGCTCTTTCACCCCGCGTGTTAATATCCCACATTTTGTTAGGCTTTGGGCTTTGGGGTAATGTTCAACCCATACAGCCAAACCATGGACTACGAGGCAGACCGTCAGAAACGGGAGGTATATCGATATTTCCAACCGGAAAATCCAGCGGCGCTTAATGCATCACTTTTCCAATTTGATGAGCATCTGGCTGCAATAGGAGATTTTTCAAGAGTCACAACCCCTTTTGTACCCGATGCCTCTGCCTCAGAGAGAAGTTTTGTCGAAGGCAGCTCTCCGTCAAGCCCAAATACAACTTTGACTTCTTTTGCACAACTGGCCGCTCTACGCCTGAACGCGCAGCGTGCTTTTATTACGTACATTACTCTCCTGCTCTAGCGTGGATTCTGATCTGACCCTTTGCAAAGTGTATTGAACAGCGACTCTCAGTTTATATTGGCTGAAGCCACAAGAAACACCAATCTTAAAAGCTCAAGGTCATCCGTTGGGGAAGGGGATAGGCTCTTCGCTGGGACATCGACATTGTCAGATTATTGGAACATATGCCAGGTAGGTCGATATCTGAAATACTGCGATATTTTACATACTGACGTCTACTCCTTCAAATAGGAGACCGTTGCGATTGACTCAGACAACAAAGATGGATCGTATTCATTTTTAATCGTCAACGATCTTCAGCGGGAAGAACGATTCAGAGGATTGCCTTTTGTGACACAAGAGCCACACTCTCGGTTTTATGCCGGAACTCCCCTAACTAGTGATAGCGGTATCAACCTGGGCTGTCTGTTTGTGCTGGATTCTGAACCCCGTCAAGGGCTATCCGATATCGAGAAGGATACATTAGGAAAAGTGGCGGAGTTGGTAATGGACTATTTATTAGTTAGTCGTCAAGCCGCAGAAGGGCGACGGGCCTCACGGCTATCGCGTGGTCTCCATCTTTTCGTCGATGGCAACTCCAGTTTTGCCAGCAACGCTCACATGTCGTCTCGATCAAACAGCTCAGCACATAGTTCGTCTCCGCAGGCATCACCTCACCTCAGAACCCGCCAACCTATAAGCCCCCAAAATGATGAATTGGAATTTTGCTCAGCACAGTCTGGACCAGGAAATGCGTCTCGAAACGGCGATGCACATCCTATGAGCTCGGATTCTAACCATAATGAAATGTGTGCTCCCCCCAGTCCAACGGAATCGTTGCACAGCTCGCAACAGGACGACAGTAGTTCAGAGGATTCCTCGAGCAGCAACCACTGGCTTTTCCAACGTGCTGCGAACCTCTTGCGACAAAGTCTGGACTTGGACGGTGCTGGCGGTGTCATGTTCTTGGAGGCTAGTGACAACTCCTCTGAATATGTCGCAGCTGGTCATAGTGACTCTGCTGGATCCACAGATCCTGCTCCTATTCTTGCGCTGTCCACCAGAGGTGATCCGTTTTCATACCAAGCAAGCTCTACGCTGTCGGATCCAGCTGTCAATCTTGACAACAGATTCCTTAAACAGTTGACGCGTCGCTATCCTAAAGGAAAACTCTGGTCATTTCACCGCGATGGGACGTTCTCAACGTCGGAAGATCAGTCAACAGACGATTCCAGAAAGCAAAGGAAGAAGACCAAGGCTTCAGAGACCAGCAAACTTAATGAGTTCTTCCCTGCTGCATCTCAAATCATGTTTGTCCCACTGTGGAATGCCACAGATTCCCAGTGGTTCGCTGGGTGCTTTTGTTGGACTCCCCGGCCAACGCGGGTTTTCAGTCCTGCTGTTGATTTGAGTTCAGTGTTTGCCTTCGGCTCTTCTATTATGACCGAATACAGCCGTGTTGAATCGGTCATCGCGGACCGCCAAAAAGGGGATTTTATAAGCAGCATATCCCACGAATTGCGCAGCCCGTTGCATGGTGTTTTAGCTGCAGCTGAGTTTTTCGGGAGTACTACCTTGGACCAGTTCCAAGAAACCCTCCTTGATACGATAAATGCATGTGGTCGAACTCTCTTGGATACAATGAACCAAGTTTTAGACTTCAGCAAAATCATGTCATTAGAAAGACACAAAAAAACCTTCAGGCGTGGAAAAGATCCATGGAAACCAAAATCATCTGAAGACACTGTGCCGCGCCTAGATACATTGGTTTTGACAGATGTGGCTCTCTTGACGGAAGATGTCATAGACAGCGTGTGCTTGGGTCATTCCCATATACAGAAGTCAGCCATATCCACCAATCGTGCCACAGATATCTTGTCAACACTGCCTTCCAAATCAACATCAAATACCAACAAAGTTGGTCATATCTCAGGAGTAGACGTCGTTGTTGACATTCCTGATAATGACTGGATGTACAAAGTCCAGCCGGGATCGCTGAGACGCTTAATTATGAATATCCTTGGCAATGCACTAAAGTATACCGAAAAGGGTCGGATCTCTGTTTGCATCGAGGCCACTGAGCGCTCAAAAGGTCGCTCTCGACGCCAAGGTCTCGAAGATATGGTGACATTGACTGTCTCAGACACAGGTAAGGGAATCTCGAAGCAATATCTTCAGAAGAACTTATTTATTCCATTCTCACAAGAGGATCCGCTGTCAGTAGGCACTGGTCTCGGCCTATCAATTGTTCGCGGCATTGTGAAGACTCTTAACGGAAAAATAAATATTCGGAGCCGACAGGGCGAAGGCACTATTGTCAAAGTGTCGCTTCCTCTTGAACGTCTAGTGGGGGAGGAAAGCCCACAATCAACGTCAGAAAGAGAAAATTCGGACCAAAATATACTCACGGCATCTTCTCAACCCCGACGTGCCAGCTGTAATGGGAAACGAGCTGCTATCTGGGGAATCGACCTGTCTCATCTTGGCGAGAATCAGTTCTGGGCTTCCATGGCTCGGTATATCACGGATTGGTATGGTCTAAGGCTTGTTCCTCTGTCTACCAATGAGCCTATAGATATTCTGTTTGCGGATGAAAGGGATTTGTCTACAAAAGAAATACACAATTTCCCACCAGAATTGCCAAGTCTACTCGTCTTTTGCAGTGAGACTAGCGATTATGGTGAGTCTAGGGCACAATGGTCGCATCTTGCTGGCACTCTGGCAATCCTACATCGGCCTTGCGGTCCACGGAAACTTTCCCGTGGTATCTTGAGCTGTCTTAATACAAATCCGACAGCCCCTACGTTGAAACCGCAGAATCCCAGGCAAGGCTTAGTATTTCCAGAGCGACCCAATCCTACAGGCTCGGCTTTGCCAATTAGACAGTCCAATCCCTCATTACCACGAAATCTACGATCACCAGATGCTGAACCACCAATTCCCATGGCGGCATCGGGCAATTGCATCATTGGTCTTACAGGGCGTAGCGCTTTTGTATCGACATCGCGTACCGACAGCTCTGGCCGCACAACATCCGGGAGTACTGATTCCACCAATCCTGGGTCTTTATCTACTCGGTCTTCATCTGATGGCTCTGATCATGTCACTCCCTTGATTGGGAGCCAAAGCAGGCCTCGGGTCTTGGTAGTAGATGACAACAACATCAACCTTCATCTTATGATGACTCTCATGAACAAACGAAAAGTCATGGTCCTAGATAAAGCCGAAAATGGCAGAGCGGCCGTGGATGCAGTCGAAAGGATGTTGCAGGGATATGACCTTATTTTCATGGACATGTCTATGCCAGTTATGAACGGATTTGAGGCAACGCGCGCCATTCGTGCAATTGAGAAAGAACGGAGTGACTGTATGCCAGCCACAATAATCGCTTTGACCGGACTCAGCAGTACACGCGATGAGTTCAGGGCCCTGGACTCAGGAGTTGATCTTTTCCTTGTGAAGCCTGTTTCTTTTAGGGAGTTATCCAGGCTTATTGATGAATGGGAGGCCAAACTGCCGAAATAAAATATGGCGATCTCTATCTTACTTGATGCAGGCTTGCCACCCAGACGTGGAAGGTCACTTTGAGAATTATCGTTTCTTACATTGGCGTTTTTGGTTTCTTTCTTCATACCCTTGCTGCTATTTGGGCTGCACATATCATGGATGATGATTGATGAATGATGGCAGTATTCGATTTCATTATCTAATTTCTGTCTATTTCGTCCCATACAGCTTCAGGGGTAATTATATCTACAGACAACACTTAATGGCGGTAAATTGGACGCCGAAAATGACACTATTGATGCCATTTTCAGCATCCCTTTTACTAGAACAGTTGATCATCAAGATCCTGTTATTCGGACTGGCTTATACCAGCTTATAGGGTGCTGGACACTGGGCGACTAGGACGGATAGGCAGTTCTAGAGAGATTAAAAGCATAGTCTTGGTAAGTGAGTGGCCCATCTCTTAACCTTGGAAGTATGAACGCGAAAGCAGATGCAGATCACTGAGCCCTTAATCGACGGCTTGAATATGCTCAAGCCTCTCAAGTAAGATTTGATTTGATTGATGTACTGCTTGACTGCTTTTAAATATGTAGCCTATGCATGATCAAGGAAGGACTATGTACTTTCCGTGACTTTTCTCTTTCGTCTTTCGGCGGATCGGCGGATGATGTGAAGCCTTATATCTCAGGCAAGAAATTCCATTACCTAATCACCGATCTGGAGCTTCTAGACAAACAGTGCAAACAACTCTATCGCAAAGAAAAAAAAAATAATTTATCGCAATCTCAAGACAGCGCAGTTCGTTAATCTCGAACTTTTGATTGAACTCAACTCAATTGCATACCTTTTCAAGGGTAGCCTCTGTATACCTTCTCTAAGATCAAACGCCCACCTCCACCTTGATATCCAGGCTTCTCAATCGCTAGTCTTGTCAATCCTCGAGATAAACCGTACCAATGGACGGCCAAAAAACTCCTTTTGTGAGGGAGCTCGGCTCGAGTGGTATGCATATTCCTTTTCTTAATGCAAAACTATAACGCTAACCTATATCTTTAGACCGGAAAGTCCGCGACAAGGCTCTTGAGTCTTTAACCAAATTCGTGCAGTCTCGCACCGATCTGACCCTCGTTGATCTCCTCAAACTGTGGAAGGGCCTGTTCTACTGTATGCACCACCGCTATATTCGCGCGGCATAAACCGCAGCAAAACTAACCTTCTCCCAGGCTTCTACCACTCCGACCGACCCCTCACACAACAAGCCCTCGCCCGCGCACTCTCCTACTCTCTCGTCCCCTCCCTCCCCCACGCAACTCTCCACCGCTTCCTGCGCGCCTTCTGGATCACCATCGGCCGGGACTACCACTCACTAGACCGCATCCGGCTGGACAAGTACCTGATGCTGATCCGTTTCTACGTGGGCGTGGCATTCGAGGTTCTCGTGAAGAACAAGAGCTCAACAAAGAACGCGGACGGGAAAAAGCGCAAGCGCGAAGACGCAGCCAAGCAGGGTCGCGGCAAGAAGCAGAAGAAGCAGGCCGAGGCTGAGGCAGAGACCGCCGAAGACGAGGAAGAGAAGGACAGTGCCGAAGACCTCGAGGCTAAATTCCCCGATCTCGCGGCTTATATCTCCATTATCGAGGAGGGTCCTTTGTGCCCGTTGAACTATGATGAGGATCAGGCCCCGGATGAGGGAGACCCGAATTACGTGCCTATGCCGCATGGTCCTGACGGCCTGCGCTACCATCTTATTGACATCTGGGTCGATGAGTTGGAGAAGGTTCTTGAGTTTGAGGAGGTGGCTGGTGAGGACGAGGAGGAGACTCCGAAGCGGAAGATCAAGGGCGATGTGCCTATTGAGCTTATTTTGAGGCCGTTGGAGAAGCTGCGCGCTGAAAGTGCCTACAAGCCTGTTCGGACGAGGGCCGCTGAGGCCTTGGAGGATGAGCGGTTGATCGAGTGGGGTGTTCGGACAAGAAAGGCCGACGAGGAAGATGACAGTGAGGAGGAATGGGGTGGCTTCGAATAAAAATTTTAGTTATAGTAACTGAGGGTTTGTATAAACAGACTGAATTCATTGCACAGCGTGCTAGCGATATGTCCATCAATGGCATCACGGTTTGTATTACAAAGAAGCTGGTGCTAGTCTTACAGGTGTAATGGACTACAAAATGTATTCACATGGCACCTGTTTCATTTTTTTACTGTACGGCCTGACCACAGAGTATCAAATGTCTGATGTGACCTATTGACAAAGCACCAATTCCCAGGGTATCATGAGTGGATGCAAAGACCCGGCAAGCAATGGATATATAGAAGACTCCCAAGGATGATAGAACGGACAGCGACTTTCGTCCCAGAGGCGGACCGAAGGCACGAATTAGCGAGGACCTGCCGCCTCATAAAGACGGCCTGATTTGGTGAGTATCGTACCCAGTCCCTGGTGGACCTCGGCTTGGAACGCCTCGAAAGGCACCCGTTCACCATCAATACTGATGTAGCCCTCCTTCTTGTGGGGAGTTAGACGGAACGCAGACGCTTTGCGGATATTCAGATCTGGCATGTCGAAGAAACGACCACTGGGGATTTCGTTCATCATACTAATCGATGTACCAATGCTGACTGTTCCGTCAATAGTGATCACGTCTATCAGGCCGTCGTCCGGCAATGTTGCAGGGAACATATTTGTGTCTTTCGACATGATAGCCATATTTCCCGCATAGAAATTGCCCATGGTTTCTCCCGGAATTACCTCCCACCCCTGGGGTAGTTCGTCCGTCACTGTACCGTACTTGAGCTCTGGTAGACCTGGGGACTCTGCAGCAATCTCGAAACGTTTGGTGTCAGCACCCGGCTCCAGTGGACGTGTAGACCACATAGCGTAGTGTTCCTTAATAGCCTCCTTGTCGCCAATTTCCACCTTGATGGCTATATCACAAGGCCATATGGTCTGCCGCATCAAACGGACTAGGAAACCGTATGTAAACCGCTGAGCGCCCATCCAACGGATATTCTCAGTACCCAAATCACACTCGGCGACAATACCAAAAGATTGCGAGAGGAAAGAGAGTGTGCGCGAATTTTTCTGAGAGATCGAGACGAGATCCAGCGGGGTTCTCAGCCCCTTGACGATTGCCAGCGCCGCAATAGAGACGCTACCAGTCCCGAAGGCATTCCAAGTCAACCCATTTCCAGAGCCACATGGGAGAAGTGCAACGGCGGTTTGCGCTAGCGCTTTTCGAGCATCTGGCCGCTTACCCAACCCATTGAACACCTCGTAGGGCAAGCCGTCGCCAGAGCAGCAAACGACCGCATCGTACGCGTCGATATCGAGATTTTCCGCAATTTCAATTGCATGACCCCTATGTTCCGTGTTCTGTACACCCACCTGGCACTTCGCCGCGGCGAAAACCGGTGCCGCATATCGCTGATACAAACTGGCAGCTGTGCCCTTCCCACCAAAAGGATTGACCAATACCTTTAGCCGTTTGCCACGCAGTGCCTTGCCATACGCCATATCAAGTAGTTGCTGTACCCATATCTCGACAACCCTTTTTTCATTTTCGGATATCGGGTATTGGACGGTCGTTACGGAAACATGGTCCTTGGCAGCAGGGTGTGCGTAGGCGATGACGAGATTAGAAGCGGTGACTTCGGCGCTGAGGATGTTGTACAACGGGATGTCATGGTTGGTTTCTGGATCTAAGATGCACGTACACCCCGGTCAGACCATTTCCATCGACAGTAGCGCCCGCGATAACGCGGTGATCGCCAAAGGGGCCGGTACCAACTTACTAGACTGGAGTAATCCGCAGCAGCGACGGTCTTTGCGAGGCGAGCGGTCATCTGCATAGGTAAGCATATTCCCACACACTGAGTGTGGAGTAAGTAGTCCATACCTAATATGAGGAGCGAGTTGGCGGCGATGGTCAAAGAGACAGATTGGTCGACCGTCAGGGTTGTGCCATGCAGCTCCTGCGAGGAGCCGTCTGTGGAGGACATTTTGGATAAGAATGAAGATTCAGGACATTATAGATAAAGAGGAACAGAGGAATAGAGGAATATAAGAATAAAATACTCTAGGGGAAGAAAGGTAATGATAGACAATGAAAATGCCCGTATGCAGCCGCGGAGTTCCGGTGGGCCCGGGGCATGTGGTCCCTGCATTTGAAATATGTACGAAGGATGAAGTATAGAGTAAGACATTTTTATGTGCATAAATAGATAGATCTCTCTTTAGAGGCTACTATAATGCCCTGGGAATATCAAAAGACATTGTTCTCTATCCACTACGCCGGACGAGACATTCATCTCATCTACACAATAAAGAGACATATAAGTAAAAACAAATTCGTCTCGAATGAACAACACAGACAGAAGGGAGGGGGAAAAGGATAAAAAGCATCATATAGACCGCAAACCGCTGGAAAAAACATTGACTTATGCAGTCGCTGCCTTGAGACCCTTCAGAGAGCCCAAGCTCAGTGCCAGGCCTTGGGAGCGACTTCTTATCCGCACAAATCCTGTAATTGGCCCATCGTCTCCCTCCTTTTCGATGCTCAAGTTTGCTAGTGCATCCTCGCCTGGTCATAGTCAGTTAGTATGTCAAATAGAAAGGGGTAGATTATTGCAAACATACCGAACACGCTGCGGGCATATAGGTTCGCACTCAGGAAGCGGCAATCTCCCTTCAGCGAAGCATCGGGCGTCAAGCAGGCCATATTAGTGCTTTCCATCAGCTGCTTGAGGAATTCACGGAGAGTCTTGGCCTTCGAATTGATGTTAACCTTGTTCTCCCATTCGAACTCAGTCCACATGGTACGGAACTGAGTCTCGGTGCAGTGAGCAGGCTGGATGTAGTCCATGATGTCGGCATGGATGTCGTTGAGGATGACCACATGGGTCTCGGTGGAGCTGGCGCCGTCATAGACAATGTTACCAAAGATAACACCAGTGTCTGTTGATGAAACCTTGACCGTAGCCTGGACGTTCAAGAAATCGCGTGGGCCTAGGTTGTT